GTGGTCTTTTGCGATGGGTGCGTGTAAAAATGCTGTAAAGACGTCACCTAGTCGCGCGATCCAGTTTGGTCGTGACATTTGTAGTGCGAGAAGTGTCCGGAGTGTCGTGAACATTGGTGTAGAGGCGTAGACGGAGTCTTCGTCCTCGATCTTCTCGGTGTAGCCTTTTGCGATGATTCGGCTTCGTACTCCTGGTCCTTTCTTTCTGTGTACCCATCTTGTAGGCATCGCTTCTCTGATGACGTTGTCGTTGACGGTAGACGCATCTACTTCGTCGTAGACGTCGTGTAGTTTCATTTGGTCTGACTCGTGTTTCATTCCTTCCAGTAGTTGTGTTTCGTCGTAACCTTCGTTGTCGAAAATTATGGGTTGGTCTTCTGAGGTGTCGTCGTTTGTGTAGGGAGTGATGGATTTTCCGTTGGGAAGTGTCACTGCGTTGATTTTCTGTCGTAGTGGTGGTGGTTCTTTGGTTGCTTGCTCCGTTGATCTGATTGTAGTGTCCTTTGAGGTCTTCTGTGCTTTAGTTGGTTGCATTACTTCTTCCGGAGTTAAACGTCTTAGTGTTTGTCGAGGTGGTGCTGGTAGTGGTGGATGTTGTCGTCCAGTTGGTGAAGTAGCCATAGGACTATCCGGTAGTGGTCGTGAACTTGACGTCGATGTGGACGGAAGTCGTGGAGGTGGTGTAGTGCGTTGTTGTTTTGTTGCGGGTTCCGCAACGATGTCGTCCGTAGCGTTCGTTTGTTGTCCGAAATCTTGCGTGGACCTTCTTTTCTCTGACGGTTGTAGTTGCGTATCCAACAGTGTTGCGAACGATGGGTTGTAGGTGTTCCGTCGTGGTGCCCATGGTGTGCCGGAAACTTTGTTCAACAGTGCGAGGTCGTATTTGAAGTCAGGTTGTAGCCTCCGTACTGTTCGTACCTTTTGTACGCCTGATTCCGTTGCGACGTAGTTTTCTCCGGTTTCGGAAACTTTTCCGAGCCAGATGCATTTCTGCATCCGTAGGTCTGCTTTCGGAAGTTTCTTGTGTTGTGGTGGAAGGTAGAGTAGTGTCTCGCCAAATTCGCAGATTGCTCGCTCGTAGTTTCTTCCCCAGCGGCGTTCAAAGCTTGTGTAGCCGTCTGAGTGAATGACGTAGCGATTTACCGTCCATGCTGCATGTCGTACTATCCAAGGTAGTAGACAGTGCTTTGTGGACATCGTCATGCTGTAGTTGCTTTCAACCTGAGCTTTGACGACGCGGATTTGTCCGAGAAGTGTTCTATGTAGTCGCTCAACGCTTCCTTGACTGTTGCTGCTGTAGGAAGGTGAATGTCGTACACTCATTGTGCCGACTTTTGCTGCTGTAGCTTTTAGAAGTGCGTTGAGTGTGTCTTCGTTGTCGCTTTGTAGTATGCCTTGTGTTCTTCCGCACTCAAAGATGAATGCTTGTAGGTTGTTGACCATGTAGTCCATCATTGATGCTTTGTCTGGAACCAATACTGCCATACACAGTTGTGTAGTAACATCAACTGCTGTCAGTACCGGTGTGGTCTTTGGGTCTTGTTGTGACTTGATGTAGGCAAAGTCTACTTGAATGACAGGTTGTCGTGATTGTTGTTTCTTGTAGTTGTCTTGGCGTCCTTTGCCTTGAACGCAAATTGGACACCAGTTTCTGTATGGTAGATGTGTAAGGTTGTGTTCTGCTATTTGTTGTGGAGTGGGCTGCTGTGGTTGTCGTAGTCCTCTTGCTCTGTGTGCTTCATGATGCTCGTGTTGTTGTTCTTCGTCGTGGTTCTCCTGGATGTACTCGCAGTCTTTCTTCACGGTAAACCTTGTTGTTCCTTTCCATTGAAATGGTAGTGCTGCGTTGCCCATGACTGTCCAGTCATCTTTGCGTTGTGAAACTTCTCCAAAGTTGTTGTGAGTGATTGTAGTTCTGTGAGGTTCAAGTGTGTTGATTGGTGGATGTCCTGGTCCATCTGTTGGAGTGAAGAGAGTTGTTCTAAGCGTTGTGTGGTGTCGTATCCAGTGTTCACCTTGTCTTTCCCAGTAGTCTTGGTTGTCCTCCTGTGCTGTGAGTGGTCTGTGTATTGTCTCCTTTGGTTGTGTGGTGTCAAGGTTTGTAGAAGGTGCTGCTTTGGGTCTCCATATCTTTTGTGGTGCTCGTAGTTGGATCTTTGATCTGGTTGGTGGTGTGTCCATTAGCCGTTGTGGTTGTGAGCTCTGCCTTGTTGGTGTGGTCTTTGATGTTGCTCTGCGTGTAGGTGTTATCTTTCTTCTGAATCTGGTTTCTCCAGTCCAGTTGTCACCTTCTAGTCTTCGTTGTAGTTCTTGCTTGGAAAGTTGTGTTGGGTTCTCTTGTAGTTGTTCTTGCTCTTGCCCTTGTCTGTTGATGATGGTTAGTCGCCAATCATCTAGTTCTCCTTCTGGTATTGGGCAGCCACTGTTGTGTGGTGTGAACAGTGCTTTGCGTGGTCGTTTGTGTACTCTGATGGCGTAGTCACCATCAAGTTTCCAGTAGTCAGTGGTTCCACCAAGGATCTGTCGTGGTCCTTGGTCTGTGTGTGTGAGTGGTGCGATTTGTTCTTGTTGTTGTGCTGCTCTCTCTGTAGGTTGAATCACAGCAATGGATTTTCCATTGTCTGTAGTCATTGGGTAGATGTCGAATCCTGTAGGAATGTCGATCTTCTCTGCTCGTAGGTAGAAAAGTCCTGAGTGTCTTATGAGGTGCGCTTGTTGTTGTCCATGTGTGATGGTGCAGTGTCGTGGAGTGAAGTCAAGTCCATATCCTCTATCAAGTAGTCTTGATGCGCTGAGGATTGGATACTTCACATCACAAACGTAGTAGGGTATCATGATCCTGAAGTTGTCCTGCTTGTAGGGAACGTACTTGATGCCGTAGACTGGAATCTTCTTGTTGGTCACCGTGTAGAGTTGTGGAACTGATTCTCCACAGGGTCGTAGTGGAAGATCCGGTGCGTAGTCCTTTGGGCAAACATGTGTAGATGCTCCTGAGTCGATCAACAGGTGGTGGTATGACTTGAAGTTGGAGTACATGATGTAGTGGGTGATAGTGTCCTCAATCTTCTTGTTCCTTTGTTGTTGTCTTGCTGCTGCTATGTCGAAGTGTAGCTTTGTGGTGTCTTCTTGTAGGAATTGTTGAAAGCTCTTGCTGTGGTCGTTCCATGATGTTGTGTGTGTTGTTCTCTTGCCAAGTAGTGATTTGGATTTGTGCTTGTGTAGTCGTGATTTTGCTTGTCTGATGTGTCCAATGGTGAGGTGTGACTCGTTGATAGCTGTTGTCATTCCAATCCCAGCTGTTGTCATAGTCGTAGTCGTTCCAGTTCTCCTCCATGTAGTTCACCCCGTGTTGTCCTTCTTCTCCTTCGTAGTACCAGTCCCAAGTGTCGTTCACATCCTGAGGTAGTTCATCATTGTTGTCGTGATCTGCTTGTTCTTGTTCTAGCGGATGTAGTTCTTCTCCTTGTCCTATGTGCCATGCCGGCAGCAGTCTTGTGCCCAGTGGCCGGGCTTGCCACATCGATGGCATGTTGTGTAGTTGTTGTTTCCTTTTCCTTTCGATTTGCTGTAGTTTCCTTGGCCTTTGTAGCCTTTGCTTGACCCATATCCTTTGGATCCTGAGTAGCCTTTTCCTTTGCTCTTGTTGTATCCTCCTTTGTTGTAGTTTCCTTTGCTGCCTTTGTCGAATCCCTGTAGTGTCCTTTGCTCCTGTACTTGCCTTTGCTCTTGCTTCCTTTGTAGCCGCCTTTTCCTTTTCCTTTGCCTTTGTAGCTTCTTCCTTTCCTCCATATGTTGTCAACATCCATTGGTGCAGTTCCTCCATTGTAGTTTGTTCCTACTGCTGAAGTAGATCTAGTGAAGGCTGAAATCGTTTTGTAGTAGTCCAGGATGAGTGCTCTGATCTCGATGTAGTTCGTGATCTGTCCAGCTCGCAGTTGGAGGTGTTGCTGCAGTGCTCCTTTGGTTTTGTTGAGTAGTATTGCTATTTTGATTCCATCTGGTAGTGCTGTTCCATTGTCTTTCTCGTAGCGGTTGATGTCGTATTCCCATTGTAGAAATTGTTCTTCAAACTGCGCTTCGTTGAATGTGGGTTCCAGTAGTTTGGTAAGGTAACCAACGCTCCTTGTTCCTACTGGTAGGCTGAACCTGTTGTGTAGTAGTCGTAGTGTTTCACATCCGTTTGCGTTGTAGCGGTTTTGCCTTACTACTGTAGCTGCTGCTCCCTGACAGATGTTGATGAGGATGTAGTGTAGATCTCTGGAGAGGTCTACTGCTTTGCTTGCTTGTGTAGGGTCGAGTATGTGTGTTCTGATGTCTGTGTCCTCAATCTGTCGTGTAGCCACTTGTGCTAGTTGTAGCACCAGGTCGAAGTCTCGGTCTATGAGGCCGAGGTATGCTTGTAGCTTGAACAGCCATTCTTCATACTGGGAGTAGTCACCAGTGAAGAAGGGTGGTGGCAGTTTGTATCTATGTAGTCTCTGAACGTCGTTGTCTTGTTCTGTTCCTGCTCCCGTAGTCGTGGCTCCTACTGTGTCTGCTGTTGGCCCGTTCTCTGCTCCTGTAGTTTGTTGTGCTGAGGCTGATGCTGCTTCTCCTGACATGTCGTAGTAGTTTGGCATGTAGCTGCTGTTGCTCTGTTGTTGTAGTACTTACTGCTTACTGGAGCTCCCCTATGTTTAGGATCTCAGCTCCGCTACCACGTTAAAATCGGTGGTTACTTTGCTTACAAGTGCAAGTGCTGTAGTGTTCAAACAAACAGTCAACCAATGTAGTCTGCAGCTGCCAACCTTTTGACTCATGCGGAGTAGTAAGCTCAAGGCCTGCGGTAGTGAACATACATGCAACAAGAGTGCAAAGTGAAGCATGTAGTTTGACAAGTTTTGTGGTGTTGTTTGTGTGTGTGTGTGTTGTTTTGTTGTTCTCTTTGCTTTGTGGGGCGGGGTAAAATAATGGGGCCAGAGGTGGGTCGCCCGAATAAAAGAAGTGCCCGGGGCGGCCAGGAGATGCCGCTCCCGTATGCGCCAGTTGGCCCGCTGAGGATTTTGAGCTCAATGAGCTGCCACTTGGAGGTTTAAAAGACAAAAAAAACGTGAGCCACAATCAAAAACCTGGGTAGATGGTTAGGTTAGTAAGGGACAGTCCCCTTGCCATACATAGCTGCGGATATCCGCCTTCTGAATTATTGAAGCATGGTTCTGGGTCAACCATTGTAATAGCGGGTTTTGATTGTGACTCACATGACAGACTAGGTCCCCCAGCTAGGTGCCAGTAGAGCCCGCAGCCTAGCCTAAAGGGAAACCAAAAAGGGGCGGGAGGGTTCCCCTATTAAAATTGACTACAGAAAAAAGTTGGTACCAACTTATTCTAACCTCTCTACTGGGGGACCTAGTAAAAAAACATGACAGAAGTTGTGCCACAGCGGCTGAAACTTTGTCTAACTTGGATCTGTTCATTTTGTCGTGGGCCCAAAAGCCACAAGGGGACCAAAAGAATGTTCAATGGCTCACAGCCGCTAGCCACTAGGCTCGAAGAGTGAGCATTGGGGGCCCGTCACCACATCATTCTAAGAGTTGATTCCTTTTCCATTCTTTTCAACCATCGTTATTTTGAAAAACCGGATTTGTTTCCCCTGGTTTTTTTGGATGGTTTCCTGAAAAGATTCGCATCCCTGGATTCAAAATGGGGAAGGAAGCACCCCCCCTGGATTCAGAATGGAAATGGAAGGTACCCCTAGAATTATCTGTTCTTGACGCAAGTTGTCTGGAGGAATTGTTCGAGACCTGAGGCTAACCACGAAATCCGCGCGCTGGAGCGGCTTGCCATGGGCCTCCCGTGGCACCCCCCTACCCCCCGCCCAACTCGCGCGGTCGCAGTTTCACCTTTCTCACTTCTTGCAGGCAGCGGCGGACGGCCGGACTGCTGGGTCGTTTTGTTTTCCTTCCGACTTGGGAGGGAAGAGGAAGGAAGAGTGGGTGGTGATGCTGTTGCTTTTAAAGGCTTTTTTTTGGGAGGAGACGATCCGGTTGGACGCCGCGAAGACTTTGCTTCAGTTGTGGTAAGTAGTTATCACAACCAAGACCTGCACTTGAGCGGAGCGAAAAGCGGGCCTGAATTTTTGGAACCCGGGAACCCCTTTGAGGCTGCTAATTATCTGGGTGAATTAATTATAACGATCTTACACGACCGAATTCACCCCAAGTGGTTTATATGGGCAATCTTCACCCCGAATTCATCACCGCAAGTCTCAGGTTGGCGACATATTTAAAAAAAATCACCCAGAATCGAAGGGCCAACGGCCCGGATGTGGTGGTGGGCATTCCAATGGAAATACCAGAAAAACCCAGCCACTGTCGGCCACTATGTTCAGAAACCCGCTCGTGAATCATAACTTTCCCAAATGGCTGCGTGGGTGCAGGGCGCATGGGTGCATGGGTGCACGGGTTGCTTGCGACAAGAATGTCCTTTTGTAGTGGCTTTTCTGGCCGTGGTCAACTAACCTCTGCTGCCCCACTCAAACCAGTGCTACAACCTGCTTGCCTACAGTGGGTGGAACATCCGTTGAGATGGTGTGCCGACAGGTTTCATGCTGCGCAAACTCAGCTTCCTTAGCTCCATCAGAGATGGAAAGAGGTGGAAAGTGCCTCGAGGCTCAGAGCAAATTTCGATGGCAATCTCAGGGCAGTCCTCCCGACTTTCAGTGCCTGTGTTCCCCTCCCCGTTAAGATCAGCTGGAAATTTTGGCCACGGGTCCAAAGTTTCACCTGTTGCTTCCTGTGTTTGACCGAACCACACTTTTGAGTCTTAATGTGAGTCTCCCCGCCTACCGAGAAACAAGACACTGGTTGCAAGAGACTGACCAACCCAGTTTCTATCCCTTGGTACGTGTCGTTTTCCCCAAAGACGTGCAAGTATGCCATTTTCTCTGGAACGTATCCCCTTTGTCTACCCAATCTGCCATGTAGCAACATGCAACTATTGGAGCGTCCGTGTCCACAAAGAATAAAATATCGATTTTGGAGATAGCATGTTGATTTGGAGGTATCTAACGGATCAGCCCGGTGATGCCATAGCCATGCCGGGGCAGAGAGGGGCTGCACCTCCTGCAGATGTTGGCCCAGGCGACTTTTTTTCACCTTGCTGCCTTCGCCCCGGGAAATTCTACTAGGTCCCCAGCAATTGGTGCCAGTTGTTCACCCAACTTTGTTGGTTGGGAGGGTTCCCCTACTAAAATAGACTACAGAAAAAAATCGGGTACCCTTATTCTAACCTCTCTATTGGAGGACCTAGTCTAGTTTTCCCTTGTTTTCTCCTTTTTCCCTCTATATTCAGCACCCAGCCGAGTTTCTGTGTTGTTTGTTTAGTGAAGACCATTTTCGGGCAAACGGAAGCTTAGACTTTGGTTTGCCGCTCCACTCGTTCAGAAATGAGTTTGAGTCTATGGCTGGTCAAGGTCCAAAGATTCTGTTGGTATTTTCAGGTCCTCTAGGCAGGTGCATCACAACACCACCTTCTTTTAAGAACCTTTTCAGGTATTGCTTACATGCACGCAGTATGTGCCCTCCCACCAATTAACATGGAACCTGACCGGCAATTCCTGCAAGACCAATTTCCTTTGAACGGGACCTTCTGTCAGGTTCCATTTTTTTTTGGTGGGAGGGCACCCCTTATGCAAGCTGCTTCTAAGCTCCATACCTACATCCATGAGTCCAACAAGCAAGTGAAGCAGCCCCCTCCAGCCCAACCGTAAGTTGCGGTCTGGGGTTGCTTTGTCCCCTTGCTTTGGGGGCCGCTGAAGGCCCATGTTGGGGAACAAGAGCCAACCCTGAGCGCGTGTAGTGCATTTATCCTGCAACTCCCTCTCAGACCGTTTTGGGACTTCAAACTTAAGATTTAAGATACATGGGTCTGGGTCAAGAGAAATATCTGGCCCCCGAAGCAGGAGAGAAAAAAGGCATGTTCGCCTTTGAGTGATGGTCCGGATGAGCAAAACCCCGGTCAGAGTTCGAGCTTCGAGTCACTTACCAGAAGCGTCAGGGAGGGTGCCATCGACCCGACGGGGCGGGCGGAAGGCGGGGGCGTCCAGTGCCTGGGGGATGTGCTCGTCTACAGCAGCTCCGTAGGGTCCTGGATCAACGGCACCGTGGTAGAGCCCCTCGGCCTTCGGAAAGGCGTGTCCGGATGGACGATTGCGGACTGCGGACTGCGGACTGCGGACTGCGGACTGCGGACTGCGGACTGCGGACTGCGGACTGCGGACTGCGGACTGCGGACTGCGGACTGCGGACTGCGGACTGCGGACTGCCATGTCTTAGGCACCCTTCAGAAACCCGAGCTGGAATGATTCGAGGCCCCTTTTTTTTATACCAACAAACAAGGGTGTCTCGGGGTTGCTTAGGTGGTGCAGGAGCGCGTCCATCAGGAGGTCCCCCAGTAGTGCCCTTTCTCGCCCCTTTTTTGGTTGGGAGGCTTCCCCTGCAAAAGACTACAGAAAAACGGTTGCTACCCTTATTCCAACCTCTCTACTGGAGGACCTAGAAACCGTTGCCTTAAGGCGCCCCACAGTCGAAGGAGCCCGAGTTCGTTTTTCTAGCCCCCTGAACTCCAGACGAGTTGGGTTTGGGAAGCTGCCGTCCTCTTTCCAGATTTGGGTCCCCAAAACGTTTGCCCTCCCGTCCGAAGTGGAAGGAATCCTGGCAAAGCCATTTGGAACCCGAGAAATGCGGGCGCTCAACGACCTATCCATAGGTGTCCTTTTTAGGTCAGTTTGGCTAAAAATAGAAGGCACTGGTTTAGATGGGGTTTATCCCATTTACCAGGGAAACCCATCTATTTTTCCAAAAGGACACCTATGCCTATGCTTGTATCTAGTCCCCACTCAAGAGTCGGGTGTGTCCGGGAAATCTGGTCACTCTAACTCAAACGAACACGGAACCAGAGGGTTCCTCTTTAAACCAACTGGTCTTCCACGACCGAGTCAGGTTCCATGTTGCAGGGTAGGTGTCCCTTTGCGCTCCTACTGATGGACAAAGTCCATTTCGCACCACTTTGAAATCATGGTTGAGCCCATTGTTGGTTGGTATTTGCGGGGGAATCAATTCATTCCAGATTCTGAGGTGGTGCGAAATGGATTTCGCAACCATCCACAGTATGGGGGGCAAGCCTTGAAGTTTGAAACGGAAAGGACGTCCCTGGCTTGCCGATTGGGCGAGTCGGTGTCCGATCTAATTCACGGAAGGGCAGGCCAGGCAATCTGTGGGTTTTTGCGGCTACCGTTTCAGACAGACCAAAGTGAAGCACACCAAATTGTACCAAAATGTTGGCCCCTTGGTTGACACGCACCCTGGAAGATGCTTGGCTCAAGAGACCAAAACAGATTTGACTCTGCCACGTCGCTGGAAAGCCCAGTGCTTCCCTTGGTTGCCCAGCGGTTCTTGCGAATGCCCAAAAATATGCATGTTCCCAAAAGGAACGCCACCAGCGGATGGATCACGGAGGGTTTTCTTGAGTCCAAGCCCTTGGTTTGACAGAAGGGTTGCTCTTGCAACCACGATACTTAAAGATGCCTGAACAGCATGTCACATGCAAAATCAGAGGCCCCCATGGCTTTCCGCCCTCACATATCATGCCCCGGCATGAGAGCGAGCCAAAGCCAGGCAGGGAGCTGTTCCTCGAAAACCAAGTGGCCATGGGTCGAAATTTTGTAAAGTGAACATCAACCAATCCAACCAAAATAGGAAGCCTAGAGTGGGTGGGGAATGCACCCAATCCAACCAAAATGGGATCCCAAAACGGTTTTGACCCAGGGCCAAGTCGCTGCGTCTCAGGATCTTTGAGACGGACTGCGTGGCGGATGGCTATTCCATGCCGGCGGGATGTATCAAGGTGGCGCTCGAGAACGGCAGCATCAAGTACGACCTTCGGCAGCAGAGTGGGCCCTAACAGCAAGCCAGGTGCTAAGTAGCCCACCTGGATAGCCAAGTTGTTGTTGTTGTTGTTTTCAGTCACTGTTGCACTGTTGCCAGGCAGATGTGTTTCCATTTTCCCTGGAAACCAAAAGGGGATCAGACAAGTAGAAACATTGTTGCAACTTGAGGTACTTTGGGATCCCGGTTTCCTCTAGGCAATGGGTTTGTTAGCAGTCCGAATGGAGAACTAGGAGAAGCCAACCCAGAGCGCTAATTTGGAGACACGCCAAAGGGCAAAAGAAAAAAGATGTCTAGTTGTCCAGTGGCACCCTTGTTCAGCAGATTCCATACTGTGCTTTACATGTTGGGCCCATTTTGCTGGACACACTGTTGATTCATTGTCTGGGGGGACCCAACCCAACCCAACCCAGCCTACCCACCCAACCTGCCACCCAACCCACCCCAACCAACCCGCCCAACTCAACCCAAGCCAATCCTACCCACCAAACTACCAACCTACCCAGGCCCATTTACAACAAATCCACCCAACCCAACCAACGTTCAAGCGCGTCAGACTCAGGTCCAGCCGGAACAGGCGTCCACAGTGCTGCGACCCCGCCAGGAGCCCAAAACTTGGTCGAGGTTTCACGAGCATATCCTGAACAAGACTAGCTAGCTAGCTAGCTAGCTAGCTTGCTTGCTTGCTTGCTTGCTTGCTTGCTTGCTTGCTTGCTTGCCTTCTTACCTTGCTTACCTTGTTAGCTTGGTTAGCTTGGTTAGCTTGGTTAGCTTGGTCAGCTTGGTCAGCTTGATTAGCTTGGTTAGCTGGTTGCTTTCTTGGTTGCTTGCTGGTTGCTTTCTGGGTGGCTTTATTGGCGGCTTTCTTGGTTGCTTGGTTGCTTGGTTGCTTGGTCGCTCGCTTGATTGGGGCACGGCTTGCCGGCAAATGGGTCACACAACCCCCACAGATGACAGTTGCTCAGGTCAGTTCTTCGACCACGCGAGGGACACGAGAGACACTAGGTGGGAGCAGCCGCAGCTACGTGCCCGAACAAAGATATCGCACGCTTGGCCCCAGGTTTTTTACCCTTGGCAAGGCAACTCCCAAGTTGTCAAAAGGGAACACTTCCGGAACTCAGCCCAGTGACTGGGTTGTCCAAAGTCGCCCCGGGTGGATCGCTGGCGCGGAACCCTCACCTTTTCCCGGTCAGTGCGGGGAAAATGCCACAGCTTTGGCCACATGGCGCAGCCTGACGAACCATTTCTATGGGATGCTTTGGGAAACGCCTCTGTGTCCCACAAGGGGAGAGCCTCAAGAAAGGGTGGTTTCTGTTTGGTTTTCCAAACAGGCACCGCCAAAGAACAACAAGTACATGTTGGATATGTTCTATTCACACCGACCGTTCAGGACTGAAGCTGTTATCCACATCTTTCACTCGTAATTCTGTTCCCGTTCTTTCAATTTCGGCGCGACACACCGAAAGAAGGGTCCCAAAAAGGGTTGCATCAAGTCCTGGACGAAAGTCATAGGTTTGAATCCGCAAGGCCCCGATGGCTGGTCTCAGGTCGTTCTTTGCTCGTTTGGTACTCTTTATGCAGATGATCCACAACTCAGTCCCCCAGCGATTGGTGCCCTTTTACCCTTTTTTTGGTTGGGAGACTTCCCCTACTAAAATAGACTGCAGAAAAAGACACGGTACCCTCATTCTAACCTCTCTACTGGAGGACCTAGACAACTCAGCCCTCTGAGTTTCTGCACTCTCTACTTTTTGGCACCAGTTTTTGGGCTCGTCTTGGCCAACAACGCTTCTTCAGAAATGACCCTCGCAGAGAATCGTCGGGTTCCATGGCAGCCCCTCAGTTCCAGGACTTCAGTCGCTTCTTGGGTTTGCAACATGTTAGTCTTCCATTTGCTTAAGAATATGTTGTTGTTTATTTTCCCGCGTTGGTCTTCAACGGAATTTATCACTACTCGAAACATTGTTGTGTTTTTCCAGCGGTCTTAACCAAATGGAAGTAGTCGTGAAGACAAGCAGTTTTTGTTCGACTGTTAGAGAAACAGTTCTTTCGACTTTTTCCGGCCATTCAACCCAGGAAGCGAGTACTGGTAAACATCGAATGTTGGGACCTTCTCTGGCCAATCCACATCGGAAGTGAGATCTGTCTTACCCCAGGCCGGCGGGGAATCCGGAGCCCAGCAGCGGCTCGGCGGTTGGTCGTTTTCGGTTGCCCCGAGGCTCCTGGCTTTGGCTTTCAATGGAAGACCCAACCCTCGAATCATTCGACACGGGAATCGGTGTTTGGGGTTCTCAAAACCTGGCTGTTTGAGGGCCCCCTGCAAACATCAAACTGGAGCCTCTGGGTAAAGCGATTCTTGGAATCGATGGCCCGAAAGAAAGCTCCCAGTCTCGGCTTGGATGAATTTGCTGGCTTGACTGCTATTGGGTAACGGATCTTTAGACTTTAAATGACTTTAACTTTTTGGTTGAAATCAAGGGAAGTTTCCGTGAAGCCCCCAAAAAGTTAAACTTTTTGCAGGGGGTCGTTGCAGCAACCAAGTTGGGGGGTGCTGTTTTTCCAGACTTAGCTCCCCTCTTCGATATTTTTTGCTTTTTGGGGGTCCCCTTTGTACGAACCAAGGAATCCATGGCACGAAAGGGGGCAACATGCGGTGTGCAAGCTTTGAGTTGGAAACACCCAGCTAGGTGCCCTTGAATTCCTTTTTTTGGTTGGCAGGGTTCCCCTAGAAAAAATAAACTACATAAAAAAGGGTACCCTTATTCTAACCTCTCTACTGGAGGACCTATAGCAGATGTTCCCTTCGCGCTTGTGCTTTTCGGTGTGTCCCTTATGGAAGCAACCAAGTGGTACGTGTTTGAGACGGTCATCCTTCAAATGAAATGCCCAAAGCAACTCGAAATTTGGGGCCCGGCTTTGGGGTCTTCAAAAAAAATCCGGGAAGTCGACACGGCGCTCTTCGGCTTAGACTTCTGTTCGGCAAATCCCCCAAACCCAGAGGCTCCTGGCTTTGGCTTTCAATGGAAGACCCGACTCCATTAGACACGGGAATCGAGACCTGGCTCCTGCAAACATCGAATTGGAGCCTTTGGGAAGAGAAAAAACTGAAGCCTTGGGCGAGCCTTTTGTTGCATTTTGCATATTGCTTGGATGTTATGACTTTAACTGTTTGCCAACTAGTGGGTTTTTCCGTATTAAACACCAAAAGTCACACGTTTCACAGGGGAGCTGAAGGCAACCGAGGTTTTTTGCAAGCGGTCCATCGCTTCAGTGAGGCCGGGCCCAGGTGGGCGATGCGCGCATGGAGGCGCGAGATCGCCCGGGCCTCGGCTTGGTGACCCGAAAGCCGGACACCGGGCGGCTGGTGGCTTCGGAACCCCACGATTTGTTTGTGTCTTTTTGAGAAAGACACGGGTGGATTGGAGGGCGAAGGAATCCCCACCTCAAAAGTGGACTTGGGGGACGGGGGAGTTCGACTTTCAGATCTCCAGTTGTGGCAACCCATTCTCCCTTTCAGGGGTCCCCACCCTTCCCTTGAGGTAGGGATCATGCGATGGCTCACGGGTTGTCAAGGGAACCCGGGGAAGGCGGGTGGTGCGGCGAAAACAGCACGGGTGGCGGCGCCACAGCCTCGGAACCCCACGATTTGTGTTTGTTTGTTGTTAAGCAAGACACTGGTGGTTGGAAGAAAACAAAGTCTAGCGCGGTGCTTGGTGTTTTTGTGTTTGAACAAAAAGACACAGAGGCAGTTGACCGACGAGCGTCGAACGCAGTCTCTATTAAGGGTAACCGTTTTTGGGATTGCTGAGGGAAACAAAAAGGAACCTATACCCAGTTCGCGGCTTCACCTAGAGGACCTAGATTGAGACTTCCCTGGGACTTTCGCTGAAACTTCAGACATCCCCAAATGGGAGTGTATCAACATGTCCGCTGAACATTTCCACTGAACATGTCCGCCTTGTTGGGCTCTTTTCAACCAACAAAATCGAATATGACAGAGTCCTAAGATAGCTTTCGTGGGGGTGCCGCAGGTGTGCAAGGCACTGCTCAGAGGTATTTTGTGTCGGGATAGGCCAGCCCGACGTCACTATCCCTGCGTCACGCGTGGAGCAAATCTTGGGGACTTACTCACCGGAAAGCTTGGCGGCTTCTGGGTGTGCCCTTTTTGGGGGGTTTCCCCAATAGGCAAATGGGACGGCCATCCAAGGGGTAGCCCTTGCGAGCTGTTCTTAGGCTGGAACACCTACGAGATCCGGCTTCAGGCTGGGACTAGACCTGCAAACATGCCTGTGCTCATCCCGAAACCAAGCTTCGCGGGAGCTGCAAAGCAGCGATCGCCGCACATTTTTTCGACCTGGGATGCCCCGAACCTACCGGACAGCACCTGCTTTGGTGTTCTCAGCTCTGATTTGCGGTGTTTCTTCTCGCGCGTTGTGTCCAGAACCCGCCGTTTCCTGGCGCTAAGGATATCTAACGCCCCACAATTCGAAGCCCAGGGAGATGGGTAGCTAGTTTGCTTCGCCTGGCGTAGAAAAGCGCCCAGTTTCATGTTCGACATGAGGAAACTCAGTTGCCCAAAGCCGACCTTTCCTGTTTTGGTCCATTTTTAGTGGAGGTGCCAAAAGGTTAACCTTTTGTTTCTGGGTCCTTTGGGCAAGTGAGGAAATCGAAAGGGCCACATCAGCCAAAAGAGTGCAAATTTGCCAATTGACATGGAACCCCACCAGCATACTCGCTGCTTCCGTCTGACGTGGGTTTGGCTGGGGGATACCGCAGTTGGTGATAAACCATATGCAGTGCATGTTTGGTTCAAAAGACAGAGTGCACTGAATGTACATGGCCGAAACGTGCACTTTAAGTGGCCAGGCGAAACCTGGACCAAGCATGTTTTGCTGGTTTGGAGCTTGGTTGTTTGCTGTTCTGCGTGTTGGGGGCATTCTGGGAAAAAGCTGGAATTCTACGGGAAATGTTTAAATAACCTGACAGATTGATATACACGGACCAAGCATGTGGAAGTGTTCATGGCGGGTTGCCAGCCGGTACCTTCTCAGCTCCCTACGCCAGTTTGGGCTACTCCCGGGCCTCTTCCCGAGGGTTTCTGTCCATCCTGCCCGAATCTATGCGCACCGATTGATACCCGCGCACAGATTCAGGGATGGACAGAAACCCTGGAGAAGCCACTGAAAACCGGAGCTACCTTTCTGGGATACGCAACGAAAGCACATCCGCGATAGATATATGGGGTACCCCGCTTTTACCTGGTTGGTTTCGAGGTGCAAACCGTCTGAGACTGACGTACCAATTCACCCATCGCTTTTGTCAAGATCTTGTAAACCTCCCTGATTTTTGGCACTCTCCTGGAAAGAGGCATCCCTGATGGGGAAAGTGTGCTAAACAGGTGTACATGAAGGCCCCCCCCCTCCCACAACTCCGCAACTGTGTCTCCATTTCTCCTGCGGAGGAGATCTTTTCGGACTATGACAAAGATCACTCGGGTGTGCCCGCCTCAAGGGGATGAAGACTTGGGTTGTTCTCCACACGCAAAGCTCCAAAACCTGGTCCTCAGTTGTTCAGCGGCACCCTGTTTCCCAAAAAGGGTTCCCTATTTTCCCAGGGTCACTCAACAACTGGGGGTCAGCGTAACATCTCACATCTTTGACGAAAATCATGAACACTGAAAATATTTCACCGTTTGGTTTCGGGTTGAACGTTGACCCCTTGATTGCGGCCCTTTCGTTCCCTCGTTTCCAGATGGAGCAGGTGTTGCTTTGGGCATACCTTTTGAGCAAACTGAGGACCCTAAAGGAATCCTTAGCTCGGGGTATTGTCAAAAGCTCTGCCTGCTTTTTTTGGTTTCTCCAGGTGATTCCATGTCGCTGTATAGATAGGTAACTAAGGGAACCACCCAAAAAAACAATTGGCGAAGGCTTGCCTGGGGTGTTGGTTTCTGGCGTGAACAACCTGTGGGGGATTTGGGCATTCGCCTGGGACATGGGCTTTCCAAAGACCTCTCGTGAGGTTCCATCTGCAAAGCTTGAGGGTTCGAAGTTTTCTACCTGGAAAATCCACCCCAATGTCCAAGGAAGATCGTTGGCCCGCCATTTTGGCGAATCCCTTGTCCATTTCTTGTTTTTCCAGTGAAAAAGGTAAGATGGCATTGGGCACATGAGTCACTTTAAGACTCGGGTATTTGGAGGGTAGTAAGGGACAATCCCGACCAGAATTAGGTGCAGCCGCCTTTGTAGTTCTTTGCATCGGTTTGGGTAGGCCATTTGAATACCGGCCTTTGATTCTGGCTCACATGCTGAACAATGTTTGGGTTGGTGGAAAATCGAAAACAAAAGCAGGTACCTCCGCAAGACTCAGGACCTGACCGGTCCCTCCCCGCCCCCAATTTCTGCCAACTCGTTGTGGCTCCAGCAAATCCACATTGTCACGATAAGAGCCTACATAGCAACAACGAGGTCACGGAGCACTTTGATTCGGTGTTGGTTTGTTTATTATCATACCCAGATGAGTGCTGCCTTGTGGTGTCCCTTCAAAGCCATGCAAAACGGGTACCGGCATATGGGAGGAAGGAAGGCCATCTTTTTCCACTTTTCAGCCTTGCCTATCTGGGTCTGTCTTTGTGCAGGGGACCCAAAAACATTGTGGTTTTCCTTGTGGTTTCTCTTTAAACCCCCCAACAAAAGGAGTGTGCCCTACAAAAGAGAAACCCATCTCTAATTGTGACTGGGTAATCGCCCGGATTTCCAGCTAGATTTGCCAAAACTCCGAACATTTCAACAAGAAGTTCTCTAAAAAGCATCCCAGCTTTCTGTTGGTCCCCAACCTTTTATTCTCCAGACGCCTTCCCTCAACCACGTGTTTTTTTCTTTCCGGCGACGCCTTCCGCTGAAAGGAGCGGTCGAGTTCCGCGGTCGAGCTCCAATTCCGAGGCGTTGGAGGTGGAGGAGTTCCGGGCCCTGCTGCGGGACTTCAACCAGGGCCGCAACCCCACGGACGAGGAGCACCTCGGACGAATGAGAAGACGCGCTGGACGCGCGCTGGACGGGAGACGACGGGACTTTGGTCCCGTGCCAGGATGACCGATTTGTGTTTTGTGCCGGGGTTGGATGTGTCTTTGTTTGTTTTTGCGGTGGGTTCTTATTTGTTTGTTGGAGGTGGTTTCTTGTTTGTTTGTTTGAGGTGGTTTACCTGAGGTGGCGTTGTTTTTCGGCTTGAGCTTTTGCTTGTCTTGGACCCTTGTTTGAAGACCATGGTTCTTCTTTTCGTTGGCGAGGCGGGTTGTCCAAATTGGGGGCTATTGGTGGCCCCTTCTTGGTATCCCTGATAAGGCAGCAAGGTCCAATACGGGGAACCCTCAGGCAGTTTACTCAACCCTTGTGCAGACAATCGGGCCCAAAGGATTCGGCTTAAAGTGTTTAGCAAGAAACGAGTCAAACGGCAAATCATCAAGTTACTAAAAACCATGAATCAGTTAGTTGTATACATAGATAAGTAGATCACTTGCGTGTGTGTGTGTGCAGATTGTGTCTCTTTCTTGCTGACAGTTTTGGAATAAATCAGATTTGTGTTTTGTTGTTTATGTGGTTCTCATGTCGCGTCATCTTTGGTTTGCTTTGCCACATCCTGAATCCTGAGTCTTCTGTGTGTGTGTGTGTTTGTTTGGCTTCCTTCTGCGTGGATCCCCCCTATGGCGGTGGAGCACAATCGACCCGACTAGTCAGCCCGCTTTTGTTATGTTTACAGGGGTAGTAAGAGGCCATGGGGTCCATGTTGTTGCAAGTAGAATGCCTTGTGGTTTTGTGTACAGATGGTTCTTCCAGATACACAAGCTAGCATGTTTGCACGAAGCCACGGAGAGAAGCATAATTGTAAGTGTCAATGCGTCTAACTCCTCCAGAATGTTTTTCGTAATCTCGGTCCTGTTTCTATATGGTTCCTGTTTCCATCCACTATGTATTAAGATGAGAGGTAGGGACAACACTTTTAAGTGCTAGGTGTCAAGGGTTATATATAATTGTCCTTTGACGTCCTTTTGAGACTTATAGAAGCTAAGACAAACAATAAATGGGCAGTGCAGTAATTAATATTCCTTGCATTGACACATTCCCTCACCTCACGTTCTGGCTCTTGGGAGACATGACATAAGCACATCTGGGCAGATGAAAGAACAGCTGGTAAAAGCAATCCTACTTGAGCTGTTGATCTATATTGGAGGTCATATGATAATTTAGTGCTGTATTACATTGACTTTCAACGCGACAGAAAGGGATTAGCATCATTCTCAAACAATCTAGTATGTGTGCGATAGCGGATGCTCGGACAGCGGAAGGCCTAACCGGACCATCAAAGTTAAAACGATTTACATCCCCCAGAACTGCTCAAGCCGTCCCGTGGAGAAAAAACAAGTCCGGCTAGTATCACTGATCACCCTCTTCGCCTGCCTCGTTGGGATCTGCAAATCCTGTATTTGTCTTGTGTGGTTCTTGTGTTATAATTGTTTACACCTCCACAAAACCAATCCGTAGCGCCGCCGTAAGAGCCAAACACCATTGGGTGTCGGCGCCGCTTAAGGCGTTAAGGGACGCCTCAAAAAATGGTCGGTTTGCCGTTGGTTCCTCCGAAATACCAGGTCGGTTCAGCAAGCGTTTTCACACATACTGTGGATGGTTGTGAAGTCCAATTCGCACCACCTAAGAAACCATGGTTGAAACCATTGTTGGTCGGTATATACCGGAAAATCAATTCATTCCGCTGGGTTCCTTAGGTGGTGCAGAATTTCGTCAATCCACAGTAGGCTCACTTGTTGGCCAGTTGGCTGGATCTTTAACCTTTACTCACTCCCTGAGTTTCTGGACTTGAGTCACTTTTTTTGGGTTTGGACCATTTTAGTGCAAATAAAATGTTCGATGAGCGTTGGCCAACCGACTTTGGCAACTGATTGGTTCCCCCAACAAAAACCAGCGCTTTCTCTCATCAATTTGTTCTGTTCTGCCGGTTCATGGCGCGCCAGTCGTGCTCCGGACCAGTCGCATACAGGAGCGCAAAGAATTTCGAACAGGCGATAGCTATACTGAGATAAAACCCAAAGAACATCCACCCGTATTGATCACGGCGGGTTTCCGGTGTTGTTCTACTTGTCCGTGTTTGAGGGCACCGAGATGTTTAGAAGGAGAACCAAAGAAAGTGCACTTTACTATGTTTGACAACTTGAGGAAGCAAATTCAACTCTTTTTTGAAGAAAAACAGATTGTTTGTAATAGGGAATCCCGGATTTTTGTTGGTTTGCCTCTTGGTTTCCCTTCAAATACACAAAAACGGGCTACCCTCACAAGAAGACACGCCCAAATGGACCTTTTGAAGTTCGAAGTGCCTGTTCAAGTTGAATTGAAAATCAGTCGCCAAGTTTTTGAAGAGCAAACGGGCCAGCTTAAGTTGGTTGAACTAGGTCCCCCAGTAGTGCCCTTTCTCACCCAACTTTTTTGCACAGACTTCCACGGTTCGGTTGAGTTCCCAGAGAGCCGAACTAAGACCGAGACCAGCGGACGGGGACGTCTACTTTTGCTTTTGGGAATTTTTAAAGGGGTGGGTTGCGACAACAGGCTGGTATTTTGGAATCTCATGGGGTAGGTAGAAAGGGGGTTGGGTTGTTGAGAGCCCTTTCGGATTCCTTCAGGTTGAAGGTTTTTTAGGGCTTAGGACATCCTCCTCCTTGGACCCCTACTAAAACAGACCTTATTCTAACCTCTCTACTGGACCTAGTTGAAGCTTGGAAGGGAAACTGAGAAGACTCAGAACGAGGTGAAGGCAGGTTTGAGCTCGGTGATTTGGAGGACCGGTGTTTGCTTGGAAAGAGCTTTGCGGCCAATTTGCCGGTCCGGGTGTTGGTAAACGAAAGCAAGGAACAGCCATCCAGCGGGAACTGATCCTGGGTGATTTGTTTAGATTCTTCCATTTTTTATTTTCCCTTGTTGGTCTTAAAAGGAATTTATCACTACTGGAAATATGTTGATTTCTTCCAGGGGGTTTAACCAAATGGAAGTATTTTAACGGTGCTTGCAGGTATGCCTTCATGATGAAGCTCGCTGACAAGGACATTTGCAAGCGATTGATGTGTGAGATGTCGGATTCCTGTCCACTTTGTCAGGGAAAGTGTCATTTCGACCGACGTTTCGAGGGTATTTCTAACAGAGTTGATAGAAGGATACGCCTTTGCCATGTTGTTGAAAATTACTTGGACAAGCTGATTCGGAGGATGGCCTGTGAAATCATGTGATTGGATGCAGGTGTTGGGAAGACCAACTTTCTACTCTGAAAGTGGCAACTGGGAGCTGCCCTATATCTTGGTGGCTCCCAGTCATCCCCTTAACCTTTCAGCTTTTTTGTGCAAAAAGTGGTAGTGTCCATTTAACCCACTAAAAGTGAAGCTTTTAGCGGGGGATCCGAAAACGGGCAGCCCAGTTAAAGTGCAATCCCCCAAAAGGGTTCCGTGTCAATTCTTCCAAGTCACCTTGGAACACCTTGTTGCAATTGGTGTCAGGACCGCGATGGGCGAATCAGCCTGGGAGAGCTGCCTGGCACGTTTCAAGAGCCCCGGTACCGGCCAATTTCAGAGGTGAGTCCTCAAAACCGAAACCCGGGTACATGAAGGTTAGGGACGATCCCCTTGCCAATGGCTGCGGCTTTTGGGGGAAATGTCGTGGCTCCACGATTTGGAGGGGACAATTGGGAGGATGCTTTAAAAAAAAGTCCGTGCACAGTTTGCACTCTCCAAGAACCTGTAAGGAATTGTCATGTCATGCTCATAAAGCATAGAGCTATGAGTTTGATGCTTGGAATGCCCTCCAAGTTGGTTGATGGTTGCGTAAATCCACATCTATGGTCTATAATCAATCATGTTCACTCAGCGGCACCCGATGATTGATGCGGCCCCACTGTTTGGCTTGTGGGCATCATCCTTGAATGGGCACTGATTTCTCGTGACAAGAATGTTGGGTTTCAGGCAGAGAGACAATTCGTCAGAAACGAAAAAACAATCCCTGGACTTCCAGTTTCACTCACTACACATCACCTCACATACACAGACAGACGGAGAAAGACAGAGAGAAAGAGAGAAAGAGAGAGAGAAAGAGAGAGAGAGAAAGATATAGAGAGAGAGAGAGATACAGACGGAGACAAAAAGACAGACCGAGAAAGACAGAGACAGACAGACAGAGACAGAGACAGAGATAGAGACGTGATTTCGACTGCCGAAAGTGTTCGCGTGTAAAGGCTAGCCAACGCCGCAACTTGGACATGAGTGATACTGTCCAGTGGGCATGGAGGGGATGAAACATATTGGGGCGCCAAGTGGTTGCTTACGGCTTACCAGCAAAGGGTCCACCCGCGTCCCCTTCCAAAACAATGACGCGCGCTCCTCTTCCAAGAAGAAGTAGCCTTCCACAGTCCACAAGTCTGTACATGTGCGTTGGGGTCTCCATGTTATTCGTCATATCTCAGGAAATCGAAATATGGGCCAGAATCTGATTAAGCTGAGTTTTGGGGGGGGTTGCTCTTAATTTGAGTTCTATTATATGAATCTAGGACGAACTATGGACCTGTTGTTTGTTTCTTCCTCAGCTTTGGGCCTGTGTTCCAGAATCCAAGCCGTGCACTATGAACCAGCCTTTGGTTTGGGCCGCGGGGCTTGGGTCGAATTTTCACCGATCAGATCGGATCGTCACAGGCTGCATTATGCCCTTCGGGCCTGGCACAGCTACCGGCACATGGACGCCGGGAGCCAAAAGTGACCAGTGACCCCATGGGAGTGACACTTCCACGTGGCTGGAATGGATATATGTTTTCATGTTTTTCCTTTTGGGTGCTTGAAAGGGAATCGATTTCACTACTGAAAATAGTTGTTAATGGATATATGTTTTCTATTTTCTCATTTGGGTGTTTGAAACGGGAATCGGGTTTACTACTGAAAATACTTGTTAATGGATATATGTGTTCATGTTTTTCCTTTTGGGTGCTTGAAAGGGAATCGATTTCACTACTGAAAATAGTTGTTAATGGATATATGTTTTCTATTTTCTCATTTGGGTGTTTGAAACGGGAATCGGGTGTACTACTGAAAATACTTGTTAATGGATATATGTTTTCATGTTTTCCCTTTTGGGTGCTTGAAAGGGAATCAATTTCACTACTGAAAATAGTTGTTAATGGATATATGTTTCCTATTTTCTCATTTGGGTGTTTGAAAGGGAATCGAGTTTACTACTGAAAATACGTGTTAATGGATACATGTTGTCTATGTTGCCTTTTGGGTGTTGAAAGGGAATCGATTTCACTACTGGAAATGTGTGTATGTTCCAGGGGGCGAAAAAGCAAATGGAAGCCTACACATTCCTACACATGAACTATCTGGCCCCTCAGGCTGTTTCAACAATATCCGTTGGGATTCGTTTCATTGGGATTAGGGGCCTCCTTGTTCAAACCGATGCTGTCCTACCCCCTGTTCAGCCCGAACCAAATGATGGATAGACAAAGGTCGCAGTACCACACCAACAGCCCCTTGGTTCCCAGCACAGGGAAGGCGTACGAGAATTCCAGCTAGCCATGCAGTGGGCCAGCCGTGTTCCTTTCAAGGTTTGAAGCCGATTTCCTTGGGTATCTACTGCACAGGTAGGGTCCACTAAAACAGGGAGGTCACACTCTATGTTCAATCCAGCGGGGTAGGCAAAGCGGGGCGTGAAGCTGTATGGCCTGGTGCAGGTGTTTATGCTACTGCCACCTTTTCAGGGAACCACCGGAAAATGTGGTTGGTTTTCCTTTGGTTCTTCTGAAGCAAAGTATAAACTTGGTTTTGTCTCAGTTCGGTCCTTCAACTATGCCCAAGTTTGTCCCTTCAGACCGTGTAGATGCCAGGCCAAGAGGCAGAGGTGGGCCGGCAGGTGTTTGGCCTGGCCACAGGATGCAATTTATTAAAGCTGTGGAGTTGTGACACACACACACACACACACTCCTCCAAATGGCTTCCTCCAAATCGTTTCCTCCAAATGGCTTCAACTCTTGGCTTGCTCTTGAACCCCTAAAAAGTAATACCCTCTAGAAATTCGCCAGAATTGCCCTGGCCCCAAGCCCTTTGCAAACCAACAATACAAGACAAATCCGTCCAACTCGCAAAGCTTAAATGAACACCTTTCCTGGAACAAAACAACACACCACACTTGTCAATCCCAGAAGAGGGGTTGCACATGCAAGGCCAAGACCCTAAGCACAAACTGGACTAAGTGTGCCCTCCCCCTAATAAGGTGTGTCCTTGCTCCCCAAAACTGTTTGGGAAGACAAGTCTAGTGGTCAAAAAAACGTTTATACTTTTTCTTGCCAATACACTCAGGAAGTGAATTGCTGTTTTGCATGGCTGACAAAGATGACGAGCAAGTCAGAAACAGATTCACGTGTAGAAAATCTGAGTGACATGTTTGCATGTGGATGCGTTTGCGTCCTGGACGAAGAAGGTCAGCAAGTGGACGTTTTGCACCGGAGCTCGCTGAAATTCCGTCTGCGCCGACTTTTCATAGCGTTTGCTGGACTCCTTGGCTGGATCAAAGGACGTGCACCTGAATCACGCCAGGCGCCTGCCAGGGTGCCCGATGGTTTGCTTCTTACCTTGCTTCAACGTGTTGAGTTGCTGGTGTTTCTGTTCGTTTCTTTGTTTTGTCCTGTCATGAGTTGCTGGTGTGTTTGCGCGGCTTTTGCAAGGAGTTGCTTCACTCCTTGCGTGAATGTTGCATTTTGTTTTCTCCGGTCATGTGGCTGTGGGTCAAACAAATCCGGCACCAAAATGGCTTACCTCGGATGGAAACCTGGACCGTTAAACCGGCGGTTCCCTGGTGGCTGAATTTTGACCCATCCCGGGGCGCCCAGGACTCGGTGCTGCGGCTCTTTGCGGAGTTCGACTTTGATGAGCCGCCTGGCGGAACGGCGGAACGGCTTTGCCCGGCTTACGACATGGCCCAGGAAAAAAGGGAAAGGCGTGCGACAAAAGTTGGGTTCCCTTCAAGACATGACTAGGTCCCCCAGTAGTGCCATTTAACCCGTTTTTGGGGGGAGGAAAATCGACTACAGAAAAAAAGGTGCCCTTATTCTAACCTCTCTACTGGAGGACCTAGCATGACGAAAAAGTCGGAGTTGGAGTTGAATCAAGGGGCTCTCCAATGTCCAGTTGGAGACTAGTCCATTAGGTCCTTTTTCTTGTGGGAGGGGTACTTTGAGTTTCTGAAGGATGGCCAACCCTAAAGAACTCGGCGCAGCTTTCTTTGTCCCCCTTTTCAGGAACCATTTTGCTATGTGCCAGTGCCAGAGATGGAGCAACACTCGAAAAGAAGAAGAGCAGGGTCAGGGTTTTGTTTTTGCCACCTTTTGCGAGAGAATTGGCGACCCCCTCAAAAGGGAATGCTTCACTTCGAGGGAGTCGATCATTTTTGCACAAAGACCCCCTTGAGCAGGGTTCCCTTGATATTTTCCCTGGACCCCTGGCTCATCCTCCCTTGAGGCGCAAAAGCATGTTCGTGATCTGAGAGCAAGCCGACGGAATGCCGGTATGCGGTCGATGGATCCCTTTAAGTATTCCACAGCTCGCATCATGGGCCTCAATGTTTTGAGGGGCAAGTCGGTCCTTCTGCTTCCTTTCGGGAATCCCCTTCTTGTTCCATGAGCCAACGAAAGCCTGGCTCATTCTCCGCGACTGGGATCTGGTCACCGATGTTCAGCCGCTCACCTTCGGGGCAGGTGTCCATTCCCTGAGCATCCCCAAAAAGAATGGGAAGGAGGACTCCATTTTTGGCGTAACCCCCTCGTTTTGTGTTTTGTTGTTCTTTTTTGTGTGTGTATGTGTGTGTTTTTGTTTGGGGGGGGAAGGGGGAAGGAGGTTTAAAAGGAACACCAAACGGAAAGCAAGCAACTTTCCGCGAAATCCGCGAGTCTTGCACCACCGAAATAAAGTCATGGTTGAAACCATAGTGTTTGTTGGAAGGAGCCGCAACTTAAAGCAACGGAGGATGAGGGAACTCCAATGAGCTGCAAGAAGTCTCAGGTAGACTGAGGTCTGCAAAGCGATTCTAGATGTTGGGGTAGACAAAGTGGCTGTGGCTCAAAAAACCGGTACCAAATTGGCCTGCCCTGGTAAGTGGAAACATGGACCAAAACCTGCGGTTTGCCCCTCCTGCTTAATTTTGAGCCACACCCAAACCTGGTACAGGGTCAGAACATCTGCTTTGACTCAGATGGCTTCGTGCCTGCACCATCAATGAAGGACACCTGTCTTGACTTGTCACAAGGTGACAAGTTGGGCCAGACTCCACCTTGTGGTGTTGGACCACCCAAACACCGCTTATGGGTGTGACTCAAAAAGAGTAATTTTCCAGGAGCTCCGCTTTGGCTTTCCTCCAAGAAAAAACAATGCAACACCACCCCAATCATAAAGCCTTTCCGCATTGAAATCCTTGCAAATCTCCAAGAGGTACCAGGCACCAACTCTAAAGGTCTTTGACGTGCACCTGACCACCAAATGGTGTTCCTTTCAATTCTCTTGCAAACCGTCCAGGAAGAAAGGAAACAAGCCAAACTCTGCACAAAGGTTGTAGATGGGGATACGTTTCCTCCATTTTCCTTTTGAAGCCATCCCCAGCGCATCCTGCATGCAGATGGCGCACAGACCAAAAAGGGTATTTTGAGCAGGACAGCACATCCCCAGTGGCATCCAGTCGCGCATTTCCCTTTTTCCTTTTTTTGGGAAGGGGAACCCCAGGAAACTCCACCAAAGGATGCCGATCCTTTTTCCGTTCCTGGGAATCCACTGGGCATCTGAGTGACTAGCCGGGTCCAGTTGAGGTGTTCTCCGCCTGGCAAACGGGTCAAACAGGGTCCCCTCTTAGAATCAGAGGAAAGCCATTGGGCGGTTTCTTTTGGGTCCGGCCGTCTCAGGTCCGGTCAGCTCTCGCTCGAGGAGTTGGCCGGCTTGCTCACCGCCATGAACGGCAACAAGCCCGCGCGACGCCCCAGGGATTGGGAGAAGAAAAAAAGAAAACGAACCCCGCTTTTTCTTTCTGGCTTCCATTTGCTGACATGAATATGTGTTGTTAGTTTCCCCTGTTGGTTTTAAAAGGAATCTATCACTACTGGAAATATGTCTATTGTTTCCAGGCTGCTTAAGCAAATGGCAGTTGGGTGGCCAGCCGGTTTTTCACTTTGTGAAAAAGCGCGAGTTATCATTCTTCTGATTACCATTGGCCAAAGTTGGACACAAGATTTCCCAAGAGGAGGTTTTAAGCAGTTCGGTGGTGAAACTGAAGGGACTTTGGGTGGTGCGGGTTTTAGAGTCGGTACCTTTTTTTCCGGTAGAAGCGAAGCTCCGAGAAGCTGCATGAACCTGGGGACATTCTGTTGCGGGGCGTGGATTCATGTCAAGGTCTTTTGAGGGGGGGTCCGCGTATGTTAATAGGTCCCCCAGTAGTGCCCTTTTACCCTGTTTTGGAGGAGGGTTAGTAAATAGACTACAGAAAAAGTTGGTACTTACCCTTCTTCTAACCTCTCTACTGGAGGACCTAGGTGGTCTGAGATGAATCCCAAGCTCAGCTGAATTGCCCCTCCCTCCCGTGCCATGGCACTTGGAAACCTTGACCGTTCCGAAGCCCCAGCGAGGGAAGGATAAAAAGAATCTATACAAGAAACCTGATGGTTCCAATCTTCCACTCTCTTTTTTTTCTCTGAACGACTAGCAACTAAAAAAAGGGATTGCTTCAGATCTGAAGCAATGGAAACACCAGCCATGAATTCATTCCACCCATGGCTTTCCCTTCGGGTGCGAGGAGAACCTCGCAGTCGCGTCAGTGGACGCAGCACGCAGCACTCGAGGTGCCCAGGCAGGAGGTCATCAGAGTCATGCAGGAGGCGGATATCGCAGGCAGAGGCCTCAGCTGGTTCACCTCTGCTGCCCCCTTTTTTTTTTTTCGGGGGGAGAAATCGAAACCCCTCCCCAGAAAAAAGCGACGGCGCTTTGGTTTCAGGAAAAAATATGGGGAGCTGACTTAAAGAAATTTTACTGCAAACTCCGAGCTGCCCTCTTCCCCCATGGCCGAGATGCCGGGAGTCTGTGGACTGAATTGGGGACTTGTTGCCACTTGAAGGAAGTGGGGGAATTACGACTTGTTTCAGAGAACCAATCAAAGTATGGACCAGCGGTAGTCCTTCCAGAAGGGGCAGGATCGGCAATTGGCTATCCCTGATCCACTGTGCCAGATTCTGGTTGCAATTGGTGTGGTGGCGTACTACATGTACGGATTGCAGATTAGGATGAGGGACCCCCCGCCATTTTGGACAACCCAGTAATAACGAAGGATTGCTACTGAGGTTTTTGGGCAGTCTGTTTAAGTCTGTTTGAGGGTTCTTCAGTGGGGTCTGTTTGAGGCAGTTGTTGGAGCTTTGAGTGGGTTGTCCTACGGAGTGATGCTTTGCGTAGTTCGTTTCAGGGGAGGCAACACCACCCAGTTCACTTGACTGCTATTGAGTTGGATCTTTGGACTTTAACTTTTTTGGAAATAAAGGTATTTTCCACCAAACCCCCAAACAGTGAAAAACTGTTTGCAGGGGGGTCGCTGCAGCAACCAAGTTCAGAAGGCCTTTTCATCTTCAGGTCTTTAGTTGGTTTCTTCCCGTTTTGGTAAAGAATGACTGCGACTCTTCGCACGTTGGCAGAAAAACGCGGTCACCAGAGATAGGAAGCGGGTGACTCGTTTGGCATCAGTATTAAGGTTCTTTGCTGTTTGGACTGCCAATAGGGGTGGCTTGTTTTTGTTTTTGAGTTGGTACCCTTTCAGGGGTGGTTGTTTACAGGAAAAGCAGAAGGAAGCCAACCATTTTGGAGGGGGTCCCCTCCCATAAATCCATGAGAGGAAGTCGAAAAACACATGGGTTTTGGTGTGTGCACAGATCGCCTCATGAAGAGCTGTAGCCGCCCTGTTGACAACCCCGACGATTTAACAATGTGGGTTTTGTCGACCCATGTTTGGTGTTTGGTTAACACATTCGAAACAACAAACACCATCTATAGAGTCTATAGGAAGGGGGTCAACCGGTGTTCCCATCCAAATATTGAGAAAACCTCATCCTGTTTTCCAATCATCCAGGTTGATCCTTGTTGAATGAGGGGGTTGAATGCTTCAAAAGGGGGGGGGGGTCAAGAAGTTGTTCTAAATGAGGAGGGTTCCTCTCAATCCCAACAGGGCAGTGGTCAAAAAGGTGCATCCTTTAAACAGCAGAGAACTTCTCTGAATGAGGCGCTCTCTGTTTTCCTAAGCAGAAGTGTGTAATTTTCAGGTTCCCCCCCCCCCATTTCCGCAAATGGTGGTTCATGTCTCGAACCACAAATCCAAGCCCAGTGGGCAGGGCGACGGAAAGCACGAGCCTCGCGCAATGTTCTGCAATTCAGCTGCCAGGTGGTTTTTTCGCGGGTCCCACTTGTTTGAGCCGGTGGGGTGCTCACACGCCTCAGAGCCTAGGTTTATAACTCCAGTTATAACCTAGCTGCCAAGCTGCCCGAAAAGGAGGGGTCAATAGCGCCAAGCTGTTAGACAAAACCTTCCAAACCATGTAAACTTAAGCCAAAACCACCAAAACTCTGTGGACATCTAAGCCTTTTGGTTCCCCGTGTCTTATAGATGTGACCATTTTTCATGGCGTCTCTAGTCGTGTCTCCAGCGGATTCCCATCAAGTTGTTTCTAGTGCCTAGTAACTTGTAATAGGCCCTATCAAACCTTCATAAAGTGGATGGACGAACTTCATTTCGCTCACCTAAGAAACCATGGTTGCAACCTTTGTTGGTTGGAATTTACGTTGCGGAATCAATTGATTGGGTGTTTTTTTTCGGTGCAAGACTTGCGGTTTTGATTTCAGCCATTCATAATGGAAAGAACTTCGAAGTCACAAGCAGCATCAAGCGGCTCTCCAACAAAAACAACATTAAACATTGTCAGTACGCTCCCACCAATTCATATGGAACCTGACATTCGGGCCGGGGGGTCCTGGTTTGGACCACTTTCCGTTTAAAGGGACCGGGTTCAGAACGTCCGATTCCATGTGAAACAGCTGGCAGGGCCCCGCAAGCAGCTTGACGAGAAATCTTCCTTCGCAGGAGACGGTGTGATCCACCGGGCAGAGCTGCTGGGCGCCATTTCGGCCTGGTACGGCAACGTGGACCGCAAGGACCCGCCGGTTCCCAGGCCGAAAAATGTTCAACCAAAACCATCCGCTGGCAACAGCAAGTTGTGGGAAAACAAAAAGTTGGGGAAAGATCCACTTGCAACAAAAAGCTGTGAAAAACAAAACGGGTTGCGAATTTAGGCGTTGTTGTTTTTTCAAAAAATGGCGGGTTGCGAATTGGTTGGTTTCACTGAATCCACATCTGCTTGCACTCCCTGAGAACAGCGGGAAGCTTTTTCCAGAAGGCCTCTACTGCTAGCTCTACTGGATCTTTGAGTCTTCCAAGGGTGGGAGATTTTGGGGGGCATATTTTTTCATTTACTTTGAGATTCAACTGAGTAATTTATGTGTTTACTGCTTTGCATGGTTGGTTGGTTTTTTATATTAGAGTATCGATTTGGACTTGAAACTTTGGGACGACACTGAGTCCCAAGGAATACTGAGGAACTTCGCTGGGATAGCCACCCAGTGGTCATCCGAATGCGCCAGCCTCTGTGACGCACTTCGGCATGGCTCCATCAGTGAACCAGAGCGCTGCCGGGCTCGCGAGATGGAGCTGGTGACAGAGGTACTTGGCTGTGGTTGTCAAACCCATTTTGGGCTACCACCCATTTTTAGTCTATTTTAGTGGGGATTGTGATCATTTTGGTTGGTAGGTGAATTCACCATCCATTTTAGGCTTCCTATTTTAGTGGGGTTGATGTTCACTGCGGTACGGACTTTTTACCCATGGCCACTTGACTATGCCCTTGACTATGCAGAGGAATCCAGATCTCCAGATGAGTTTCCCTGTTTTAGCAGGATTGCATAACTGCTCTATGTAATGCTTCTGTCATGTCTACAAGCCAGATACTTGCTATGATACGTTGAGTGTCAAGTGCTGTGCTACTGCCGTGACTCTTCAGCTATCAATCGCAAACCAGCCGAGTGGACTGAGGCAACATTTGGCAGATGTTAGCTGCAACCAAGTGGTGCGCGATGGTTCCCCCGCCAAACCCACTTCCAAAACCACAAATTCCCCTCAAAAACAAAGGACACACCCACATATTTACCCCAAAGAACCGCTGAAACGACCCGCAAAAGTTACCCCAAAGTAAAGAAAACACCCCGACAACGGTGGTCTACGACTTGCACCCCAGGACACGGATCTGCCCTCCTTGATGCGGGAAGCCTTGGCCAGAAGCATCAAGGACTCCGAATCGGGGGTCTGTCATTTGAGGCTCGGTACCACTTTTTGGGATGAAAAGGGATGTGAAAAGGAAATCGTTGAGTTGATACCCCCTTTTGGGTGGTTGAACAACGGGAAGCAAACAGGAACACCGACATCCATTTTTCAGGAGTTCCATATCCCATTTTGAGACTAGCATTCGCGGCTTTTGTCAGGAATCCGACGTGAGCATACTGGAGGGTGAGGGGCAATGTTGAGGTGCAAGTTTAATCGCCTATCTTATTTTAACGCCTCCGGCTCAGGCCGCCGACATTACAGGCCTGCTTTCTTATTTGCGTCCCTTTGGAATTGTCCCCTTGCCCCCTTCCCCTCTGAGATTTTTGCCCCCCTTTCTTTGTTGAGATCCATTCCCCCTTTCCGCCCTAAGGCCTTTTCTCCCTCTGTGTTTTTTCCCTTTTCCTCCCTAAGATGTTTTCCCCCCTCTCCCTGTTGAGATCCTTTCCCCCCTTTCCCCCCTAAGGCCTTTTCCCCCCTGAGATCTTCTCCCTTTTCCTCCCTTTCCCCCACTTTCCCCCCTACGGCCTTTTCCTCCCTGGGATCTTTTCCCTTTCCTCCCTGAGATCTTTCCCCCCCTTTCCCTGTTGGAATCCTTTCCCCCCTTTCCCCCCTACGGCCTTTCCCCCCGCTGAGGATCCTTTCCAGATCTTTCCCCCCTTCCCTTTTCCTTTCCCCTTTTCCTTCCTAAGATTGTTTCCCCCCTTTCCCTGTTGAGATCCTTCCCACTTTTTCCCCCCTCAGGCCTTCCCCCCCCTGAGAGCTTCTCCCTTTTCCTTCCTTGGATCTTTCCCCCCTTTCCCTGTTGGCTTTTTTTCCCCCAGATCTTCTCCCTTTCCTCCCTAAGATCTATTCCACCCCTTTCCCTGTTGAGATCATTTCTCCCCTTTCCCCCCTAAGGCCTTTGCCCCCAGATCTTCTCCCTTTCCTCCCTAAGATCTTTCCCCCCCTTTCCCTGCTCAGATCCTTTCCCCCCTTTCCCCCCTAAGGCCTTTCCCCCCCTGAGATCTTCTCCCTTTTCCTCCCTAAGATCTTTTGCCACCTTTCCCTGTTGAGATCCATTCCCCCTTTCCCCCCCTAGGCCCTTTCTCCCTCTCAGTTTTTCCCTTTTCCTCCCTACGATATTTCCCCCCTCTCCCTGTTGAGATCCTTTCCCTCCTTTCCCCCGTAAGGCCGTTTTTCCCCCCGCGATCTTCCCCCTTTTCCTTCCTAAGATCTTTTCCCCCCTTTCCTTGTTGAGATCCTTTCCCCCCTTTCCCCCCCTAAGGCCTTTCCCCCCTTGAGATCTTCTCCCTTTTCCTCCCTAAGATCCTTTGCCCCCTTTCCCTGTTGAGATCCTTTCCCCCCTTTCCCCCCTAAGGCCTTTCCCCCCCTGAGATCTTCTCCCTTGTCCTCCCCAAGATCTTTTCCCTTGGTTGAGATCCTTTCCCCCTTTCCCCCCAAGATCTTCTCCCTTTTCCTCCCTAGGATCTTCTCCCACCTTTCCCTGTTGAGCTCCTTTCCCCCTTTTCCCCCTAAGGCCTTTTCAGATCTTCTCCCTGTTCCTCCCGAAGATCCTTTGCCCCCTTTCCCTGTTGAGATCCTTTCCCCCTTTCCCCCCTAAGGCCTTTTCCCTGCCTGGGATCTTCTCCCTTTCCTCACTGAGATCTTTCCTCCCCTTTCCCTGTTGAGATCCTTTCCCTCCTTTCCTTCCTAAGGCCTTTCCCCCCGCTGAGATCTTCTCCCTATTCCTCCTTAAGATCCTTTGCCCCCTTTCCCCGTTGAGATCCTTTCCCCCCTTCCCTTTAAGGCCTTTCCAGATCTTCCCCCTTTTCCTTCTTAAGATTGTTTCCCCCCTTTCCCTGTTGAGATCCTTCCCACCCTTTCCCGCCTAAGGCCTTTCCCCCCCTGAGAGCTTCTGCCTTTTCCTTCCTTAGATCTTTCCCCCCTTTCCCTGTTGGCCTTTTTTCCCGCAGATCTTCTCCCTTTCCTCCCTAAGATCTTTTCCACCCCTTTCCCTGTTGAGATCATTTCTCCCCTTTCCCCCCTAAGGCCTTTGTCCCCAGATCTTCTCCCTTTCCTCCCTAAGATCTTTCCCCCCCCCCCCCTTTCCCTGCTGAGATCCTTTCCCCCCTAAGGCCTTTCCCACCCCTGAGAGCTTCTCCCTTTTCCTTCCTAAGATCTTTTCCCCCCTTTCCCTGTTGGGCTTTCCCCCCTAAGTCCTTTTCTCCCAGATCTTCTCCCTTTCCTCCCTAAGATCTTCCCCCCCTTTCCTCCCTAAGATCTTTCCCACCCTTTCCCTGTTGAGATCCTTTCCCCCCTTTCCCTCCCAAGGCCTTTCCCCACTTGAGAGCTTCTCCCTTTTCCTTCCTAAGATCTTTTCCCCCCTTTCCCTGTTGGGCTTTCCCCCCTAAGTCCTTTTCTCCCAGATCTTCTCCCTTTCCTCCCTAAGATCTTCCCCCCCCTTTCCTTCCTAAGATTTTCCCCCCTTTCCCTGTTGAGATCCTTCCCACCCTTTCCCCCTGAGGCCTTTCCCCCCTGAGAGCTTCTCCTTCCTTAGATCTTTCCCCCCTGTCCCTGTTGGCCTTTTTTCCCCCAGATCTTCTCCCTTTCCTCCCTAAGATCTTTTCCACCCCTTTCCCTGTTGAGATCATTTCTCCCCTTTCCCCCCTAAGGCCTTTTTGCCCCAGATCTTCTGCCTTTCCTCCCTAAGATCTTCCCCCCCCCCCCAGCTTCCCTGTTGAGATCATTTATTTCCCCCCTTTTCCTTCTAAGGCCTTTTCCCACCCTCAGTTCTTCTCCCTTTTCCTCCCAAAGATCTTTCCCCCCCTTTCCTCCCTAAGTCCTTTTCCCTTGAGATCTTCTCCCTTTTCCTCCCCTAAGATCTTTTGCAACCTTTCCCTGTTGAGAGCCTTTCCCCCCTTTCCCCCCTAAGACCTTTTTTTCTCCCCACTTTCCTTGTTGAGATCCTTTCCCCCCCTTTCCCCCCTAAGGCCTTTTCCCCCCAAGATCTTCTCCCTTCTCCTCCCTAAGATGTTTTCCCCCCTTTCCCTGTTGAGAACCTTTCCCCCCTTTCCCCCCTAAGGCCTTCTCCCCCGGTTGAGATCCTTTCCCCCTTTCCCCTCGAGATCTTCTCCCTTTGCCTCCCTAGTATCTTTTCTCCCTGTCCCTGTTGAGATCCTTTCCCCCCCTTTCCCCCCGAAGGCCCTTTCAGATCTTCTCCCTTTTCCTCCCTAAGATCATTTGCCCCCGTTCCGTGTTGAGATCCTTTCCCCCTTTCCCCCCTAAGGCCTTTCCCCCGCTGAGATCTTAAGGCCGTTTCCCCCCGTGAGATCTTCTCGCTTGTCGATCCTTTCCCCCCCTTTCCCCCCCAAGGCCTTTTCCCCCCCCTGAGATCATATCCCTTTTCCTCCTTCTTCCTCCCTAAGATGTTTTCCCGCCATTATTTGTTGAGATCCTTTCCCCCCTTTCCCCCCTAAGGCCTGTTCCCCCCTGAGATCTTCTCCCTTTTCCGCCCTAAGAGCTTTTCCCACCTTTCTTTATTGAGATCCTTTCCCCCCTGTCCCCCCTAAGGCCTTTTCGCACCCTGAGTTCGTCTCCCTTTGCCTCCCTAAGATCTTTTCCCCCCTTTCCCGCTTAAGATCCTTTCCCCCGTTTCCCCCCTAAAGCCTTTTCCCCCCAAGATCTCCACCCTTCTCTTCCCAAAGTCTTTTTCCCCCTTTCCCGTTTGAGATCCTGTCCCTCCATTGCCCCGTAGGGCCTGTTCCCCCCGAGAAAGATTTCCCTTTTCCTCCCAAAGATCTTTTCCCCCCTTTCCCCCTTAAGGCATTTTTTCCCCAGATCTTCTCCCTTTCCCCCCTTCATTTCCTTCACCAGCATGGGCAACATCCCCAGCACCACTTGCATCATCCGCATCCTTGGCAGGCGCTGATGCGGATGATGCAGGTGATGCTGGATCCTTTCCCCCGTTTCCCCCCTAAGGCCTTTTCCCCCCAAGATCTCCACCCTTCTCTTCCCAAAGTCTTTTTCCCCCTTTCCCGTTTGAGATCCTGTCCCCCCATTGCCCCGTGGGGCCTGTTCCCCCCGAGAAAGATTTCCCTTTTCCTCCCAAAGATCTTTTCCCCCCTTTCCTCCCTTAAGGCATTATTTCTCAGATCTTCTCCCTTTCCTCCCTTCATTTCCTTCACCAGCATGGGCAACATCCCCAGCATCACTTGCATCATCCGCATCCTTGGCAGGCGCCGATGCGGATGATGCAGGTGATGCTGGCGATGTGCCGCTGGAGCTGCTAAGGATGCGAAAGCGCACCCGGGGGGAATCGAACACCAATGTTTTTGACAAACTGAGTTGCGCAAGCCCGCACAATGAACAGATTTAGTGAAGCGTCTTCGAATCACCGCGTGGCACGTGGACCCCCCCCTGGGGAGGGGTTAGGGGGGGTAACAGGTAAAGAGGTAAGGAGCATTTTTTGTGTCCAACACGCTGTCTGTTGTCGGCGGATTTATGTATGTCGTGAATACTCTCCAAAAAAGCGAAACAAATACCCACGGCCATCAAAATCAGGGCCCCGACGGTTTCTGAGCGCATGGTTTCTCTTGGTGCGAAGCGGATCTCGCGTCACCATCCGCAGATGAATCCGCCTTCTTTGGGCTTGGTTCTCTTTGAAGGGAAGCAAAGTTTGAGACTCTGAGCACCTCTTCCTCGGGTTTTTCTCGGTTTTGTCCTTTCGCGGGTCAGAACCACGGGTTCTGCCACAGGACGCAGACTATGCGGGCGCGTTGGATCAAGGCCGCAGCGCCTTTGGCCGGGCGCTCGGTTTCCGCGTTTCCGCTCGGTCGCTCGCGGGGCGAGGGGCGCAGGGCGCCATTTTTTTTGGACCTTTGTTGGCCCCGGAAACAACCAGCAACCAGACGTAAATGGCCATGGCTTCAAAACCGTTTTGGGAGCCCATTTTGGGATAGGGGAATTCACCACCTTTTTTAGGCTTCCTATTTTAGTGGTTGGATTGAATCGGGTGTTCACTGGGCGTATGGGGTCTTGACCCACGGCCAAATGAAACCCAGGGGCGGTTCATTCTTTAGGAGAACCCCTGGTCCAAGAATGGACCCCTGTAATGTTGGCCCCTTTGCTTTTTTTTCAACCCAGAGTATTAAGACTGTGGGTGGGCGAAATCCTGCACCACTTGGAAACCATTGTTTGTTGGTATTTACAGCGAAATCATCCTTCCAGGGTCTCTGAGGTGGTGCGAAACTCGGGAACACCCCAGTATTCATTAACTACCCGTAGTCAAACAATGATTTCCTGGCCATGTCTGTTTACCTCTGCCTTTATGTGGCAGGGTGACTGACCCCAAAGTGGCGGAGCACTGTCCAGGTTACCTGTGGTAACTGGAAGCACCGGCTTAAACATTGGAAGGGGGGGGTTCTCCAAAGGGGAAACTGGTGCAAAACACCACGTGTCCCCTGTTCGATTGAGTGTCCTTTTCTAGGAGAACCGGAAAACCTATTGAATAGCGGTGGATTTGTTTGGGATGCCCTGATTGAGTTTCCTGCGGGAAGTTGCTAGGGGGCTGAAGCAGTTATGTGGGCGTGTGCTTGCTTGGTCCCCTTGACTTAACACCTGTGAAAAGCCAAGCGTGTTTGTTGGAGCAAGGGGGGGCTACTAGTTCGTTCGCTCAAGGTTGGGGGTCAAAGCTTTGTGCAGAAGCACATGGGCTTCCATTTGCTGAAATGAAGATGTTTATTTTCTCATGTTGGTATTAAAAGGAATCGACTTCACGACTGGAAATGTGTTTATGTGTTCCAGGGGTCGAAAGACCAAATGGAAATTTGATGTGTGGAAAGAAGCCTTGGAGCTGAATGGAATCAAACTGGATCTTGGCCGAGACCCCGAACCGCCGGAAGGCAAAGCAGAGCAGTGGCTCACCCGGCTTGGCTCCAAACGCCCCAGAAAGCTCGCGTGCCTTGGAATCCACCAAAACTTTGTTGCATGTTGCCAAGGGATGTTAGGACTTTAACTTTTTGCTAATTAATGGGGTTTCCGTGTTAAACCGCCAAAAGTTAAACTTTTAGCAGGGGAGCAAAAAGCAACCGAGAAAATGGTCCAGAAAAAGCAAGGCCAAGAACCAGATGGTCTGAACCATCTGCAAGTTGGCGTCGTTTGTGTTGTGATTTCCGGCGACGCTGCAGCAGAATTGAACCGAAGCACAGCCCACTGGAAATGCGGTTTTCTGTTCAGCCATGAAGCAAAGAGTGGGAAGCAAAACAGGTGTCCCTCAGGATATCAACCTGCACATGAACGAAACCCTGGCATGCACCACTGGCTAATTCCAAAATATCTATAGCTTCTTTGGGGAATCCTTGCACAGCAAGGGGGCGGCATGCGCATTTCCACATCCAGCCGGAAAGTGACGTTGAACGCCAAGACGAACAGGCAAGGTGCTGTGATCAGTTGGCCAGCCATCACCCTAAATGGTGGATATTCGGTTCTATATTGCAACCACATCCAACCACCAAACTCAAAAGATCCGTAGCTCTTCTCAGTCGCAAAACAGACGTCCGTCCAAAAGGCCATCAAACAAAAGGCCCGGGTTTCCCCCGGGTTCCCTCTGGCTCTTCCCCGAATTGGGACACCAACCTGACCCGAAAGGACACGCCACGTCGATGGTGAAGGGCTTCGTGGGCTACTCCCAGGCCATGGCCCCGACGTGGCGCGCACATCCAAACGGCGATCGACCTTTGTGCTCAGGTGGCGCAACCAGAAGTGAAGAGCTTGGAGGGTGGTCAAAACCACTTCTTCTGTTCTTTTTGGGGGAGTGGTTCCCTTTGACCCGTCAGTTCGAGGGTGAGTTGGAGGGAATGAGCCCAGCACAAGGGGGAAATCCTTGTAGGGGTTGTGGTAAAGGAAAACCAAATGAAAGCCAGGCACCCTTCTTGGGTGGATCGCTTATTGCAGTTTCATACTGTGGCTGGGTTGCGAAATTCATTTCGCACCACCTAGGAAAACCACCGGAATGATTCGATTCCCCTTCAATTACCAACAAACCATGATTTCCACCATGGTTTAATTGGTGGTGCGAAATGGATTTCGTCCATCCGCAGATTGTCTTGGGACGCTGACAGATTCGATTTCATCGTGAGGCCATGGCAGGTCAACGGCGATTTGGTTGGATCTGTGGACTATTCGAATGATAATGTTCCCACAAAACGGCTAAGACGCCATCCAGGGCCCTGTGTTCCTCTGGTTCGATGCTTATCTCAAACCGGTATCTCTGCGGGAGCAAAGCGTAAGCTTTTTGCACGGGGATTTAGCTACCCAGTGCAAGCCTCATATCCGAGATCGGTAAGCGCACAACTAGCCAAACCAAGCCAGAAGCTGGAAACAAACCACCGCACCTTCCATAAAAGCCAATGGCTTACACATCTAAAAACCTGCCAACAAAACCCACACCAAACTTGCCCCGCAACAAAATCTACATTGAACCCATTCAAAGCTTGCCCAACAATCCACCACCAGTGAGAGTTGGAATTCGCCCAGAGATTTTCTTGGTGCTGGCGAAGTAGGGGGTTTCGCGTTGCCCCCCAGAAAAAAGCGATCCAGATTCATGGAAGGGATGTTTTTTGGACCTCTCAAATGACATCAGTCCATAGAATGTGAGGCTTACTAAAAAGAGGCCAACATCTAGCGTAATCTTATATGCCATTCTCCAAGAATCATATGAAAGAAAATCAGGGGTCAAAGCCCAACGAGGAAGGTACTCTTAGGCCCTACTATAGCATCGATGATTGGGGGCTAGCTCATTTGGTGTTTCTGTTGGCATTTGTTTCGTTGTTTGGCTTGTTTGTTCGGTTGATGTTTTGGATGAGGGGGTGTTACCAAGAAAGATGTTTCACTGGTGGGTCTGGACTGGTGGTTTAGGGAATTGAAGCCCTGGTTCTTGCAGTGAATGGGACGTTTGCCAAGGGGGCCAATCCAAACCACCCACAAGGAAGCCGACTCAATGACCTGGACATCGATGAATTTTAAACCTGGGACCGGTTCTGTTCACTATTCGTGAGAGGGCCGCAAAGTCTTTCAGGTGTGTTGCCAGCATGCTGCGGATGGGTGTGAAATCCTCTTAGGCACCTAAGAAACCCCGCGGCATGATACGACTCCCCGTAAAAGACCAACAGACGTTGTGGTTTTCAGCCATGGTTTGATTTCGGTGGTGCGAGACTCGCGTGGATGTCGCTTCCTCTCTCACAGGTGGATGATGGTTCGGCGCAGCGCGGCGCCCAGAGGGCGATTATTGGAGGATACCTGGGCAAACTAAGGAGCCACCCAGTAAGGCGAGCTCATGAAGGTCCCCAGGAACCCGATGTCCGGTTCAAGAGGAGCTTGCCCTCCTGCTAGAAAGGAAGTCCGAACGAAACCCAGAAAGCGAAACAAGACCAAACACAGAGAAGCAGAAATTCCAGAAACACGCCACAAACTGAGTAAAATCAAAGAGCACCCCCAAAAAAAACTAACCGTTCGGATGCCAGCGCCTTTTCATGCGCGCTGACCCATGCAGCTCATTGGCAATTTGGACCTCAGGTGTGAGCCCAGTGAACTCATTCCACCCTTTCGACCGCTTGGGGTGGGTTTCCTCTTTGAAGTCAACGCAAAAACAGCATGCTGACACTCGGCCGGGCTTCGAAATACCAACAGAGGGAAGTCTTGAAAGTCTGGCACAAGTATTCATTTGGGCCAATGCATCGAGCTGAGTCCACCCAACTTGTTTTGGGGTTCCCATGGCGAGTGTTTGCTACCTGCCGGACCTCTGACTCTCGGATATGAGCAAGGAGAAAGTAGCCTAGTCACGGGCCCATTGTCAGCTTTCAGCCCTATAGCCAGGGAGCTGCCTGGTTAGATTCAGTTGTATGTATGCATAGAAGTATACCGAAACATTGGTACGACTGATTGAACGCTTGACAGATGGCTTCATACAGCCTGCTGTTGTCAATCAGGCACAACCTGAGTGACTGGACATGACCTGCGCAATTTCTCCTCGAGCAGCCGAGCAGTGGGGTGAGAATTTAGATTTAACAAGGTGATGTAACTAGATGCAGAACGACGAGGTGCAGGAAAAAAAAACTGTTCAAGGCCTGAGAAACGTTTGTGTTTTTACGGCCACAGGTGATGGTTGGAGCAAAAACTGGTCGGAGCTTGAAGTGTTTTTCTCTTTTAGCCACTCTGGGCAGCTCTCCGGAAATCGCCCTTCTGCGAGGTGGCGATTTAACGAGCGGCGCACCAAAAGGTAAGATCAATCCTAAGTTGCACAGAAATGACGCCTTTGGCTGGGCAAATAGTTCCAAGCCTGAGGGGAAGCGAGTGTTCAGCCGTGGAACCATGTTTCTAGGCTATTAAAGGATGATTACCCATGAAGCAGAAGACTATATATGTCGCAGGATAAGCTAGGAGAGTTTGTCAAAGCTATCAATTTGCGTAGAAATTGGTTTTACTGACTGGAGCCGAACAACTTGATCCTCTTAGTTACTATGTTGCCATCAAGTGCCCCACGATCAAAGTGCGACACTCTGAATTAGAGGCCTAGTTGCAGGTTGGGTTTGAGTATTTGTTGTATTCAGAGGTAAGCCCGGCACTGGACCCGACGAAGAACGACCGGAGGATTGGGAGGTATTTATGATAGCCCACCGGTTTGGAGTGGGGGCTTTCGTGTTTTGACAGTCGTGCACAACATCAACAAACCTCGCCAGTTGGGATGGATCGCACCAGTTGGGATGCGTTAACCCGGTTCGAATACCGTTGGAGGTGTGGGCGTTCACCGTTTCAGGTTGCAAATCTTGAAATGTGGCTAGCCAGTGGATACCATGGCAATTTTTTGCTAGGACTGCATGTGGTCCAAGTGGTCATGACTACATCCGCTTGACTACCACGCCAATTCCGGGGGTTCCTTGCAGAATATGGGGCGCGATTTGGATTCTGAACAGTTCCATACATCGCTGGAGCTTAGATTCTCTTTGGACATTCCAGCTTTACTTGCTTAGTAAAATGTTACAGCTTCTCCCAACTCCATTTTGGACAGCAAATGGATTTTGTAACGCATGGGAAAGCAGCTGTTGGAGGGAGTCACAGCCATGTCCGTCCTAGGCAGTGGACGCCCTCAGCACCGCTACCGGTGATCTCAGGCGGACATGGGCCGTGTGACGTGTGACGTGTGTGCACGCGTGGCGTGCTTCCCACCCCCTTTTTGTTGATATACCCCAGCCCAGGACCTCAGAGGGAACCAACCCAAAATATGTGTGTTTTTTGTTTGGGAATCCCAACCCAACAAGGGTTGTAATTACCAAGCCACGCAATTAAACGAGCAGATTTGAAACCTTCCAAGTCCACAGCCTCTGGGTTTCTGGGTTACTTTCTTATGTGTCGTCCATTTTGGTGTGTTTTTGTTGTGCCACGGCCCGTTTTAGAGGCTTGCAGCAACAGGTGGGATGCGTAACAGGTCAATCTCAGGGCATGCCTTGGTGGAAATTCCCGTGGATTTCAGCTTGGTGGGGAAGCCCACTCGAGTGAAGAGGTTCGTTTCATACGGGTTTGTCTCAAAATAGAGGAACCCCCCTTTTGGATGGTGTTAAAGAGAAACTGGAAGAAAACCAAGCACCTTGAGGGGTCCCCGATTTTGAGAAGCGCCACGGTGAATCGTTTGCTCATATGTTTTATTCCCATGCAACCTTTTCTCGTTTTAGAAGGCGTGTGAGAGTTCAACTGCTTGTGCGGTCTCAAACAGGTCTGACGAGATCCCAATGCTGGCTCAGGGAAGAGAATAGGGCGGTGTCTCAGAATTGCGGAACCCCCAAATGGAGGCGTTCTTCTTGTTACCTCTTAAAAACACAACTTTTCAACTTTTTGGGTAACATGGGCTATATGTCTGTAAAAGATTAACTTCCCCAGGGCTTGGAGTTTTAAGGGGTAAGTCTTGGTCTCCCTTAAAGCCAACCTGAAACTGGTGCCCTCAACCAAAAACACCCCCAGAAAGCTTTCACCGGCTCACAGTTGGTCGACATTGGCAGAGGTTGGCCGCCGCACACAAACCGCCCAGTTGGAGACAGGGTTAAAAGTGGCAGTTTCCAGTTGGAAGCAACAAGTAAATCGCAACTTTTGAAGGGGAAATTTAGTGCCTCCTGGACTAGAGTGCAGATGGTCCAGTTGTCCTTCACTTTACGATCACAAACATACAGCTTTCTTGGTTGCTCAACACAGAGCAAAACGTTGGTCGTTGGTGAGAGCTCAGCCCCCCTAAGGATCCTTTCGTAAATTGCGTTTTCCAAAAAACTCACGTGCCCAAAGCCGACCTTTTGACCTAAATGAATATGTGTTAGTTTCCCCTGTTGGTGTTGAAGGGGGAATCGAACTATGGACTTCTTCTTTTTTAGGGGGCGAAGAAGCAAATGGAAGTCAGTGAACGAGAAGTTTGTTCCGAGAGCCGCCAGATTCCAACTTCTCAGAGCAGCCGGTGGGCCAACGGGTGATTCAGGCAGGGGCGAGCCGGCCTAGGGGTCGGTTCTTCGGGCTTACCTAGCGCGGGGGGTTTCCGTGGTTCAACTGTCCGCGTAACTTGGTGGCTCCCAGCCATCCCCTTAGCCTTTTAGCTTTTTGGTGTTTAGTGGTAGTCTTAGCCCACTAGAAGTTAAACGTTAGCGAGGGATATGAGGGCAGCCCAGGTGTCTCCCTGGTTCTGGAATTCTGGGGCCTCTGAAAACAGATGCTTTGCGATGCCGGAACGAGCATGGGGTGGCGTTCCTTTTCGCGTCAGCCCCAAGCAAAGGGCAACGGATGTAACCAACATGGGGAGGGCGGGGTGCAACTGTTGATATCAGCACTGGTTGTCTAGGTCCCCCAGCTAGGCACCCAACTTTTTTGGGGGAGGGGGCCCCTACTAAAAGAGACTACATAAAAAAACGGTACCCTTATTCTAACCTCTCTACTGGAGGACCTAGTTGTGCCAGAAAGACCATCCCAAACCTTGTTATAACTTCAACGAGATCCATAAATGAAGTTTTGGCAAAAAAGTATCCGGCAGTCTATGCTCGGGTCCATTTTAGAAAGCTCACTAGATGCCTCAAACAAGCTCACAATGGGGATTCACTGCAATAGGTTTCCCTTCCAAGGACTGAAGAGAGCCCGCGTAGAGACAACGAGGAGATGGCCGACTGTCAGCCACAACCCCCAGGTATCAATCGGCGGATTCCGCCTGGAAGGGAACTCCCACTAAGCAAATTACCCTTGAATGAGAACTTGGATATTGAATGGAACAGGGATTGACATTGCCAAACTCCCGCAGTTTGTGGAATTTCAGCTGCTTGGCATGTGTGTGGCAAGCAAAATGTGTGGGCTTTGCTTGACCAATTCACTCAAGTGGGTGTGTGCTTGTTTGAGGTTACCCCTTTTCACGAGGGAACCCCGACGTTTTCGGGGGTCCAAAAGATTTGGATTGTCTTCTTAGAGGGAACCCTTGCTGGTTGCAAAAGGGTTTCCAAGATGAGACCAGCCATTTTGGGGGGGGGTTCTCCTACCACACCCACCCAAACTCTAGGGGTACCTTCATTCTTTCCAGGCATCCTGCTTTCTAAAAAACCACCCAAGACGCTGGGGAAACAGCGATCGGCTATTGAAAAGAATGGTTGAAAAGCATGCAAGACGAATCAACCCCCTAAATTCATTTGTGGTTTGGATAGTTTGGATGTGGATTTGCACCCTAGAGAATTTTGTTGGACAAGCCTATGGAAGAATCCACCTGGACGAATCAACCTGGAGCCATCTCGGAATCCGCTCTCGGCCTGCCAGGCGGCTCCTTTGGTCCTCAGCTCCTGCAGCAAGCCGCGGGCCAAAGGAGCTGATCAGCGGAGAAAGCGACATCTCGGTTGTCACCTGGTTTTCCCGTTTTGGCCCATGTTTAGTGGAGGTCACTCAAGGTACGGGATTTTTTTTGACTGGCCACATGTCCTCTGGAAGTTCCGTTCGCTTTTTTGGGGTCACCGGCTAGGTCCAGTGGTGTAGGGTCCAACGTGTTTCAAAGGAGGATTCCCCTACTCAAACAGACTACTGAAGAAAGTTGGTACCCTTGTTCTAACCTCTCTACTGGAGGACCTGGCCCGCTCGCTTGTTTCTGGGTCACCAACAAGGTCTGTCAGCTAGAAATCCCTCCAACTCGAAAAGCTTAATTGGCTGTGGTGGTCAAAACCGTTTTGGGATCCCATTTTCAAGTAGGTGAATTCACCACCCATTTTAGAACCTATTTCATTGGGGATTGGGATGTTCGCTGGGGGTACGGGATTTTGACCCATTGCCACATGTCCTCTGGAAGTTCCGTTCGCTTTTTTGGGGTCACCAACAAGGTTTTTCAGCTAGGTCTCTTTTTAACCATTTTTTTTGGTTGGGAGGGTTCCCCTACCAAAATAGACGTCCTGAAAAAAGTTGGTACCCATATTCTAACCTCTCTACTGGAGGGACCTAGCAAAGGGAACCATTCACAAACCCAAGAGGAAAATCGCTGGTTGCTACGACAGTACAAACTAAGATCTACTGGGACGGGTATGACGTCAACAGGGGGGGGTGCGCAATTATTAGTGTGCTTGCGTATCGTTTGCCGTACTCAAAGCAAAGGGGCGGGGGGTCTACTCAAAGCAAAGGGGGTGCCTAGGACAAGACCCACAAAAGGGCTGGTTTTCCTCTAAGTGTTCCTTTAGAACCACCAAAAACAGGGGTACAACTCCAACAGACAACTGCCAAGAAAAATATGTTGGCCCTTTTTTTCCCATACAAAAAATTCACTGAGTTCTCGGTCCGGGCAGATCCCTAAGTTCAGGTTCTGCTATGTGGGCTTCCCCTTCATCTTCGGCTGGATCTTGGTGGTCGCCGGCTGGGAGCAGAAGCCTCAAAGCCGGAGACGTTCTCAGGTTGGTCGTGGCGCAGCCAGCCGGTTCCTTGGCCTTTGGGCTTTTTGGCTTCTTAGCTGGTTTAACCCACTAAAGGTTAATTAGTGTTTGCCCACTAGTGTTCGCTTTTTTTCGCGTACAAAGTGGTAGGTTCAACGAAGTTTCCCCCGCGGGAAGTTCTCGTAAATTTTCGCGGATCCGAAAACGTTTTGCCCCAAAGCCGCTGGGTCCAAACGGGCTTTTGGCGTCGGTGGCTTCGACGCCCTTGATTGGTTTCTAAGGCCTCGGGTTCGAGGATGTTTGGGGAAACGCCTATTTTGAGTGTTTGTTTGTTGCGGATTTGTGGTCGACCTCTTGTACCTGGCGAGATTCCCGAAAAACCTGTCCGAATCCTGAGCGCGAACGCAAGCGGCAAAGAAGTTAGTTGACAACAAAGGTCATTTCCGCTCAGGATGTGTGGCTTCCTTTTGGTCTTCTTTCAATTGTCATCCAAAAGCCCCCCCTTCAGTTTTGGCCACCTTGAACCAAAGGGCTGGCATTGGTAAGGTCGAAGATGCGCCTGTGAATATAATTTCTGTCCACCTAGTTCAGGCTGTGTTTGATAAGCTCTCCTCTAAACAACTGTCAAGCACCTGCTTGTTGTTTGCTTGCTTGAATGCTGTTTGTTTGATTGTTTGTTTGTTCGTTTGCTTGCTTGTTTGTTTGTTTGCTTGTTTGCTTGCTTGTTTGTTTGCTTGTTTGAGTGGTTGCTTGCTTGAATGCTGTTTGTTTGTTCGTTTGTTTGCTTGGTTGCTTGTTTGTTTGTGTGGTTGCTTGCTTGCTTGCTTGCTTGCTTGCTTGCTTGCTTGCTTGCTTGCTTGCTTGCTTGCTTGCTTGCTTGCTTGCTTGCTTGCTTGCTTGCTTGCTTGCTTGCTTGCTTGCTTGCTTGCTTGCTTGCTTGCTTGCTTGCTTGCTTGCTCTTTCTTTCTTTCTTTCTTTCTTTCTTTCTTTCTTTCTTTCTTTCTTTCTTTCTTTCTTTCTTTAGTTCTTTCTTTCTTTCTTTCTTTCTTTCTTTCTTTCTTTCTTTCTTTCTTTCTTTCTTTCTTTCTTGCTGTCTTTATTTCGTCCTTTCTTTCTTTATTTATTTCTTTCTTTTTTTCTTTATTTCTTTATTTCTTTCTTTCTTTCTTTCTTTCTTTCTTTCTTTCTTTCTTTCTTTCTTTCTTGCTGTCTTCTTTTCTTTCTTCCTTTCTTTCTTTCTTTCTTGATTTCTTTCTTTCTTTCTTTCTTGCTGTCTTCCTTTCTTTCTTTCATTCTTTCTTTCTTTTCAGCGTTTGGGGCTGGTTTCCCATAATCAAGCAGCACTTCATGGTTCAGTATCCAAGAATCCAAGGGGGCTATCGAGGAAGTTAGTCCTTATTGGAGCGACCTTCCCTCGAAAGCCAAGCACCAAAGAAAAGGCTGCCTTGTGTTTCCAGGGCCGCTGGAGTTTGGGGCTCTTCCCACAAGGCTGTGGGTCAAATCCTGTACCAGTGATCCCCACTACAGGTTCTAAAACGAGTGGTGCACCTACCCCAAAATGGGATTGGTTTTGACAACCACAGCCTGAGGACCTTGACTTTGGGACGAGTGTGCCGGCTGAGGTATCGAGGCAGCATTTGCCCGAGAAATCTGGCCACTCGTCTGCGGCTGACTTGGGTGTTGCTGCCGTACCTACCTATTACACATTTTGTTGGTTTCGTTCGGGCCTCCTCCGAAGAATCAGGCTGAAGCAGGATTCATATCACGTTTGATCCCAACAAACCGACGTTTATTAGTCCAGGCAATCTCCCAGGCGAACACAGGCACGGGTGCACAAGACTCTTTCTCCGAGCCTCTGCCAGTGTTTTTTGGAACATCCCGATGTCTTGGCGACTAGGAGCTTCACGAAAGGAAGAAATGAGCCGCAAACTGCTACACTTGCGCAAGGGGCAATCGCCACACAGACGTAATCAACACAGAGGTCCCTCCCAAACCCCAAACCCAGGAAATGCCATGTGGGGCCCCGTAAAGAGCAAGATGCGGATGAAGTTTCATACGGCCGGTCCATACAAGAATCGCAACTGTGAGTGACTTACCCGTCGAGGCCCTACCTGTCATTTATTTCGGCCAGTAAACTCAGGTGCGGTGAGACTAAAATTGATAATATGCGTAGACTCTTTACAGGAGCTGTCCAAACAAAAGCACTGTGACACACTGTGTCTGCTTTTCTAATGTCCTATTTGCATACCCCCACATAGGCATACACCATCTTTAAATCAATGATTTTGAGATATGTCCATTATTGTTTAGCACGGAACCCAGAACGAGGGTCCACAAAAGAGATGTTGTACAAATGGGTTGTCTCAACATAGGGTAACCCCAAAGCTCGTGGTTATCCTTTTGCCTTAAAGCAACCTGAAAAAGTGTTCCCTCAAAAGAGACACACCCAAGTAGTTACTGGTTTTGTGAGGTTATTCCAGTCTAATTTGCAGGATGGATTTTTGCATGCCTTGTTGAAGGCTGGAATGCCTGGTTGCCCTTTTGGTTTTTCCTTCAACCAGCCAAAGAGTTCTGGCCAACAAAGTCGCGAGGGAAATCGGGTTGCGCTGCGAGCGTTTAAGCGGACCATGCCAAGCCACCTCCGGCTGGCTTTATGGAACCTTTAAGGGTTGCTTTGAGCCAATGATTACACACCCGTTTGGAGAAAGGTTGGTGACTGATGTCCTTTAGCTTCCACCGCGCCATTGCCAAATTTCCTCGGTGGAGCGGGACTTGCTTTCCGTGTCCTCAACTCGAGACCCTGGAACTGGGAAAAAGCCCTCTGGCTCACAAAGGTCTCGGGTTCCTAGACTAAACGTCTGATTTGATTAATCCTTCTTGCAAGAGCTTGCTTTCTTCAAAAAAGACACCAAAGGGAAACTCCCGTCAACGGAGGTTGTCCCTTTTTCATTGTTTTTTTCTCCACCGCCATAAGCTGCCTCAGGACGGCATCCTGATGTGGCACGACGCCCAGACTCGCCTTGAGCATTTGGGGGATGCATTTGTTGGCTGATTCGGAGGGTTCCAGATTAGGTTTAATGAGGATTCAGATTTGGGTCCCCAACTGGTCCTTTGGACCCTCCAACCCTTGGGTTTCCAAAGAGGTCCTGTCGGAAAGACCATCCCGGATTCAATTCGCACCTCTACGGCACGGACTGCCTCTCTGCAAGCTATCCTCTTTCCAACAATCAACTTGGCCCCCCAGTAGTGCCCTTTCTCACCCTTTGTTGGGGGAGTGTTCCCCTACTAAAACAGACGACAGAAAAAAATGGTCCGTATTCTAACCTCTCTACTGGAATCTACTGGAGGACCTAGTGGCGATGTTTGAGAAAAGACGGATTGGACTTAAACATTTTGGTTTATGGCCATGTGGTAGCTTTATGGCCATGTGGTAGCGGATCTTTGGGGGTACTCCTTGTCTAGGTCCCCCAGCTAGGTGCCCTTTCTCACCAACTTTTTTGGGTGGGAGGGTTCCCCTACTAAAATAGACGTCCTGAAAAAAATGGTACTCTCATTCTAACCTCTTTACTGGAGGACCTAGTCAAAGTGGAAGGAACAGCAGGGTTTTGGAAGAGCCTGAACAACCAAAGCCTGGTCCGCTTTCATGGTTGTTGGAAAGAGGATGGCTGTTTGCAAAGAAAGCTGAAAAGGAACGCCAAAAATAGAAATATACAACTCGCTTCTAGGGGATCGGTTTGCTGAGAGAAGCCAATCTTTTAGCGGATGTGTTGCTCTTTGACTTCTGCCATGGACCCAAATTCCTTGGTGGCATGTGGGTGCACCCCCCCAAAACAAAGAATAACATAATGATATAAGAAGAATGATCATCATAGTAGTGATAATCATAATCAACGGAAAGAAGTTGATTTCCAACGTTGATCCCCCTGGGACTTCTCCAATGAGACACCATCAGCCAGAGTTTACCAGATCTGGGTTCCAATGGGGCAAAGACAACCCTGTGAACACCAACTGTTTAAGCGTCAACCCCAAACAAGGCTCCCATGTTGTATCCCAACATATTTGCGTCTGTGCGTGCGTGTTTGCGTTATTTTTTGGGGGTACTCCTTGTCTAGGTCCCCCAGCTAGGTGCCCTTTCTCACCAACTTTTTCGGTTAAGAGAGTTCCCCTGCTAAAATAGACGTCCAGAAAAAAAGTTGGTACCCTTATTCTAACCTCTCTACTGGAGGACCTAGTTGTTGTGGAAAGGGAAGCCAAGTGTAAACCACCCCTTCCACCTTTCAGGTCGCTGGTTGGTGTCCGGGTCTTTTGGCTCAGGTTCGGCTTCCTGGTCCTCGTCTTTAGCGGCCTCGCCTATGTGACAGACCCCAACGCCCGAGCCCACGAAAACCCGGAAGGTAGGTGGACGTCATTGGGACACCCTTTGCTGGGCAGCATTTAGGTGGGGATTCATGTCCTCATATGTTCACCAAGCATTTGTGCGGTTCCCGTGTCAAACGGAAAAATTTGCTCCTGCCGTGGTCAACTGCAAACATGTCGATTCTCAGCTTCAGATACTGCCGGTTGCCTCCATGTAAAAAAGTTGAGCAACGAATGACCATCCTCAATTGGGGGTGGGTGGCATTTGTTTCCTCTAAGTGGTTGTTCCTCTTGGAGAAGCTAAATGGGTATGTTGTGAAACGGGGTCTCTCAAAGGCATAGGGGCTCGTCACAAACGGGCTGGTTCCCATACGGAAGACCTGGCGGGCATCAAATGAGTCAGAGAGGTCTACTTCTTTGGCTCCAGTGCAGTTCACTATGGAAGCGAACGAAGGGCGCACCGAGCCTCAAAACAATCAGGGCGGACAAAAATGAAGCAAATCGTGCCACGGTTTTCCTAAGTGAGCAACAATGACTGATTCACCAACAACGGGCGGTTGTTCTTTCGGTTTCCCTTTAGACCAAGCCTCAAAGAAAAGCACAGACCAATACTCGAGCAGTTCTACCTGGTCTTGGTGTGCTAGAAAGGCCAACCCAAAAAAAAATCCTAGCCATGGAACCCAACCAAGTCTTGGGTGCCGATCATTTCTTGCTGTTTTGTTGGTGGCAAAGCGCAGCCTGGTGAATTGAGGTTAGCATGATGCCCCTCGACACCAGAGCTCCCTTTCCAACTGTTCCAACGAAAGCGTCACTGGTTTGGGAGCGATTTTGTGAAATTGGCAGAGGTTCCCTTTTTGCAGCAGGTGTCATTTTAAGAAATCAGGCACCCAAACGATTAGATCCATGTGGCGCGGATATCATGTGCTCCATTTGCCTCGTTGAGGCGGTGGTCGGCCGTATCGCCATCCTGGTCATCCTGGGGGTGCCGAACCGATCCGTCGATGTCGACCGGTCTATGCCGACACAAAGCGGGACAAAGTCAAAATGGGAAGGCGTAAGTCAACTGGGAAGCTTGGTGAATTCCGGGATGAAAAGGGGCGTGTTGCCTGGTCTGCTTCCGACACACAAAACCCACCCTATTCATCAACTGAACCTGGGGGTCATAACAATAGACTGCCATTTTGGCAGAATCCGTGTGGTGCCTTTGGTCCTGCTTTTCCCACATACTTGCGCAGTTTGCAAACTGCCTGCTTGGTGTTGATGGGAACATAAAAGGCCAAACTAAATACACACATGATCATCTCATGATCATGGCATACTTTTGTTTTGAAGTGCTGCGCGAACCCATTCTAATTATGTAGACCTGTGTAGCATCTTCATGGCTTCAGTAGATGCCGCAAACATCTGAGTGATTTGTGAGCCAGTTAGCTGTGTAGCTCAATGTCTTTGGGTGCGACCGACCCAAGTCAGGGGGAGCACTTAGAAGTGTTGACTGGGTCCCCCAGCTAGGTGCCCTTTCTCGCCAACTTTTTTGGTTGGGAGGGTTCCCCTACTAAAACAGACTGCAGCAAAAAGGGGTACCCTTATTCTATCCTCTCTACTGGAAAACCTAGTTGACTTGATTTAGCGAGAACCTGAGTGGAAAAAACAAAAGCGCGTCATGTTTGTTGGGGAGCTGAGGTAGGATGATTTGTGTAGCGCACCATAGCCCCCAGGAGTATCGACTGAAATGGCCAAGCCTTTAACTCGGGTATCTTTTCTAGGAGGAACCATGGGGAGACCTGATTAACATGCGGAAGTGGCTGTCAAAATTAGGGAACCACACAAATAGTGGTTGTCCCTTGGTGTTTTTGTAACGTCTGGGTGAAAAGATGTTGGCTCATTGGTCAGTTTGTGAAGAGCACCACTTCTTAGACTTGCTGTTGCTTTTCAAGTCAACCATCATCTCGGCTTCAGTGTTATGACTTCCTGTCATGCTGGAATACCTCATTGCCGATGCTTGCTGCAGCCGGAGCTGGTGTGCAATCTGGAGTGGTTGCATGTCGCCAAATTGCTGTCATCAAAATGTGCGACCTGGCGTCTGGGTTCAACCATGCAGAACTTGGGGTGACTGCTGCCGCATATGCAGGCTGCAAGCTGTCCAGCCTTGTTCCTGCAAAGCATGGACTGGTGTTGGAGACTGTGGCCAAAGGCTTTTTGCACAAGCTTGAGCCGAACTCTACCCTTGTGGGCCCAGTGTTAGGCTACAGGTGTGACGGCAGAAGGCGCGGAGCACGGCAGGCAGAGTATGATTGGCTTCATGATGGTCGTAGGGTTCAGTGCAAGTCGGCTCAGCTGCACTGAGCAAATGGCAAGCATGTTTTCGTGGAATCAAACATGCGTCCTTCGATCAGCTTTTGCTCATCCTTTACAGTCCAGGTCAGCTACATTTCTTTCGACAGGACACTCAAGGCAGTTCATCTCCTGCATCAGGCATATCAGGAACAAGAGGGCGTGACATGGCTTTCTCTGTGCCAAGAGGATGGGACGACCCAAAGAATGCAAAAATTATTCGTTTCTATGCTGAAACAGTCACGGGCATGCACGTTTCTGGGCAAGCTGGAAGCCTCTGACGAGCTGATCACGTCAGCATTGCACACACATACCGATGGCCTCAAATTCAATCTTGAGCGTGGCTCATTTTACGATCACCCCTTGGCATTTTACACCTCGTTCGTCACGAGTCACTTCTACCTGGACGACTTCGTGCAGTCCAGCGAGGACCCCAACCCTCGGCCTCTGCAGCGCACGCCCCTGCAGGCAATTCCCGAGGACGGCTTCCGCACTCCCGCCGAGGCCACGGACGAGGACGTGCGGCTGGCCCGGAGGTACCAAGGCTACGGCGGAACCCGCTTCGTCGAGGACGACCTGGCAAGAGACCCCGAGGCCGGCGCCCTGGCAAGCAACGGCCAGGGCCCGCCCTCCATCACGGACCGCCTGCGCAGCACGGCCGACGGCGCGCAGGCGGCAGCGGACTTCATAGGCGCAGGAGCAGCAGGGCTCGCAGCCGCGCAGGCCTTCCGCTCGCAGCTGCCCCAGGACGCAGCCGAGTACGTGCGCCTGAGCGTGCTGCCCCGTCCGGGCCAGCCGCAGCCGCCTTCGCAAATCATAGGTCGGCCCGACGACGTCGAGCGCCTCCTGGACAAGGCAGGGCAGCGCGCGCAGGAGGTGGAGCGTGGCGCAGCGCAAGCCGTCGAGGAGACGGCAGCCGTGGCTGCGGAGGAGGGTGAGGTTGCTGTTGCCGCCGAGGGCGTGGGCGGAGCCTTCGGGTACCTGGGTGGCCTGGCCGAGGGGGCGACATGTACTTTTGCGAGTAGGTTCTGCTACGTGAAAGCAAAGTGATGGCAGACCCAGAAACACAGGAAGAATCTCAGTGGATCGTAGCACAAAGGATACTCTCAGCACTTACAATACCTGGATTCAATTAAGTCGTCTACAAAGGATCTATCGTTCCCACAGAGCAAAATTACAATGCGCCCCCACGTACCGGGCTCTTGCAATACAAAAGATTGTGCAGGAAGTTGACTCCTTGCTGCATCACGGGGTTGCCTGCAGCAAGAGCGCAAGATACGATTGGCGCCGCGGTGAACTGCGCGTCGAGTGCAAGCACAGCAGAATTGCATGGAGCCGTAACAGCTGGAAATGCAGCTTTTGGTGGGTAAAACGTTCAAACTTTGATTTGCTGTACTTGGCCATAGACCCGGTCTGCGGTTTTTTCAGTTTGGCGGAACGAAGTTCCTGCAGTCCACAGGCAAGAGTGAGGCAAGCCTCGGCAAGACCATACAGGTTTCTGGACCCGCAGGAGTGAAGTGCTGGTCAGAGTCTGTAGGGGCATGACAGATAAACTTGTGATGGCAGGCAGTAAGCACGTGGCGAACGTGGTGTGGTAAGATCAATGCAAATCTTGAGGTCAATGTGCCCGCCTGTTGAAAGATCCCCCAGCAATGCCATGGCTTTTCTGGAACATGGCCCATCGAAGGGAACATGATCGGATACTGGATACTTGTTTCCGCTTCCACTCGGGTTCACTTTGAGCCTACGCTGACATGATAGCTCCCTTGAAACGGAAGGCAGAATTGGCTTTTGACTGGTCGGTGGCGGGTTGGAGGCTGAGTGGCGTGGTTGAATATGTCGAGCGTGCAGCTCATTATTTGCAAGCGCCTCTCCAAGTTGCCACAGAAAAAAACGTGCGACGCCACGCTGAACAAGCTCATTCATGACAGTCCACGTATCGCAGGCCTATCCTGACTGACTGCCACAAGGCGTTGTTTTTCCCCGCCGGCTGTGACTGTTGGGCAAAGTCAAACAGCCATTTTCCCCCAGGGCGGGTGCCAAAATTAGAGACTCCTTCAAATGATTTCAGTTGGCTGGTTTCTTCCGTTGCATTCCATTTATACTGGCACGAACGTATTACCAGATTTGAGGCCAGACTGCCAGCTCGCGCGATGGAACTCGTCGGAAAAGGTGCCGCAAGATGAGAGATGCGGTCCCCCTGCTAGCGGGTCCACAACTTTGGCGTAGAGCCACACCTTGCCCCTTTGGAAACTGGAAAGCAAGGTGTCTCTTCTATTCAAAATCGCTGGTTTTCCCGGCTCCTTGTGCGGGGTTGCCCTTCACAAGTTGCGTCAGCAGAGTTCCCTAGATTTTGACACGCCCGTGTCAACTGCCGGGTTGTGCTTTAGATATTAGTATGGTATTCTTGCGCGGGTTTCATGCACACGGGCTTGTCTCTAAATAGAGGAACCCTCAAAATGGCTGGTTTTCCTTTGGCTCGGGGTTCCCTCAACAACAAACACTGAGCACCCCCACATCTTCAATGAGACTCCCAAATGGGGAGTTGTGTGTTTGTGTGGTTCTCTTGGGAATTTGCTTTCTGGTTGGTTTCAAAAAGGCAAACCAAAGGAAACCGAGGTCCCCCAGTAGTGCCCTTTTACCCCTTTTTTTGGGGGGAGGGTTCCCCCACTAAAATAGACAACAGAGAAAAAAATGGGTACCCACTTATTCTAACCTCAAACCACTGGAGGACCAAAGGAAGCCCTTGCCAGCGCTGCTTGTTGCAGATGCCAGGTCCTCAATATCGTGGGATTCCTCTGGACCGCCGACCCGGCGGTTGACCAGCGAGGCCCTCAACGCTGAGGTGTCCAGCGGGGTGTGGTCGTGGCGCTCTTTCCTTCGGAACTCGGGTTGATTCACTAGGTCCCCCAGCAGTGCCCTTCTTCCTCCTTTTTTTGGGGGAGGGGGGGGCGCCCTACTAAAATAGACTACAGGAAAAAGGGTAGCCTTAAGTCGAACCTCTCTACTGGAGGACCTAGTTAATACGGGGTGTCCTGTTGGGTTATTCTTTACTTTAGTCCACCAGCCTGCTGAATCCGGGGTCGACATTCTTTGAGCTTCAGCAGTTTCGGCATTGGGTTTTCGACATGTGGTTGTTTCTGACTACGCCACATCGAAATAAAGACTTGCGCATGAATCAATCAAGCAGCTTCAGGTGTGCGCCCTTTTCAACATTGCTACCGTTTGGGCTGTGTGGAAGGAGGTCAATGGGAAACAGCTCGGAAGCCATACAAGGGCAGGTCATCATTAGGCTTGGGGTGGGCACCTGCATGTAACCCTTGTGTGAGTTTTCACTGCCCTCAGAGACAAGAGAAAACCGGCGGTACCCGGTTTTTGGAGGGTCTTACGCATCTCCGGTTCTGTCACCTTGGCGACCTCTGACTCTGTTTTTTTGGAGGGGATTTCCTGTTCTACTACAAAATATGTAGCAGTTTCAAAGATTGAGTCCGGAAAAGATTGCTTTGAGCACATGTTGATGTGTTTGTTGGGTCTGGTTCGCGGTCTTGCGGCGTGATTATGTTCCGAATGGTTTGATGGCCTTTCCAGCAGACGGCCTGGTTGCAGCCCAAATTGACAAACGCATATGGATTTGCCACCCAAATCCGGTTCTCAGTCCAACTGGTTGGGGCCATGTCCATCCAATCAAGGCTCTGGACTCTGGAGGTGATTTTTGTCCCCACAACTGAAGGGTTCCCTTTCAAAATTTCAAAATGGATAGGCCCTACTCAACCAGGGGTTCCGCTTTTACTGGGTTTTTAGGGATGGTTCGAGGTTGCCACTCACCAAAGGAATCCCCAAAATGTGACAAAAGCAGCGGTAGAAATGGCCAATAGTCAGGCAACCCCTAATTGGTGGCTTGGAGGGTTACTTGGGTTCAGAACCCTCCGAAAATCCAAAAACCAAGCCACCCGATTCGGCTCCAAAACCACTAACCTGGGAGGAAGCTGAAATATTCCATATGGGTATCTCAGAAAGGGCGATATGCCCCACAATATTCATGAAGGTGTGTGCGGCTTTTTTTTTTGTTTCTGAGGTCCATGACTTGGCGCTCTGGTGTAGCTGCGACCAGCTAAGGGACCCTCGGGAACACTACGCTCCAACCGTTCTTTAAGGGCCTTTCTGTCTCTGTGTAGCGCCGAAATCAAAGAAATGCAAAGCAATATACTATGGACGAAATCCGTTTCGCACCACTTGGAAACCAAAGCGTTTGTTGGCGCATTTACGTTGGGAGATCGAATCCCAAACCCGGGTCTCTGAGGTGCGAGAAGCGGATTTCGCAACCATCAGCATGTGAAGCTCCGAGAGTGGCAATTCCATTTCTCGTCAGTTGGATGGCGAGAGCATCCCGTTTTTTTTTTTTCTGAGGAACAAGGGCGCCTGCGGCCTGACCCTGGTATGGTTCAGCTGGTTTGCACGGGGGCCCAGAGCGCTCAAAGTTGATCTCCAGAGGCGAAGACATCAGAACTTTGGTCCCGTAGCTGATCCTCTCTCACGTGTGTCGCATGGGCGGGGGAGGCCTTGAGTTCTGGAGGGAAGCTGAAGCACGATGGTCTATCCTTGTTCAGGCTGCTTCCTTTTGAAGTGATGTTGGACCAGAATGCAACGAGCAGCCCGGTCCATTCTTGGCATTTCGGGTAGACCGCAATGCTAGATTTGTTTTGGCTATGTTGCAGGTCTTCTTTGAAGTGGATGCATAGGAATCATGAACATCCGAGCTGGCCAACCCTCCATGAGCAGCGACCACGAATCAGATGCCGCGTCACATGAAGCCTCGGATGTGGATTGAGCCCCTGGTCACTTTCGTTGGGCTTCTGCAAGCTGAGCTGCTTGGCAATGCGACCTGTTAGCAAGACATATGTCCTCTATAGATGGTATTTGTTTGGGCAGTACGCTGCTTCGGGCTCACTGTCTTGAACAAGCTTCCCAGCGGGTTGACAACAGAGTGGTATCCAAATGTGACACCGGATGACCATGTTGGCCCCTGAACACTCCGAGCTATTAGTTTTTCGTCAGGTACCTCTCAAAGGAAGGAAACCAGCCAAAAATATCTATCGGAGTGCTCTACCTTCAAACATGGAAGCGCAGGAGCTTTTGTTAGACGGCTTTCCTCTTGGAAGTGTTCCGCTGTGCACCAAATGCTTGGCTCACTCCCTGAGTTGCGTTTCGGACTTGACGGTTACTTTTGGGGGTTGGACCATCTTAGTGGCACTCAAAAAGCTTGTTTTGGACTAGCAACTCAGAAAGGCAGAGCAGGTGAAACCATCTCCTTTGGCAAATCAAACGTTCCGACTGTTTTGCCAATCCACTCAACTAGGTCCCCCAGTAGTGCCCCTGGACCAACTTTCTTGGGGGAGGGTTCCCCTTCTAAAACAAACTACAGAGAAACAAATCGGGTACCCTTATTCTAACCGCTCTGGAGGACCTAGGCTGGTTAAAACTCACTACTTGGATGTTCAACCTAGTAGGCTGTCAAGGAGTGACTTGGGAGGGCCCGGTGTGGTTCGCAGTCGCCAGGTCTGGCTCGGGGTGCCGATCTGCAGCCTAGGCTGGGATGAGGCTTCCTCCTCGAAAGCGGTGAAAGCGACTGGCGGGGCAGTCCTTAGGCTTTTTGTTCTTGATCAGCTAGGCCCCCCAGTAGTGCCATGTTTTATTTTTTTGGGGGGAGGGTTCCCCTACTAGAATAGACTACAGAAAAAAAGGGCGCCGTTCTTGCGGGAAAAACCCACTGCTTGCTTGGCCTTTAGCTTTTTGGTTGAAAGATTGGAACATCTCCATTGGATCCACAACAGGACCCAAAGCCAAGAAGGGCTTCTGATCAAGGTTGATCCAACAGGTCAGATGGGATGAGGGGAAGCAACCGCTTTGGGATTCTTTCTTGATGATGTCACGTGGACCATTTAAACCTGAGATTCCGAGATTGGGAAAGGTGATGCTTGGGGGCACGCCTGGACCAGACTTAGACTGCCTGCAGCAAGTTGTTTGCCCCCCCAAGGTACGCTAATTCCGGCGATGCGACAAACCCTGACTGAGGGCACAAGCCCTAAACTTGAAAAGGCCCCTTTGTGGCAACTTGAAAGTTTGGCATACTTACGAAGCACACTCGGGGACAACCACACACATCTTTAATCGTCTCATAAATCAACTTTCTCAAAGAAGGGCCATGCTAAATGAGGGCTGGGAACCCCCTTTGGTGGGGTAGTGACGAGGGTTTGGTGGGGGAGTGATTCATTTAATTCAGTTTAGGCGGGCCTCTGACTAATATGGCCCTTCTATGTTGGTTGCTGTTGACCCCTCTGCTAAAAGTGTTCAGCTTTTTGTGGTCCAATGGAAGTGTTCCAATCTTTCAACCAAAAAGCTCAAGGCCTAGCAAGCAGTTGTTTTTTGGGTCAACGATTTGGGTCTGGTGTGTGTTGAAGCACCCATGCCACTCATTGCTATTCGCCACCTTTTTTTCAGTTTGTGTTTCGGTTTGTTGGAGGTGTCAACCAATCAAAACCATGGCTTCCACGTTTTTGCCACCACTTTAAGTTTGTGTTTCGGGTGCCCTCCACGTTTGTCTTCCTGAAGGCATCAACCGACGGGCCAACCAAGCTACGGGTGCCCGCTGTGGCAAGCTGAGAAAGCGGAGGAAGGAAATCCGACCTCGCGACTGGGCTAGGCTGGGGGTATTGCAGGTTGCCAAGGGATGTTAAGACTTTAACGTTTTGCAACAACGAATAGGTTCCGTATTAAGCCACTAAAAGGTAAAACAAAAACAAAAGAACTTTTAGCAGGGGAGCAGAAAGCAACCCAGAAACTGGTTAAACCATCTCCTGGATTCATGCTCAAGGAAATAGATCATATCACAGCTTGGAACCAAGCCAGGCTACATCGGCTTCCTCTTGGCATCACATGTGCGGAAGCTGCAGCGGAAGGCAAGATTGAATCGGCCGCTTGTGGTCAGGAGGCCCATATAAATCCGTGTGGCTGTGGCTCAAAAAACCAGAATTCCAAAATGGACCCCTGGCAAGTGGAAACATGGAACAAAACCTGCGGTTTGCCCCTCCTCTTTGATTTTGAGCCACACCCATGTGACAGCACTTGTCCGTAACTAAGACTGCCCCTTTAGCTGATTCACGGCGAGTGGTGTAGTAGAAGGGGCCCAAATGATTTGAGATGGTTCCCTCATGATCATGAATCTGGATTAGTTTTGAAGTCCAGGGTCCCCAGTCGAATTCTTTAGGACCTTTGAGCGCAATCAGCTGATGGCGTCCCTTCCCCATGTCCAACTAGGTCCCCCAGTAGTGCCCGTTTACCCTTTTTTGGGGGAGGGTTCCCCTACTAAATTGGACTACCGCAAAAAGGGTACCATTATTCGAACCTCTCTACTGGAGGACCTAGCCAAAGCCCGGTTCCCTTGCCCCCACCGCGTCTTCAGCCTCCGATCTTCCGGGAAGCGGAGCTGAAGTTCGGAGTGCAAAAGCAAAAACCGCGAGCGACTTGCCAAGGCCCGGCTCCAAAGACGGACACAACATGACCACGTGTTTTCCTAGGGGCACCTTCCATTTCCATTCTTTCCAGGAAACCATCAAAAGCCCAGGAACAGCCGGTTGTTGAAAAGAAGGATGGTTGAAAAGAATGTAAAAGGAATCAACCCCTGGAGTTTCTCAGCAACCCTTTGCCTGGTTCAAAAGAAAGCCACAAGGACCCACGCTCAAAACCCGGCCACATGTTCGCTTTTTTCAGGGCCTCGAAACCCGCAAACCTGGAGCCAAGATCCCTTAATTGGGCTAACTGGAAGACCACTCTCAGGATGCCTCTTTGACAAACTAACCGACAAAGAGCGGACACAGATGGAAAAGAGCGATGGTTCCAAGTCATGGGGAATCAGCCCCCAAAAAAAATCTAGGTCCCCCAATAGTGTTGTTTTGCCCATTTTTTTTTGGCGGGGGGGCTACTAAAATAGACTACAGGAAAAAGTGGTACCTTTAGTCTACCGTAACCTCTCTACTGGAGGACCTAGCCTATGCGTACTTTGTAAACAGCCTTTGGGCTTTGAGGACGTTGCCCAAGCCGCTTTTCTGGTGCGTGCCCGAGTTGGCTCAATAGCTTCTTCGTCACGGTACACAGCACGCGATCCTTTTTTGTATGTCCCCCAGCTAGGTGCCCTTCTCTCCCCTTTCTTGAGGGAGGGTTCACCTACTAAAATAGACCACAGAAAAAAGGGTACCCTTATTCTATCCTCTCTACTGGAGGACCTAGATGAGGTCGGTGGGTGTCTTTTTCTTCGTTCAGCAGGACGAGCACCTGCAGAACGAGGTCATCGTTTTCTGAGTGAGCGGCTAACCGGCCATTCACGGGACCTGCTTGAAACCCTTCATCCAGACGTCCTCTTGAAATGCTTCTAAAAACATAAGATTGCTTTGGCGAGGACAAGCAATCTTCAATCTGAAGGCAGACATGTGATTGCGTTTCCTCTCTTTGCATGAAAGGAAAAACCAACAGGGCCAAGCTATAAGCTATACACGCCCCAAATCGGCAATCCAATCCGTTTTCCTTTTGAACTATCACCTGGTTTCCAGCTTTTCATCTGCTTCCCGTGAAGGAGACGTTTAAATTGCAGTCTAGAGACGACGCCGTATTTGATGTGGGCAACTGGCAAACTTCTGTGTAGATGACTGTTAGTTTGGGGAGGACATGGGGATGTCACACAGTTAAGCCATGTCCTTTGGGGAGAACACATAATTTTGTTTGTGGCTCACAAAGTACAGCATTGAGATATGGTGGGTGCTCACCAAGCTCCGTTGGTACTGGGGGGGGGGGGGGGAATGAACATTGTCCGTGCATCCTCAACTTCACCCTCCAGATGTAGATCCGAAGATTGGCCGAGTATCAGGGACCGCCTAATCATCTTGCATGCGCGAATGTGCCATGGCCTTTTCCTGGGCCGAGCGATAGATCGGCGGCTGCAGTTGAAAGCTGACCACATGCGTTACTTTGGGGGGGGGAGGTTTGTGTTTTTTTGGTTTAGGGAGTCATATGTGTGTTTTTTTGGGGTGGGGGGTCGCCTATGTTTAGATATGGTGCTATAGGGGATCATCATGCTAGCGTGCTGAGCGCCTGCTGAAGGGGCTCTAGACGCTGTTCCCGGATCGTCACGTCCAGTTCCAGTCTCATGGTGCAGCCCAGTGGATGCCCAAAGCTTTCGGGGAACCGGGGAAGCCCTGCATCCCCTAGGTCCCCCAGCGATTGGTGCCCTTTCACACCCAACTCTTTGTGGGGGGAGGGTTTCCCGACTATACACTACAGAAATAAAGGGCACCAACTTATTCTAGCCTCTCTACTGGAGGACCTTGCTTCTATCTACCGCAGGTCTTTGCGATCGGATGTCATCCGTTCCCCCGAATCATAAGGGTCCGACGCATGCGCGTCTTTGAGACAGACCGAATTCGATATCCAGTATGATGGGGGCAAAGAAATCCTTGTGGCCTCGGGACAAGACATCTTTTTCAAAGCCCCGAAGGGCCGGATTCTCAACCAGAGTTTTCCAAGTCTAAACCAAACACTGAACTAGCGATTTCTCTCACAGACCTCTCCTCCGGTTGTAGGGGGCCCGTTGCCCCCCAGCAACCAACACAGCAAACCGGAGAGATTTCTGTTTGAGTTGGGTACATCCTCTTGAAAACATAGATTTTTGAAGGTGTGTTAAACAAAAAACATGAGGACAAAATAGAGATATGAACTTGACACCCCAAGCCTAAACACGGGGACCAATGTTAGTTGTAACACAAAAACATGAACCGTCTTTTGTCTTGGTTGGGGTGGTGCGTTTTAAGTATGTGGACCGGATTGGTTGGTCTCGCCACACTCAGCACTCCACCGTTGTGCGGCGGCTCAACAGCATTTTCTTGCCTCCAGCGCCCACCGTCCGCAGCCCAGTCACAAGTTCTACCTGGCAACACCCTGGACAAAAGTCCGACACCAATCGGGACCATTGTGGGATAAAGGGCTTTCCCCCTCTTCTGTGATACAAGGAATCTCCCCCCTTTATATGGGGGGTTAAATTTTTGAGAAGCTCTTCTTGTAGCCCTGATTGGGACAGATGCCGCGTGAATTCGAAGCGAGCGACGCCCTGAAATCCCCTTTGTTCGGTGGAATCTCAAGCAGTGATCAAGGCACTCCAATCCCATGGCCGTGTTTTCAGATGTCCGTTTGAGGAAAGGAACTTATATGTATCTATCTATATATATAATATACATATGGTCACGCCCCCCCCCTAAGATCCACATTTTACCTCTTTTATGTGTATATAATATACACCATCGGTGTCTTCTGAAATATGGAGCCCGCAGGAATTGCCGGGGAAAAAAGGGGCATCAGAGGCCCAAGGCACACTCGGAACCTTGACTAGGTCCCCCAGCGATTGGTGCCCTTTCTCACCGTTTCTTTTTTGGTTGGCAGGGTTCCCCTACTAAAATCGACGTCCAGGAAAAAGTTGGTACCCTTATTCTATCCTCTCTACCGGCAGGTTGACAATCTAGCTATGGAGTTTGCCCCCATCCCGGCTCTTACCCAGTGCCAGCTTCTTCGTTTGTCCCACGTGTGTTTCGGCTCTGTACCATGGATTTGGCATTGCTTTGCTTATTTCATGGTGTTTGATCCAAGTCAGAAAGAGAGGTACCTTTTGGCTTTGCGACCTACCACTCGGGGTGGCTTCGAGGCCAGTTTTGGATGGGCTTCTTGGAGGGTTTCAGGACTCAATCGGCTCCAATATCCTGATGAAAACGGGACAACCAATCCCAGAAACCGGGCCCAAATGTCCCAGGCCGGGTTTCTTTTTTCCGACGTCGAAGAGACAGGAGATGGGGGCACCCTTACCAAATTATCAAATTACTATGAGGAAACGGGGTTACTCACCAAAATCTGTTGTCAAGGGGCACCAACATTTTGGACCTCACTTGAGCCTTGCGGGCAGCCCCAGGCCAGAAAGAAAAAGAACAGAGATGGCTCGCCGTGGCGCGCTCAGTCCGAAAAAGTACAAGGTTCTCGTGCATTGCTTTTGCTTTTGCCAGGACGCTTACATGTGGCTGTTCCGCCAGGTTTGCAAGCAGTTAGCTGCCTGGGTTGTAAAATGAACAACAAAGTTACTAGGCGACCTGTACGTAGGTAGCAACAAAATCGTTCAGCCAGGCGTACGTCTCAACGATTGGTCATCCAAACCGGGAGTGACATTTAGAAAGGACAAACCCATTCCCAAGGGGGGTGACAAGGACTATCCCCTGATCCAACGGGGTCGTCCAAGATGTCCTTGTTCAAACGGTTGTCTGCACGTAAGGTCGTTGGAATTCCGTTTCTTTGCGTTCAAAGGAAAGATATGGGCAACTGTCACAACCGGGGAGGTGTTGAGTGGGCAGTTTGTGGATGGTCTACATTGCAAGGTCCAAACGGAGGTTTACCATGAAGAGCCATATGTGCGTGCGTTACAATAGGGGGACCCTTTGAATGATGGTGGTCCCTTCAAACCAACCTTCGAAAAGGGTGCCCTCACAGACAAACAAACGCTGGCATTGAAGTCATTTCGTATCCGAAGACGAGCTCGGCTACTACCAAGAAATTCTGGTCTTGGATGAACACCCCACGTCGGGAAAGTGGTTAATTAAGTCAGTATCCTGCCAAACATGTCCCTTGTACCATTTGACAAAGTGGAAAGTCATCCAAAGTTTGTCCCGTTTTGAGGGTGCAACATCACTCTGGTTGCCCATGTTGATCGATATTCTGTTGAAAACAATGTCTGAAGATAATTTATGAGCCTTGAAAGAGGCTTGCTTTTGTTTGAGGGTTCCCCTTTCGCTTCGCTATAAATGGAAACCAAACAGACACCACCGTTTTGGGGTCCTCTGCCTTTCCAAACAGCAGACCAGTCGTGTCATCCTCATGTAAATCACCATGTTGCCTTGTGCTGTTTCTCCTGACTGTCAGCCTTCCGGAGACCTTTCAAAGGAGAAGCAAAACGAAACGTGCGGACTATCATGGACCCAGAGCAAGCTTGAGGAAACCCATTCCTTAAACATACCTAGTCCTTGTCCAGGTGGCAGCACCCTCTTGGTCGCACTTGCGCTGGGCTGCACTCTTTTCGCGGCGCTCTCAGCGCATAGGGGCCTGAATGGTTTGAAACGGAAACCTATAGGAAATCAGGAAGCCAACCACTTGAAAAGATCGGGAACTTTTTCAGCACCAGTGTGAACCAGATTAACCCCTGGCTGATCTTTGAGCGGGAAGCCTTCACTTTTCGTGGAAGCCCCGAACCTACTATGAAGATGGGGTCAACCAGTGCCCGAAACAGGCGGAGGAAAGTTCGAGGTGGAACTCAACGGCACTTCGGGGTTCTGGGCGCTGCTCTAGTGAGTAACTGTCAAACCGTCTCCGGGATGAGCATTTGCTGCTCACTATTCTCACTGTTGCTCAAGAGGACAACGTGGAAAGCACTCCAAACCACAACAGAAACTAGGGGTCACGGAAATGCAAAGGGGTTGGTGAAATGGGTCAACGGTCGAACAGACTGTGGATGAGCACAATCCGCTTCGTGCCAGCTGGCATTGATGAAACCATAGGGATAAGCCACCAACAACTTGACGAAATGGTGGCTCCTCTTCGGCGTAAGCGGCTTCGGTGCCCTCTCGTACGAGTTTGCCACACAGCGGTGGTGTGAAACGAGGCTCGGCCTCAGCGGGCTCCGCCAAAAGGAAGCCGATGCTTTGGGGGCTAAGTCGATGGACGAAATCCACATCAAGCTCCAGCGAGGCCCTACGACCCAAAGCGGTTGAAATCTCCAAACCATCAATCCAAACAATTCAAGGGTTGCCTGATATACAGCACTGATCAAACACAAGAAATACGTGCATCCGAGTTTGGCTCAGAGAAGTCAACCGCACAGCTTGTTCACTATGTCCAGTGTTGAAATCCGTCCAGCGCCACCAAGAACCTTCCAGCCTGGAGGCCAAGCTTTTTGTTCCTAACATGCTAAGGTGTATGTGGGCGTATCTGTTTTTTGTAGTTGGCACCCATGTTTTGAAGGCCCGTCGCGCCTTACCAGCAGCGTCGGCGGTCGCATAAGGTATCCCTGTGCTCGCGAAAGCTCTCATAAGCACCTAGGCCTAACGGTTCCCTACGACACATGGGTACGTCCTGTTTTGAGGATACCCTAATCAGATATTATTGTCAGGGAAGCCAAAAAGGAAGCCATCCATTTCGGCGATGTGAGGACACTTTGAACGCTATGGTCAGAACTCCTTTTTCCGGGATGGCCATGGATCTGGGTGTGTGAATTATAGCGACCTCACACGACCTCACCCCAAATGGTGGTTTATTTGGGGAATAGCCCCCCAACCACCTTATTTCAGGTTGGTGAAATATTATAATCCACCCAGATGGATCTTGATCTGACAGGATGGTGTCGAGCCGCGCCGTGCGAAAAATCCTTGGGAGTCGCGCCTTCAGCTTCAGGCCAGCCGGGCCTTTGTGTCGGCTCCCAGCCCGGCCAGCCCAGTGAGCTCCGTGGTTGTCACCTGTATTCAAAGTGCCCACGACCTTAGGGGGTTGTGTTCTCTTTGAAAACTGGCTCTTTAGGGAGCGAAAGTTTATTTGAATGCGGGTCGTGAGGCTTAAACCTTGCCCACGACCCGGGTTGGTAGGGTTGCGTTCTCTTTGCAAGGAGGTTATACGTCTTAAGCCTTGTTACCCAGGTTGGTAGAAGGGGATCGAATGGGCTGAGGCTTCAACCTTTTGCTAGAACGAAGCGCCAACAAATGGGGCCGCGGTGATTTGTGGAACCGATTTGACTTGTGTCAACTGACATGGACCCGCTTCCCAAGGTTTTGCATAAAACCTCTCCTGGGATCACGCTTGGTTGTGCAGGTTCGCTCCCAGCGCGTGATCCGAGCTGTTGCGTGGCAGATGTGGTAGAACCCACGGGCACCTGCGGACCGTTGCCCTTCCGGTGGCCTCAAAGCACTCTGAAGTGAGCCTGGGATGCGTTGCCAGCGGGAAGTGGTGGCTGTGCATCGGCCGTGCTCTTCAGGTTTGCGTGTAAGGGAACGGATTCCCACCAGAAGCTTCATCCGTTGGTTTTTCGCAGGACGTTCAGCGGGTTTCTTTTCTTGGCATTGGTTCCATTTGGATGGTTTAGTTGGCGGCCATTTGGTTAAACAAGGTATTGGATCCAATTGGTTGTTCACAGCTATTCTAGGGATTCCTCCCGCGAATCAGATCAAGTGTTGCGGCCTCACGATGAATGCTTTTGAGGGGAACCCCCAGTGAAGCAGCAAACTTCCAGTGTGGTTGGTTGCCGGGGTTTTGGGCTTATGGTTGTTTGGTCCATGCCGCACCACATCGGGGTGGAACATCGGTGACACTCCTTGCCCGGCTTGATGATGACGTCAGAGAGTGTCCCCTTTTAAAGTTTAAAGTCGCCATAGAAACAGGTTTAGGTCAGCCTTCTTGATTGCTCTTTTGGAGTTGCTTCAGGGCACCCTTCGGGCGACCAAAGCTTATCTTGTATTTTTGAGAGAAGCCAACAAGCGTTTGCCTTTGAATCTGACGCAATGTTGCTGCCACTTGGTTCATTGTGGCGGGGGGGGCGAGGGGAGGGGAAGGGAGGGGAGGGAGGGGAGGGAGGGGGAGGGAGCCCAAATCAGGGGAGCATAGGAACCCTTATTTGACTCCCTCCCTCTCCTCCCTCTCTTCGTAGTCAGTATCATTATCTTTTGTTCTAGGGTCTCAGCATCCGGACCAGCCCGAGCAAAAACAGACCCAGGCACAGCGCCGCAGGTCGACGTCGGGAGCCCAGGAGAATAGAAACAGGGACCCGGCCGTGGTCGAACGAAAGCGGTTTGGATGTGTCGTTATGTTCTTTCACCGAAAAAGACACGGCCATATTCCCTCTTCGGATGGGTCACACTTGTGCCCTTGTGCCCTTATGGCTATTTGGTAGCCGATCTTTGGACTTGAACTTGTAGGTTGAAACAGGTCGGAAAATCTCCGAATTCGACCCACAGAAAGTTGATCAAACTTTGTGCAGAGGGGACAGCAGCGACCAAGTTTTGAAGACACAAAAAGCAAACAAACCGTGGCTTGCTTCCTTGAATTGGAGAGATTAGTACACATACACACACTCATTCTCCTGTGCCGGCTTTATTTGTTCTTAACAGAAAACTGGGCTGTTCAAAGGTATTCCTTAATCCTTACCAGGGTTTACGCAAGGGGTCCTCTTTGTAGTGGCTTTCCTACAGGGATCAAGGATTAGGATTGGCCAACCCTCCATTTTGAAAAGCCCAGGAAAATGTGGGCCCGCACAGTGCCTCTTCTGCTTTCAAGGCAAACCAAACGGTTAGGTGCGTGTCTCCTGAAAGACTCGCTTCTCCAGTTTGGACTTGCGTCTTGGGACTTTCGCAATTCACTCGTTAAACATGGAGTTGGCATGGGATTCCCGGTTTATAAGAAAAATACGCGCACTTTGCGTCCAAGATCCCTCGCAAAGGCAGGGGGCTGATGTTGCCCAAGAGGCACACTTTTCGGACTGGTCCAAAACCAACCGTCTCTTAGATGTCTTGTTTAGTGGGGGCTGGAAGCAACCAAGCCAAAAGTTTACACTTTCAAAGCCCTGGGGATTTGCTGGGCGCCGGTCTCTGCAAAGGATGGGGCAAGAAAAGGGGCACGGGCATTCCGGAATCGCAGAGGACGGGCCCAATGCAGCATGATGCGGGTATTCGTCCTGGGAACATGTTCCTTCTACTCCAAAAACCTGCCATTTTGCAGGTCGAGGAAAAAAACCAGGGTTTTGGCTCAAGCTTGCTCAAAACCTAGGTTTAGAAGGAAAAACCTGGTTTTTTCGTTTTTACCTTCTTTTTGCTCGTTTGGGCACACTTCAATGGGTTAACAATCGGTTGTGCAGCTGTTTCACCCCCCCCTTCGTTTCTATAGTGGCTTGTTCGTTCTGGGGTGGTTTGGTCACAGTGCGGGCGGGGCTTCTTGAAAGGTTTCAGTGTGCTTGTGGCTCACGCGCATGTTTGTCCGGAAGTCTCTTGGGAACTTGTCAGAGAACCTGCTATGCGTTATAAATTATAATGTGTTCCCCCTTACTTGGTTTGAAACGAACTTCTCACGACTGCCATCGCTTTTTTTGCCATGACCAAACGAAAAGACAAACATATGCCTGGAGGGCGCATCGCGTGGCCCGTTCTTCCTTGATAGGGAGCTCATTCAAACATTTGCATCTCCAACTCCCGTTTGTAGAGGTGGGCGATTGACACCTTTGATGATTCATTGTGAGTCCAAAAAATGATATGACGCACAAAAGGCCCTAGTAGAGGGAGGGTGTCAATTTTCCCTTTTTGCCTTGTGCCTATTTCCCATGAGTCAGCTTTGGTTTGGGTCAGCGCGGCAAACTTGACGACAACCGCAGCAAAATCAAAAGAGATTCCTGTCTGAATCAGGTTTTCTTCGGCTCCCTTCTTGATCGCCGCAAACAAAAACAACCGCGAAGATGCCAGTAATCCACCCCTGCAAGTGAGCTGGCTTCATTCGACAAATTGCGTTTGAGGGAATCTGTGACCTTTGACTTTTTGAGGGCGCCGCTTTGGGGAAACCAAGGAAAGCGTTGCCTGATTTGGGTTTCCCCAAAAATCCCAACAAGGGTTCTTGCTTTGGGCAAGGGCGCAACGAGCAAGCTCGTGGCATCAAGCGCCAGAGCGCCACATGAGAATTGTGGAGTTCGATGCAAAAAGCAAGGCATCGCTTTTTCAGTTCACATGTCAGTATAAATTAACACGTAAGACATTGCTCATAAGAAATAGCTTTCTGATTTCAACACATGTTGTAGCGCCAATGGAACGCCTCGCAATCTGCGCGGCCTTGTGACCGTGCACCGACCCACCGTGCACCGACCTTGTAGGGCGAACGCTGGCAACCCTGGAGCCTTGTGGAACCCCCTTCATCGGTTAATCGCTTGCTTCCCCATACAAGCAGTTTGCGGCGTGCGGCGGGCGGGGGGGGGGGTTCTCGCATGCCATGGCGTCTGGTGAGACACTATAGCCAACTCAGCATTTAGCTTGAGCCAAAAACCTGGCTTTGTTTTCTCGACTTGAAAAGCTGCAGGCTCTTCTGCGCACGCCTGCGTTGGTCGGATCTGGTATCCCACTTGTGGTAGCTGAGCCCGGCCGCGTATGCTCTGCGTGCTTATGGTCGCAAGCAAGCGTTGCGCATCGAGTGCCGGCGCGCAGCCAGCCCGAAAGAGCGCAACTGCTAACATAAACGTGGACATGGCGATCAGGCGGTGTCTTTTGCAGGGCATGCAGTTGCCTTCACGGCCGTACTTTCCTGCGCGGATTGTTTCGTCGCCTTCTCTCCCCACGCGCGCGAAGCGAGCGCAAACGCGCCTGTGATTGAGTAGCCAGCGCGCCTTTGCCACAAATACCTGGTTTTTCTTCCACTTCCCGGGTTTTTTATTTTGACCCACAAAAAAGCAGGAAACAGGAGTAGAAGGTTGGGATGTTTTAACCAGCGAGCAGAACCACCTGCCCTAGTGATCAAAAGGAAAGGGGTCAAACAAACAGGCACAGGGGTCAAAAGAACATTTCCCCGGCCACCAATGTAGGTTTTCCAAGTTGAGTGAAGGTCCTCTGGTTAAAGGCACGCCCACGCACGGCCACGCATCGCTTGAAGAAGGAAACGTCAGGCTCCGGTCATACCCTTTGTTCTTAGAGTTACAAGCGTCCAGCCATTGGGCTTGTTGCATTGGAGGTCTTACTGAGTTGTTCAAGTTTATCTTGTTTTTTCCATGTGTCCATTGTAGTGCCGTCCCACTAGGGATTGCGGATTGGGATTCACGTTGAACAACCCAGTCTCATCTTTTGAGTTGGAGCTCAGCGTTCCAGACCCAACTCGACGGTCAGGTTTGATACAAAGACAAGCTCTAAGGTTTGCTGATGACCGGCAGCAAGCAGTAGGGTGACCGTCTCGGCCGTGTTAGGAGGGTTGCTGGTCGTGATAGAACAAGGTGGATGGTTTCCCAGTTCATGTGGGGTTCTATCAGCTGGACAACGGCTATCTTCAGATGGTTAACATGGCTCTCTCGAAGAACTCACTTCCTTTTTTCATGGACTTTACACTGTTTGAGTCGATCTGAGTGGCAAACCAAAAGCTTGGTTCCTGTTTTTGGCCCATCAACTCAAGTGAGAGCAGGTTTGAGAATACCATGTGTCTTTCCTTTCAGCATGCTTCCCCAGTTCCCCCTGTCTCGTCCGGCAAGATCCACCACTCCAGCAAGAATTTGCCGAGGCCCGCGTGCTGGGAGCGACCTTCGCAGGGCTCGTGCCACTGGCAGCGCCTCGAACCGAATCGCTCCGGCGCCTTCCGCGGAGTCTTTCGCTGGGGTCAACTGGAACTCAGTTGCCCAAAGCCGACCTTTTGACCTTTTGGTTTTCCCATTTTGGTCCATTTTTAGTAGAGCCAAAAGGTGAACCTTTTAGTTTTGGGTCCTTTGGGCAACTGAGGGAAAACTGGACCGCGAGGCCCGAGTGCCACGGCTACCGAACGTGTGGCTTTTGTCACGACTTCGAACCAGCTGAAGCAAGCCAGCTGTTTGAGAAGCCCGAGGTTCAGTTTCGGAAAGATGCGCGATTTTTTCGGGCTTGGACCAGTTGCTTTCAACTGGAAAGCTGGGAATCGGTGCCCAGCGAATGGAGGGCCGGATGGCCCCTTAAAAAGAAGAAGTGGCAAATGAAGCTGAAAAAAGGCGCCTCAGTGGCGACATATCTCACTCCCCGAGTTTTCCGTTTCGGACTTTAGTGTCTTGGGCTTGGGCCATTTTGGTAAGTAAAACGTGCGCTTCCTTTGGCCAGTGCACTCAGGAAAAGAGGTCCCCAGCGAATCCTCCGGTTCTCGAAAGGTGGCTAGTGGGTGTCCTTTTAACCCGCTAAAAGTTAAGCTTTTAGTATGAGATCTGAGGACAGCCCAGAAAATACGTGTCCGGAACATGGAGAACCTGCAACCTAAATTGCTTGGTGTCATAAAATTGGTTTCCTTTAAGTGTTCCTTCTTTTTACAAAACAAAAGGGGATCCAGCCTTGGTCACAGCCTTGCTGTTCGTGCTGGATGCTTCACTGTGTCCAGCAACTTTGCTAACTCCATGAGGTATCCGTGGCAAGCAGAAAGTTGAGACGTTTTCTGATCAGTGGGAAATGGTGCGGGGGGGGGGGGGAAAAAAGAAGGGTTGTTTTTGGCCTGGATTCTGGGAAAAAGGATGAAAGGACGGAAGGAAGGAAGGACAGCCTTTGAGTAAGAGGCTTCGAGCCGAGCAAGTCTTGGCTGCCATCGTGGTCCTTGCCCCCAAAGATCCCCCAGGTCTTAAGGGTCAAGCAGCCGGGCCAAAACTCGGGCGAGTTGAGGCCTGTAGGCTTTCTGCCTTTCATTCTCCCAAGATGCTTTGGCAACTTTGGGGGGTTATGTGTCCTTCCCCAGAAACACCTCCCCTTTCTGATATGTTCCTTTTGTTTTGCACTACCCAGGCAAAAACTAAAACACGTTTTTATAGCTGGTCAGAATTCCTTCGCTGGTCCACCAGCGGGGTCCGCGACGCACACGCTCAGGTGGAGCAGCCCGCGAACGCCTACGACAGCGTGGTGGCCATGCTGCAGAGCTGGTTGGTAGGCCTGGCTTTGGGCATCAAAACATGACGGGGAATGAAAGTACAATAAAAAAGGGTGGTGGTGGTGGTGCCTTTGTTTCCTCTGAAATTCCTTTACAGCATGACTTCCTTTACAGCATGATTTCCTCTGATGTGCCTTTGTTTCGTTTTGCATGCTTTTTAGCGTCGCGCGGCGGAGTCGCTCTGCATCCGAGAGAGCGATTGGGCTGGGGAAGCATGAAATCTAAGATGTTGTTCAATGTTTTCAAAAGTATTGGAAAAACGAGAAAGACAAGCAAAGGCTCTTTGAATGCGCTTGTTTGAGAAAAGTCAAGAGGAAACCTAGACACTGTGGCAAAGTAGGATACGCTTAGGAACCAAACTTGGTATGCAACTTTCGTCGTAAGAGGATCAGTCGCCACATGGGCAAGGCGTCATTGTTGTCAGCCTCTGGCTTGAACACATGTCTATGGTGACTCGAGTCCACCCTACCCTGGTCCGTTTCATTGTTTTGTTTCATGCCTGCCTCACCTTAATCTGAACGAGGTGGGCATTAAAAACAGGGCCATCGAGGAGGCACATGCCCAAAACAGCAAACGAGGCAGCAAACAACATTTGCAATTGGTGTCTTGACAGTGCACCCTGGCCTCTTGCCTTTTTTTGGGTAGATCTGTTGACCAATTATTTTCTTTCTCTTTGCAGCTGGTCCTTTTCTTTGTTGTTCCTCCTGTCCTTCTCTCTCCTCCTGCCTTCGTTCTTCACTTCCAGCAGCCAATTCTATCTTCGCCAGGTACACCACAAAAGCTCTTCCAATCTTGCTTCAGCTTTCCAACTTCAAGCTTATACCGCCAGGGGACCGCAGGTGTTTGTGCATGTTTCCACCTATCAGGGATCCATTTGTGTCCCATACTAAAGGGAGGCTGGTTGAACATCAGGGGCTTGATCTGTACATGGGGGAAACCACTAAGAACGTGATATTACGTTCCACTAAATGGGAAAAGTTACCCAGAGTCATTTGGGGGCTAGGAATATTCATCAACCCCCTTGTATTTGCATGCCCTATGCCCTAACCTGGGGTCTCCCCCAATAGCATTCTATGTTTTAGGGTACACTACATTTGAAAACAGAATCAGAGCATGTCTGGTTTGAAGTACCGCAGATGAGGGTTATCTCACGATTGTTGGTCGTTGGGCCTGTGATAATTTCACGGTTGCTCAGTCAATTCCACGCTCTCTATATCTCTTTTTCTCAGTTGGCTGGGTTGTCAAAAGTCAATCCAAAATCATTAGATGGTAGTAGTTTGTTTCCTCGCTGTAGTGGTCTCACTACGATGTGCGGATAAGGATTCCCCCCCAAAAAAAATGAGCACCCCCATTGCCATTTCCCAAAAGCAATGGTCAACCACAAGGAAGTTCCATGTCTTTCTCTATCAGGGTGACTTGGCAACAAGGACTCATTGGCACCTTCTTTTCAATCATCAGTCTGTTCCCAGAGCAAGCTTCCCTGGGTTCATGGTGGTTTTCTGGAAAGAAACTAGAATTTACCCTTTCATGTGCGTTTCAGAATACGTGTCATTTTCTTCTGTGAGTTTTAAAGGAAAGCGACTTCACTAGTGGAAATATGTTCTCATCTTTTCCAACGAAGAAACCGCCTCAACTGTCGGCCTTGGCCGGCGTCTCGATAGGCGGCATCTCCTTGGTGCTCATCTATGGAGCTGCCTTTGTGGCGGCTCTGGCCAACCCCCTGACCAAGAGGCGGGGCTCAACAAGTTGGCTTCTTGGGGAGCAAGGCGCAGGGGTTGTCAACGCTATATCGAGCAAGCCAGCGCCAGCTGGAGGTTTCCATGCACCTGCCAGTTGTGTAATCGTCCAAAACGGGAAGGGGATAACCATTCCGTGACACGCCAAATTGGTTTATTTAAGAGGGGGGTCTCCAGGGTGGAAAAAACGAGCTGTTTCTTTTGTTGCGTCCCGTAAAGGGACTTGGGCCAGTCCTGGTTTAAGTTGTAACCGGTTGGCCCAACCCAAGATGCAAGCACGTTTGAGGTCCCTTGTGTTCAAAGTCCGTGCATATTCGTTTAGGGATGGGTGCCTCAATCATTTGCGGGAGTTGAACTGTTGTTAGATCATGACTTTACATGGTTCATAGTAGCACGTAGCCTCAGTTTATTGCTAGGGAACCCGCCAGGGTTGGCTTGCTCTTGTTTCCTTCAAAGTAACCCCAAATAGTGCACACAAATTCAAAACACGGTCCAAAACCATTTGGGAGGTTTAATCATCACCGTTTGGCTGTGAATTTCAATGGGACACCTCCTCCGAAGGTCTTGGTAGACATATCCCCACCTGAACGATGTCCACCAAGCATCATCAAGTTCACACCCGTCTGACATGTGACATTTCTTTTTTAAGTGATATCAAACTTTAGCAGGACCCCCAAACTTCAGTTCGTTTTTTCCCCTGGTTCCCCGTTTTTGTTGCATCCCCAAAAAGGGGCCACCGAGTCTCGAAAAAGCCACCCGCCACCCACCCACGGCAGGCGCATGGAGGTCAAGGCGGAGGCTGGGAGCGAGTCAGAAAGGAGCAGTCGCGGTCCAAGCCAGGAATTTCTACTAGCCTTGGCTAGGTCCCCCAGCAATTGGTGCCCTTTTTACCAACTTTCTTGGTTGGGAGGGTTCCCCTAGCAAAATTGACTACGGCAACAAAAGGAAGAAAAACAAGTTGGTACCCTTAGTCTAACCTCTCTACTGGAGGACCTAGTTGGTTTTGCGCGTCTTTGATTGCCATTTGGTGGTTGGTTTCATCCCTATGGTTTCCTACAAGAAAGCCTTGGCTTGCGGGTTTTCGAACCAGCTCCTGCCTGGAAATCTTCAGTTTCGGTTTCTAGTGTTGTTTCGGCGAACATTTCGCAGCCGGGGAAAACCTGGCGCAGGGAACTTTGGGAGTCGGCTTGGAGCCAGGGCAATGACCAGCCCATTCGGGTCGCCACTTTTGGTAGACGAGGTCCTTTTGTGCTTTGTAGGGGCCACATGGGTGTGTCTTTTTTTTGGCGGGGGGCCTAAAAAAATTGTGTTTTTCCCGTTGGTTTCCTTTCAAAACCACCAAAAAGGGGCACCCTCAAAATAAGACACATGTGGTATCCTCGTGGTGGGCGGGAATGGGGAGAAGCCCATTCACGTCCACCTCAAACAGGATGCAGGGATTGGGAGGGGGACCGAAAAGATGTTGAAAGATTGGATGCGATGTGCGTTCTCAAACTCGAGACCACTGTCCTCCCGGAAAAGGCCTTCTGTCAGATTGCAATGGGACACGCGAAAGTGTCAATTGCGTGGCGGTTGATCATTGGACCATTGGACCATTGGACCTCGACCGACTACCTGTGCGCGTGGTTGTGGGGAACGTCTGGTTTTTGGTTGCCACTTTCGGGTGATACCTGGCTTTTCAGAATCCTTCGATCAAACGCCCTTCTAAGAAGCTTCGTAGAAGCCTCCCTTGGGGCTGGGAGACTTTGGTTTCTTCCCTGAAAATCGGGTGTGTGTTTGTGTGTGTGGAGGGGGGAGGGTTCCCTCCACAACACGCAGGGTTGCTACGGTAGCCCCGTCCAGCAAAGCCCACAGCTCCGCAAAAACACTGGTTGCGTGCGTTTGCTTCCCCGCCAGGAGCGATATGGTAACTTTCCGACGTCCTCTGACCAGTGTAGGTCAAGGTTAGACTTGGTCGCCAGTTTGTGCGGCTCGGAGCAACCCTGAAAGTTGGCTTCAGGTCACATGTGAGCCAGAGTGGGTCAATGTGGCCGCCCTGGTCAGTGAGCTTCTTGGTGGGTGATGCTTAAAGGGGAAATATGGCCATGGGTCAAGAGCCAAATCGTACCCCCGGTGAACATCCCAATCCAACCACTAAACTAGGAAGCCTAAAATGGGTGGTAAATTCACCCAATCCAACCAAAATGGGATCCACCAAAAGGGTTTTGAGTACAACCACAGCCATCTTGCTCCTTGAAGCATCACCAGAAGGGAGCCCCGGCCATTTCGGTTTTCGGAGATCGTCGTTAAAGCGGCACCCGGATGCTTTCTTGAGCTCTCATTCAGTGATCACTTCGGCCCTGCTGCGAAGGTCGACTCCATGAAGTAGACGGAGGCCCGGAAGATTTCGCTTGACGCGCGCTTCGGGTGAGCAGGTGCTTCCAGGTTGGTTTCAAGGAAAACCAAGAGGAAAACCGCCCTTTTAGGGGAGGGGGGGGAGGGCAATTTCCAGGTAGGTTTCAAGGAAAACCAAGTATTAGGAAAACCGCCCTTTTTTTCGGGTGGGGTCTGCTTGCTTTGAGACACGCGCTATGGATTTGATGCACAGTCCCTCCCTACGTTTAAGGGGGAAATCCAGTGGCACCTGTTGCACGGGCACCTACCCAGAAATGCTTGTTGTGCCCTTGGAATAGATGGATTGTTACTTGTAGCTGTTTGCCGCCAAGGACAATCATGCCTCAGTTCCGTGAACCTTTGAGAAGCCCCCGAACTTGTTGGGAACATCATTTCACTCGGCAAAATAGTTGGCCTCATTTTGACCCATTCATTCAGCAAGCTGCTCCTAGAAGACAACTGTCAGGCGCTGCTTTGGACTTTTTTCTGGCAGCCCGGATGCAAGAGTGGCAGTGGCTGGTGAGCTGTTTGCAGCGGTTCAGACCCTTTGCCTCGGAACGAAACAAGTGCTAGACGAGCATAGCAACTCGAAGGGCCTGGCCCAGTGAAGAAACCTGACGTTCACGTGCAAAGTCGCCAGGTAAGCTTGGTGGTGTCACTTATTCAAAACAAAGATTTGAGATGAATAGAAGAGAGCTTCCTTTACGGCTGGCCTAGTGTTCTAGAGTTTGCTTTGGTTTGCTTTGAGGCGGGATGATACTGTTTCCAGAAGGAAGTTAGAAACCAAACAAGGAGAAAGCCACAGTTGATTCCCTGGACATTGAACGTGGGCAAAGAGGAATATCGCAAAATATCCTGCAATTACGGTTTGATTACTGTGGCTCCATGTGTCTACTATCCTTTTGGTGTTTGCACTTGGTTGAGTTGGTTTCTCTCACGTTGTGCAGGCTAGAATGACATGTGGTGCCTTTGTTTTTTGTGATGAATTGGTCTCGACCACTGTCGAGATGGTGCTAGACATTTTATGTGTCTATTCGGGGTGTTGCCATGCTGAGGCATATCCCTTATGGGTTTCCTTTTCTTCCCATACCTGTAGTGGCGCAATGAGTGTTCCGTTGTTTTCTTTTGGAGGAGCGGTTTCAGAAAATTTGTTGAGAAAAACCAATCCACCGAAACAAGTCTGCCTCCTCCGGAAAATTCCTTTGGCCGTTTGGGACTTGGAGCTGTGATCTTTGGCACGTTGTCAGCTTCTCGAGTCTGGGAACATGAGTCTGTTCAAACGAATTCACCAAGTGATTTGGTGCAAGTCTTCCTCTGGGAACGTGACTATGTTCCAACTAGCCAAGCACCTAAAAACTTCCTGCGATGCGGACTGCCGCACAGATTCGGCAGCTGATTTGTATCCGAGGCTGCCGGCACATTGACAGGCCGGACATTCGCCGCGTGAAAAGATGCGAGCGCAAGCCGGCCGGAGACCTCATTCAACTGGGGATGGTTACAACCGGCAGCTTTCGGAATTTAAGCTGGTGGCTTGTCAAGGACTCAAATCAGGCAATCCCAACTGCCTGGCGTGAGTTCTGCAACCATCCACAGAACCCGCCCGTAACATGAAAGCGTCCATGTCAGTGGGAAACCATGTTTTCAACTTTCGGTCGAAATATGGCCAGCATCTGCCCCTCACGTCGTTTTGGCCATCTTTTAGGTCCCTTTTCTTTCCCACATGGCTGTTGCTCGCACCACAGCTAGTCAGACTGGACGAAATTTGTTTGCACCAGTCGGTATGCAGCTTGTCCCTGTATTTCTAGAGTTTATTCATCCCAACTGGTGCAGGATGTTGTCCGTCCAGAGTAGCTTTTGTTTCAATCTATCTGCATACGTCTTGGCGACAATTGCCTTATAGGTGTTCTTTTGAGCTGCTTTTGCCGTCAATGGAGGGCAAATCAAGGATGAGACAACCTCACCCTTTTTGTTCCGGGTCTCTCTTCAAGAAACCATTCCTTTGTGTTTGGTAAGGTCTTGGTCTTCCCTCTGCTTTTATTCGGACGCACGTTCCCTCGAACTCGGCTTGCAACAAGCGAGCGAAGTTTCCCGAAATCCACTGGAGGTTGCACTTCACCCGAAGCCTTGTTACACACCCGCACCGCCCATCGGGAGGAGACATTTGTCCGCGCCGTTGAGCTTCAGACGGCAGCCCGCTTCGAGGTTCCCACAAGAGACCGCGGAAATTTGAGTTGTCACTAGTCTTCGAGCCAATTCAGTTGGGATCCAGCGATCGCTCAATCTGGGCAAATTCATAGGCGCCCCGCAAAAGGTTTCATTGCAACACAATCCAGGGATTGCACTGCAACCAGATGTGTGATTCGATGGTTTTCAGGTGAGAAGTCCCCTTTTTGGACGGTTTAATCAATCTGCACAACCTACAATTAGCTCGTACAACGAGCTCGCAAATGATGTGCCGATGGAGCCTGCAACAGGTGAGGAGAACGCGGCCACACAATGATCTGCATAGCTCCAATTCAACAATGCTCTCACTCCAAACTCTTTTGACACCCCAAAAAGTGACACAAGCAGGGTAAATGGAAGAAAACCAATCCAAGCCAGTGACATCCATTTATTTTTGATCAAACCAACCTGAAAAAACAAAGAACCACAAAAAACGGAGCCATCCCCAAATAACAAACCCACCCACCCACCCACGACTTCTCCATGGGCTTCCTGTCGCCCACGCCCATCGCCCACGGCCGCCCGGCGCTTCGCGCCTCCGGGTCCCACGGCTCCGACGGCTCGCCGCGCGCCTTCCGGGCGCCGGCGGTGCCGCAGGCCGGTGGGGACGAGGTCCGACGCTCACTTCCGGAGTTCATGAACTTTGAACTTTTTGGGTTTGGACCATTCTAGTGGTAAATATAAAGTTTGAACTTTTTTTGGGCCATCCACTCAGCAAGTGAGGACGGCCAAAGGCCAATGGGATCCATTTTGGTTGGATCCCACCCTGGGGTGGGTGACTCAAAACCCTTTTGGTGGATCCCACTTTGGTTGGATTGGGCCATTTTGGGCGAAGCGATCACCGAAAACACAGGGCGTAGACTATATGGCCAGGGCTCCCGTAAATGATGCTAGGAGCAAGATGGCTGTGGTTGTCACGACTCAAAACCCTTTTGGTGGATCTCATTTTGGTTGGATTGGGCGAATTCACCCAGTTCGGGCTTCCTATATTGGTTGGATTGGTTGATGTTCGCTGGTACGATTTGGAGTTTGACCCATGGCCATATCTAGGTCTTTCAGCTAGGTGCCCTTTCTCAACCCCTTTTTTGGTTGGGAGGGTTCCCCTACTAAAATAGACGACAGAAAAAAGAAACGGTACCCTTGTTCTAACCTCTCTACTGGAGGACCTAGAGGAGCAGTGTGGCTATGGTGTTTGTTTCGTCGTTTGAGATGTGGAAGCGTCAAGTGTTTACCAAACGGGTGGCAAGGACATGGTTCAGGTGGGAAACCTAAAGAATCCACTTTTGTTTCCTTTCTTTCCAGGTTTCTCTTTGGTCGGTTTCGGCATATATCCATATTTCCCGTCAGACTCAAAACTCAAAGGACATTCTCACCGCGGGTCCCAGTTGCTCAGTGGATTCCACCCTATCCTATGTTGGTTTGGTTGGTTACCCAATCAAAAGAGCTAGTTCCGGATTTGATTCAGGGAGCCATCATCGCAGAAGCTTCTGGTCGCAGGTTCCCTATTTTCCCAGGCGAGCGCCCAAATCCCCACTGGCCACAAAAGTCAACTCGGGTTTCGGGCACTTTGAGGATCGAACCAGCCAAATCCATGTTCGGGACTCAGGTTTATGGCTTATATCTCGACCTTTCTTTCCTAGGGGCTGAGCGATTAGAATGGGGTAGGGTATGTTGAAACCACATTGCGTCACAGCTTGGTTCGAACCCAAAGAAGCTACTCAGAGGCTCCTGGAGCTTTCAACCCAAAGTAGCCATCCTTTTGGTTCCTGCGTTGCCCAGCACCAAGCAAAAGTGTCAGGAAGTTGACCACTGACCCGAACGGTTTCTCGGGATCCCAGTCTATTGAGAGGTCGCACGCTAGCAAAAAGTGTCAAAAGCTATGACTGTTTCTGCCATGCATCTCCCAAATATACGAATCCAAGGAATTCTGTCCAGAAAACGGGGTGAGAAGTTCCCATCGTTTTGGTTTGCAGGGTTGTGGGAAGTACCCACTCTGATACCAATGGGAGGCCTTCCCAAATGACTAGCTCTCCCCACTTCAAGGGGAGGTTCCGAGTTCCTGGTATCACAGGAGGCGCGGGCTTGTGGAACATCTCCATCCAAAAGGTTGCTTCCACCTTTCGCAGGGCTCCTTTCTGAAAAAAAAGACAATCGCGCCTTCAAGTGGGACACCCCGAAATAAGGAGAAGAGAAAAAAAAGGCGTGCAAACCCCCCCCCACCCAGCAACCTTCCCGGACCTCGCGACTCGCCCGCCACCCTCGCGCGCTTCAGAGCGAGCGTCGCGCTTCCCCAGGACGCCGTGGTGGACCCGGGCCGCATCGGAGCCTGGCGGCGCTGGCACTGGGCGGCCTGGGGCCAAAAGTTCGCCAAGGACTGGCGCCGCCAGGCGGTGCCCCGAAACTTTGGGGCGCACCCCAGGGCCAGGCCAGGGGGATGGGGGGTGGAGGGGGTGGGGGGTGGTTGGGCGGGGTGGGGGGCGTTTTGTTTTTCTCTTTTTTTTTCTGGAGAACCCACAAATGACATGGGCGGGTCCTTTTAGTGGCCTTTTTCTTGGGCTAAGGAAAACATGGGAAGACCAAGCATTTTTCGGACTGGTTGGTACAAGAGAAACCAACAAGGATACAAACTTTCGGGGACCCATGGCCCCTTCGGTTCACGCCGCAGGCTCCGTGCGAGGCTGACGCAGCAGCTTTGGGAGGCAGGCAGTGAATTGCAGGGTAGCCCCACCTCAAAAGTGCCGCAAGTGGACATGAATCCCCACCGAAATTTCAGCTTGCCAATGGGTCCCCAAAAATGCACACCCAAGTAAACTTTGTTGGGCGGGTTTGCACTGCTTGCAGAAGTACTTTTTGGGGCGTCCTCTTTCACTTTAAGCAATTCGGAGGGTTTATCTTTGAGGATTTCACCTCTATGGAACCCACAGACATCCTTCCCCCATTGGCTGGCTGCCCGATTTGGCCTTGTTTACGCGAAGCCCAACCGTTCGGGCTTTGGATCTCACGTTGGCCCTAGGGAATGCCTTTTTCTCCGGCCGTGTTTAACTCTGCGGTGGCTCCCAAGCCCCTCAGAGTTTGCTTATGTTGGAATCTTTCGGAGTCTTAGAACAGGTGGTTCCGCAAGCGAATCAGGCAGGCCACTCAGCCGCCGAGCTGGACTAAGACGCAACTGCAAACCAGCCAGCGCTTGCTGACCGCTGATGATTTTCGAAAATGGACTCAAATTCATCCCCCATGATCCCCCATTTGTTTCTTGCTTCGTCCATTTATGCCCTATCTCCCTGTGTATTTCGGTCATGTCTCTTTGCTGTCAATCGTTTCTCTTGATTCCCCTGTTCGTTTCCCACTTTGTCCCCGTATTGCGAATCCCGCATATTGCCCGTCTATGCCCTGTTGTGGGTCCGTCCCTTCATTTCCCTTCTTGCCCCTTAGTCAATCTCTTCTTTCTGTCCCTCACGAGTTCTCTTTGCGTTTCACACAGGTCCCTGGATTGCCCATCAAGAGTTGATGACTTCACTGGCGGTTTCCACTGATCCACGTACTTCCCAAGCCATACGGAACCACCAAAGTGCTTGGTGGACATGAAAATCCCCACCGAAATTTGAGGTCTACAAGACTTTTTAGTTGAAATCCAGACGTTTGAGCGGTTGGTGGATATGAATCCCCACCCAAATGAGGTGCAAGGGTGTCCAATTGAATCCAGACGTTGTCGCAATGGGTTTGAGACGACAGGCTGAGGAAGCCCAGGTCTTGGCCCTCACAGAACCATTGGCGCAGCTGGCGGGCAAGCCCTGGGCACAGGAAGCGGCTCGATGGCCCAAAGTTCTAGTTATTTATGTCGACGGACATTGAACGTCGGTTTATGAAGCTGAGTTGCCCAAAGCGAATCAACCTTTTGACCTTTTGGTTTTCCCCTTTGGGTCCATTTTTAGTCATGGCCCCAAAAGGTTAACCTTTTGTTTCCAGGTCCTTTGGCAACTGAGGAAGGTATGGGGGTGTTCCCCTCCAACATCGTGAACCTTTTCAATCACCAGCTGCTTCCCCCAAAGTTTTAGCGGTTTTCTGGAAAGAAGGATTTCTGGAAAGAATGGGGAAGCTACCCCCAGAAAAGCCTCAGTCCCAAAACGGAAACTGGACACCATCTCTCCAAATCACAGGATGTCCGAGCCATGTGCCTTTTTTGGAACCTCCAAAAGTGGCGAATGTTTTTTATTGAACTGTTGAATTGGAGAAGTCCAGTGACCCCTGAATCAACCAATTCTACTTGGGTTTTTTCATTCACAAGTTGATCAACTGACTGGTGCTTTCCCTTGACACGATCGTTACTTTTGGAGGCCCCAAAAAGGGAAATGGCTCGGACACCCTGTGGAACACCGGTGTTTCTTGTGGACTAGGTCATGATTTCCAAGGAACCCTTCATGCGTGAAACTCGTACAAACCCATGACGTTGGCTAGGATTCTGGTTGGGACCCCTTGTCGAAAATTCCGAGTCAACCAGCCACTTGAGACCGACCTCAAGAGTTAATCCACTTGAGTCACCAAACCTGGTGTTCCTTTCTTGGGGGCAACCGTATTCCATAGGAACTTTGGTGCATTTTGCCAAGGGATGCTAGGACTTTCACTTTTCGCCAACTAGTGGGGTTTTCCATATTAAACCACTATATTAAAAACAAAAAGCACTTTCAGCAGGGGAGCAGAGAGCAATTCAGGGGAAGGCTCCCTCGCAAACGACCCCTCCGTCCGTCCGCTCGGCCGCCGCCTGGCTCAGGTGGAGGCGGTGCTGTCCTCGCGCGTGGCCTCCGTGGCGCTGGTGCTGGACGGCCCCACCAACCTGCGGAACGCCTGGACCTGCCTCAGGACGGCGACGGCTGATCGATCGATCGATCCGCCGGGTTTCGGTTTGGGTTTGAGCTAGGACATGAAAAAAAACACGGGTGATTAGTATGTGGGTTTTTTGGGTTTGGGTTGCGTCTCTAAAACTCGTTTGGGGTTGATTCCTCATGAGCCAGGATAGGACGGATCGATTTTCATCGATCGATGCGCCGATCGGTGGTTTTGGTCTCGGGTTGCGTCGCTAAAAAACTCGTTCGGGGTTGGATTCCTTGTGTTGACCCAGGACATTCATAAACCCTGGTTTATGAAGATATGAGGGGTGTTCCCCTCCAAAAGGGATAGCCATCGTTGATTCCAAAAACCGACTGCTTCCAACCAATTTGCTCGCATGTTTCTTGTAGATAAATAGGAAAACTTGTCCGGATCACCAAACCACCAGGCTCCAAACCACCAATTGGAAGGCAGCTTGCATTTGCCCATGCGATACAACACCCTGGCCCAATTGCTTTAAAAGTTTCTGTTGAAAGGTTTCTTGAAAGGTCCTTCTTACCCTGTCCAACATTTGACAGTCCCATAGGCAAGCCAGAAGGAGGTTGTGTGAACAACGGTTTCAAAGGTGCTTGGATGGCCCAGCAGGAACGGGATTCAGCTGAATGATTGACGAAATATGAAGCAGACTCTGAGCACATTCTGCGGTTGCTGTGGGCCAAGAAACATTACTACCCATGGTTTTGAGGTATGGTTTGTGGACTGCTACCCCAACACCCCCATTGTAATTATTTAGATGCTCACGATATTGAAAGGGGCAAGGTGTTTGGTACCCGCAATTCTTCAGCGTCTGCACGTTGGCCACTTTTGGGAAGACAATGTTGGTACCAAAGATAAAGCTCCAACTTCTTTGGGCAAGGTACTTTCACAGTGAGCGCTATTTGCAGCACCTTGTGTGGCAAGGCTTCTTGTGGAAGTGCGTTCGTGTTTTTCAACAAGGAAGGAGGCGTTCATGATTGTTCGAATGAGAGTTGTCGTTGTTCCTTGGACAAATGCGAATCCTGTTCAAGTGTCTAAAAGGACATGGTTGTGGAAACATGTGTTGTAGGTGTCTATTGTCTCATGGAAACCACCGAGAGATTGATTTAGATTTCTAGGGGTTGATTCCCCACTCTTTTCAACCAGCCATTTCTCCAGGGTTTTTGGTGGGTTTTCTGGAAAGCAAGATCCATGGAAAGCATGGAAATGGAAGTTACCCCTAGATGGGTTTCCCTTGAAACGCTTGAGCCAAAGGGGCAAAACCCAACCAAGCCCCCATCATCATCTTGAACTGCCGGGAGGCGACCCAGCTCCTTGACTGACCCTTGAAACAACGGGCTCTCAAAACTCTTCCTCGCCTTCTTCAGGGTCCCTATATTGCCCATTTGGGCGATTTTAAACATCGCCTTTTTGGCCCATGAAGGTGAGTGTCTTAAGGGGAAATATAGGGAGCACTGATTCTTGTAGCCCCTTCTCTTTCCACCTGCTTTTTTGAAAAGGATGTGGTTCTTGCCGCCTGCTTTCCTGCTTTTTTTTCCGCTGCCATCTGCTCATGTTTGCTTGCCATTGCATCTCGTGGCTTTGGTGTGTAGGCAAATCCCCCCTCCTTGCAAAAGCCTTCAGACTTTGGGTATGAATTTCAATAGGGAACTGCCTCCTGCCAAGAATCCCCACCAAGATGGGGTCCCATATGGGTATGGGTCAAAATTTACCAGGGTTCCATTTGGGGTACCAATTGCGAAAGGAGGGCAATTTTTTTGGGAATGTTTTTCGTTGTTTTTGTTGTTTCAGGGTGGGTGGCTTTTTGGCTTTTGTGGCTTTTACGTGGGTTTTTGTGGCTTTTGTGGCTTTTTATTTCGCATCCTCTACATTCACAGTTCCTCTTTTTTCGCATCCTCTGCATTGCCAGCCCCCCCGCTATTTTTTAGACTTTTTGCCCCTAATTGAATCATCACTTTTTCAATCATCATTGGGGGGGCTGCCCCCCCCCCAAACCCCACCCCCCCGCTATTTTTTAGACTTTTTGCCCCTAATTGAATCATCACTTTTTCAATCATCACCGCCCCCCCCCCCGCCCGCTACGTTTTGGATTTTGGGCAGAGATTAAAATGCACCCCTAGTTGAATCCTCACTTTTAAATCATCATGGCCTTGCCGCAGAGGAACTGATGATGCTGAAGATGCAGGAATCCAAGGCCTCGATTTGATGGTGATGCTGGGGATGTTGGCTGGACATGCGGGGGATGTTGAAAACGATGCTGATGATGTTGACGGACTAGCGCAAAATGCGTACATTTCGCGAGAAAATGCTGTAAATTACCGCATTTTAGTAGCCAGGACGGAAAACAAGAAAAAATCCCAAATAAATTTCGACCCGTATACATTTTGGGCTGAAGCGCATCATCATTGTACTGCGTGTGCATGTGCGATTTGCCTGCGTGGCTGCAAGCTAGGTGAAGATGCTGAAGCCGAAGGCGCGAGCCATGTTCTGCGGAGGCAGGCTGACAGTGGACTGGCAGGAGCGGGCTTCCATTCATCCCCTGCTTCACCTTTTTCCCGCTTCTGCCATGTCAGCTTTTGCCGCGAGTGGGAAAGCAAGGACTTCCCCTCTCGCCTTCGGCGCCTTGTCTTTTCGACCGCTTTTTACTCGTGTTCGGGGACTTCCATTTTGCGTGGCCTGCGTGGCACTGTGTAGTTGTCGCATGGTTTTTCACAGGCATCGCGCGCCGGCGAGCAAGAGCATTGTATCCACACCTGCCGAATGATAAGCTAAGCTCAACCGCAAGCCACATCTGCTCAAGCACACCGGCTGCACTGTTTTTGGTGCGATTTTTATTGTTTTGGAACAAGGTCCGATCCTTGCACATAATATGTGTATGTGCAAGTGATGCCATATAAGAATCTCGTAACAACCAGCCAAGCCCCAAAGCTTTTCTGTACACACCATGGTGCACTACCATTGCTTTTGTTTTGGGCCCCACTTTCTACACCTTGACGCTTTGTTTTAGCTCGCACGCCACTTTATTTTTGCCTTGGAAGGGGTTTTTTCCAATTTTGGCTTGCAGTTGTTTTTTTGCCTCAGGCGACTCTGTGTCAACCTTGTGTGACTGACTTTTTTTGGTTCGATCTTGCTACTTGCTACTCTGCAATTACACCTTGGTCGCCACGACCCCCCAATCTTAAGCTGACCCTAAAGGAACCCTAATGCGACCCCTAAACCAACCCTGAGCCAACCCTAAACTGATACCCTAAACCCACCCTACACCAACCTGAACCAACCTTGCCACACACACATCCCTTGACGAAACCACACCCCTGCTTGTCCCACGGCCTTCTCTCCCAAAAGCAGTTGCGGCGCTTGCTTGCTTGCTTGCTTGCCTTGGCTTGGCTTGGCTTGGCTTGGCTTGGCTTGGATTGGCTTTGCTTTCTTTGCTTGCTTGCTTGCTTGCTTGCTTGCTTGCTTGCTTGCTTGCTTGCTTGCTTGCTTGCTTGCTTGCTTGCTTGCTTGCTTGCTTGCTTGCTTGCTTGCTTGCTTGCTTGCTTGCTTGCTTGCTTGCTTGCTTGCTTGCTTGCTTGCTTGCTTGCTTGCTTGCTTGCTTGCTTGCTTGCTTGCTTGCTTGCTTGCTTGCTTGCTTGCTTTGCTTGCTTGCTTGCTTACTTATTTGACGCTTGCTTTGATATGCATTGAGTTCTTTGCTTGCTTGCTTGCTTGCTTGCTTGTTTGATTTGCTTGCTTGCTTGCTTTGACATGCTTTGATTTCTTTGCTCCCTGAGCTTGGTCGAGGACAGCCTGCCACTGCCCACTCTAGTGCCATCCAGTGGGTCAAGTTGGTGGGTCGACCTCTTTGTCACCATGTTCGTGTGCAGCTAGCCTGAATACATAGTAGTGAGCACACATGATATACCATAATCTGTAAGTGCGCGTGTGTGTGTAATGTAAAGTAATGAGCACAATGCAATGGAATGTGTGTCATGTATTGAGTGTAAAGTAATGTAATGTAATGCAATGCAATGTAATTGCATTTTAACCCACAGTAGCGTAATTTAATGCAACGCAATGTAACCCAACGCAATGCAATATAATGCAACGCAGTGTGTTGCAATGTAATGCAACACACAATCAACGTAATGTAATCTAAGTATGTTTTGTAATGTAGTGCAGGGTCACATAATGTAACATCATGCAACACAGTGCAGTGTGACGCAGTGCGATGCGGCTCTGCGCGGCGCAGTGTAATGCGACGTGATGCCATGCGATGTAATGAATTTTGCAAACCAGCACAACGCAGTGCAACGCATTGTAACGTAACAAGGTGTAATGCAAGGTAGTGTCATGTGCTGTGACATAATGTAACACAATGTAGTAATGTAACGCAGTGGCATGTCATGCCATGTGCTGTACTGCACTGTGTTGTGCACTAATGCAATTGTATGCAAAGTAATGTGATGTAATGCACTGTATGCTAGTGTAACTTAATGTAATGTAATTATGTTGATAGATTTTGATAGATAGACATATATATATATATTTGTAATAGATAGTTTGATCGATAGATAGAGAGGTATCGATATCAATATCGATCTCGATGTCGATATGGACATGTGTATGGTTTGGGTCTGGCATGCAGAACTTTCATGTGACTTCCTGAGGCTTTGACTGCCCACCTCGCGGAGGCATCACGATGTACAAGATCCCAAGTGTCAATTGGACATATGGGGCGGACTATGTCCCAATCAAAAAGGGCCGAGGCACTCACAATGCCCCATGGCTGCACTCCTCAGCAGTGCAGGGTGCTCATGGTGATTCCCACTCCCTTGACTTGCTTCAGGGCTCCAAATTTCTGGCTGGAAGCTCACGGCAATCAGAGCGCTTACGTCGCCTTTACAGGGACGCGCCTTGGCTGCAAGGAAGTGAGCCCTTGAGGTCATCACCCCATCCTTTGTAACCGCATCATGCTCTCAAAGCTTGGTAATTTCCTTTCCACGTAACTTAGTGCTTCTCCACACAGTTTGCTTGTCTCTGTACGAGGCCTTGGCAGCTCCAGCGGGCCCTGACCCTGGCTCAGCAGGGCAAGGGCGCCGGCAAGGCACCGGCCAAGCTGGTGGCCATGGAGTGGGCCAAAGGCGCAGCCAATCCACATGCTCGCACACGTCCGGTTTTGCACCTTCTTCGCACCGACGAAGAAGATGCGCCATCAGAAGTTCACAACTCATTCGAATCAGTAGGCACGTCTAGTGGGTCCAGCCTTCCAGCAAGGGCTGGGCCAACAACTGCAACTCACATTTAGCATGTTTGGCCACGTAATGACTGTTCCAGAAGCCTCTGTTGGGCTGTCCCACCACAGGGGACTAGGGAATCGCCCATCCCAGCTGCAGGGAGGATTTTGCTGCGCAAGGCAAAATGAATGCAAGCCATCAGTGCGCGCATGTCTTTGATTTGCTTTGCTTTCCTTTGCTTTCCTTTGCTTTGCTTTGCTTTGCTTTGCTTTCTTTGCTTGGCTTGGCTTGGCTTTGGCTTTGCTTTGAATTGCTTTGCTTTGCTTTGCTTTGCTTTGCTTTGCTTTGCTTTGCTTTGCTTTGCTTTCTTTGCTTTGCTTGCTTTGCTTTGAATTGCTTTGCTTTGCTTGCTTGTGCCGCCCCCCCCCCCCCCCAACCCCCCCGCTACGTTTGAGGTGTTTTACAGGGATTAGTTTGCCCGTATTTGAATCCTCACTTTTACCATGAGGCCTTGCCGCAGAGGAACTGATCATGCTGAAGATGCAGGAATCAAACGCCCTCGATTTGCTGGTGATGCTGGGGATGTTGGCTGGACATGCGGGGGATGTTGAAAACGATGCTGATGATGTTGACGGACTAGCGCAAAATACGTACATTTCGCGAGAAAATTCTGTAAATTACAGCATTACAGCATTTTAGTAGCCAGGACGGAAAACAAAACAAAAACAAAATACAACAAACAAATCCCACATTAAATCTCGACCCGTTGCGAAATCCTCTTAGGCACCATTGGTGTTTCGGGCGGTGCCTAAAAGGTGGATTTCGTGTCCATCAGTAGGACCATGGATTCCTTCGGCCTGCTCCATTTGGAGCTGATCGGCGAGAACGCGGTGGGTGAAGTGACTTGGGCTCAGATGGGCTCGGGAGCGCAAACCCCCCCCTTAACTGGAAACGAAAAATGGGTCAAAAACTGGGTACCCAAAATGGCTTGCCCTGGTAAATGGAACCAAAGACTAAAACCTGCGGTCTTTTTGGTGGTTGTATTTTGACCCATGCCCATAGAACTGGAGTCTCCTCCAAAACTGTTTTGTGTTTCAGGGTGGACCAAATATGAAGTACCCCCTTCAACTGTTTGAAAGAATGGGTGCGCTCCCGGAAGATGGTGAAGCTTGTGCGGGGTCGATGGCATCCTCGAAATGGCTGATTCCGATTTTTTGAAACGAACATGCGCAGGGGTCCCTCATTGTCGCACGCATCCAAATGTGTGACAGGGTGCCAGCAGCGAACAAGCAAGCGACCAAACCACAAGGATTGGCAATTATTTTCCTTTGGTTCCCTCTGCGTGACCTTAGAAGAGAAAGACTTGGATGGCTTGGATCCTTTTTTGGCCTTAACCACGTGAAAGAGATCGAAGGTTGGAAGGCAATCCCAGCTGGGTGACTTGCGGTTTCTGGCTGTGAAAGTTAGGGCATCCTTCTGTGCTCTAGTTTGGACTTGGGAAAACCCGAGGGTAAGACCTCCCCCCTCCCCTTGCCCGACAACCAGAGCTAGTTTGGATGCACATGTGGAGGTCTTGTGTTTTTTTCCGGTTTGTAGCAGCCCAGGGACTAGTAGAAAAACAAACAACGACAAAAATCAGCCATCCCGCGTTGAGTTGTTTTTTCCCCCACGGGCGCTGCTGAAAAAAAGGAGAATAAAAAAAACAAGAAGAAAAGGGATGAATCCCCCCCCCCCAAACCAGAGGCGCTGGCGCTGCAGCCCTGGGTGCTGGTGAGACGTTGGCAGACAGCCAGCGCCTGTCTCCACCAGCTGCGCCGCGAGGGCCGCGAGGCGCTTTGGGCGGAGCGTGAAACCTCCCTGGAAAAATCCACCCCAAGGGCTTGGAATGAGGATGTAGACCCCATAGAAATCAACCAGCAAATTTCATAGGGTGAAATGTAGGGAATCAGACCACCTTTGGAGGGGAACACCCGATTTTAACTTGACTGCTATTGGGTTGGATCTTTAGACTTTCACTTTTTGGTTGAAATCAAGGGGTTTTCCACATAACCTGATCTTGTGGCGAGCTTGGAATGAAGATGATGTGGACCTAGGTGTCCTTTTCAGGTTAGTTTTGTTAAAGATAGAAGGCACTGGTTTAGATAGGTTTTATTCCATGTACCAGGGCCATCTATTTTCCAACAGGATACCTATGTGTCGACTCCATAGAAATCAAGCAACCAGTATATTCTTAATATGGGGGGTGCTTCTCCCTCGGTGAAATGTGGGGAATCAGACCACTGTTGGAGGGGAACACCCTGCGAATAAACTGGGGTTGATTTCCACCAAACCTACATTATTTCCCCTAAGGCGCAGTGTTCGAGTTCCTGGACGTTTGTCACTCTTGGGGTTTGGACTGTTCTGTTGCTACGCAAAAAGTTCATTTGACTTTTTCTAGAAGTGGGGGAAAAGAACAGAAATCCGGGCCCAGGTAACGGCTTTCGGCCAATCTTGCACCGGAATTTGCCAACCAGGTCCTGGATGCCCTACTTGAGGGTGGCTCAAAGGGAAGCCAAAGGAAATCTGAAGCCCATGATGTGGGTTCCCTATTCCAAGGCACGCCTACTCTCTGTGGCCTCTTTTGACAAGAAAAGACCAGAATTTTCAAAACGACGCGTTTGCTTAGTTGAGGGCGCTTTGCAAAGGTAGTTGTTTGTGCTGGTCCAATTTGTGAGTTCCCCTTTCCGGTCCCTTGTTCAACATGTACACCAAGCTGTTTGAGCAACCTCATTGGCGAATGGAATTTAATTCGCGACCTGGAGGGCGACCAACTGCCCCTCTTGCCGGGTCTCCGAGATACGGTGGATGCTCCGTTCGCCATATTGCAAGCAACCACGCGAAGAACCGCAACAAACCGTGGTAAATGAGTGGAGGGTTGCCTTGTTCCCCGACTTGACTTGTAATATTATTATTGCTATTACTATTATTAGTACTATTATTATTATTTTTTGGGGGGGGGCATTCACCTTATGTCAGATTTTGGGGTAGACCGAACATGACGCGAAACACCACCCGAAAATATCACGGAGCCTATGGATTGTGTCCATCCACTATAGGCGGGTGTGTCATGTTTTTTGAAGGGAACCCCTTCTTGGGCTGCTTCAAACGAACCAAAGAGCAAAACCACTGGTCTGGGCGGCTCAGGAATTTCCCCTGTTGAAGTAAATAGGCCACTAAAAGCTATGGGAATTCCCCCTAGTTGAATCCTAGGTCCCCCAGCTAGGTGCCCTTTCTCACCCTGTTTTGGTTGGGAGGGTTCCCGTAAAACTGACTAGAGGAAAAAGTTGGTACCAACTTATTCTAGCCTCAATCTGGAGTACCTGGAATCAAATCGAAAGCTCGGACCAACCTCCGCGGTGGTGCTTCGGCCCCAAAGCTCAGCTGAGCCACGTGCTCAAAACCGAGTCGGGTAGGTGGTTAGGTTAAGAGACGATCCCCTTGCCATAAATAGTAAGGGATGCTCCACCTTCTTAATTAGTAATAGTGGTTAGGGGATCTCCGCCTTCTTAATTTTTGAAGTATAGTTCTGGGACTACGACCATGTTAATACTGGTTTCTGAGCAAGTGACTCACATGACAGACTAGGTCTTTTAGCCAGGTGCCAGTAGAGCCCGTAGCCAATGGTAGCCTAAAGGGAAACCAAAAAGGGAGTGGTTTTGAGCAAGTGACTCATCTCCACTGCAAGTGACTCACTCCTTCAGATTCTGGGACTCAGACTTATGTTTTTTTCCTGGGGCCAGCTTCAGCTCCGACTCACTTGATATCAGGTCACCTTTTCTTCCGGTGGAGCCCGCTTTGGGGGTTTGACTTTTGGTTCTTGGTCGACCATTTTAATACGGGGTGTTGATGACTCAGCTTCAGCTTCAGCTCAGCTGACGCGTCGAGGTCTGGGCGCTGGAGGTCTCGGAGAGCGCCAGGCCGCTGGACCAGCTGCTGACCTCCTGGCCGGGAGCCCAACCGACGGACGAGGGATGGCGAGTGAAGCTTTGGGGGAAGTTGTAGGGTCAACCGAGACCCATAGGTGCCCTTTTTGGTGGAAAAAAAAATCGGTGGGGCGATTCCTGTACCTGGTGTTTTTGTGTTTCATTTCAGGTGGTCAGAACGGAAAGCGTGGGTTCAACTTGTCTCAAATGTCAAGTCCTTGACTCACGGGTGAGGTTCCAGACGATAGGGGGCGAAACCACTTCCCTGGTAAAAGGGGCGAACCTATACCCCGTATTGGTGGCTCAGCTGTATATCCCGCTACCCCACTCCCAGAGTTCCTTGTTTGGCGTCTTCTTGTTGGTGTCTTTGGGCTGGGATCCGATCACTGGCGAAGTGTTGGCTGGTCTTCCCTCGGCCAACCAAAATGGAGCTCCCTAGAAACGGCACGCCCATCTTTCACCAACCCCAAGACAACATGGCGATGTTCTCGTCGCAAATTGAACGAGCTCGCCGACTCGGGGGGTAAAGTTGGTCGATCTTGGACCCATGAAGGTCACTTACCTGGTTTCCGTGTTCCCGGCTGGCGACTAGCAATTGGCCAGATATTGACTGATTTCCCTTTGGTTTCTCTTTTAACCAACCCCGGATACCCTCAACCTCTCCCATCTTGTAGAGACTGTCATCAGCCTCTTTTTGGGCTGGAATTCAGATGAGTAGTGTAGGCGCTCCTGTGCCAGAGCTGACACGGTCCACAATCATCGAGTTTGAGATTCCAAAATGGGTCAGGAGAGGACCCTTGCAGTACAAGGAGAATAACGCGAGGGGGCTGAACTCCACCTCATGATTTCGGTTGAAGGCCCCCTTCCCAGTATGGATGTGGTTGAGCAGGGAACCGATTTCCCTCGCAAAAGCTCGCTCTTTTAGCACAAACAAAGGGGACACATGGGTGCAACCCTAATGCCACAAGCCCACTATGTTGAAACTTCCCGAACGGAAACCACAAGGAGATGCGTAAGTGGTTCAATTCTTCCGCCCTCTTCATTTCTTCTCTGCGTACCCTTCCTCCCACGTTGGCACCTGTGAGACCTGGAAGATCAGTTTCCTCTTGGAGGACCATGTCAGGTGCCATGTTGCAACATTCCCCTGAATGATTTGGTACTGAGAGCACAAGGTGTCGATGGTTGTGTTGGTCAAATAGACTTGTGCTCTTACATGTTCTTCACAAATGCACGGTGCCCCGGGCTTCACGAGTCTCAGGACGGAGCCTGCCAGTGCGGCTCCTGGAGGAGCAAAGCTAGCCTTTGTGCTGGGCAGCGAGCCTTTCGCCTGAGGTTTGGGCAGAGGGTTGGGCTTCTTTTCCGGTTGGATTTTGTGAACTTGGTGTTGTTTGGGAAAGTATGTGTGTGTGTTTTCGCTAGCAAAAACTTAGACTTGTCTTGCTCAAGGGGCAAGAACCACACAGACTACAGGCTAAAGAAGTAGAAGCATCCTTCGTGTGATCATGACGTAACTTGGTTGAACAGCACCGCACGAGACACGGAAACAAGCTCCCTGGTCATGTCCCCATTGCGATATTCTCTTGAATGTCCCTTCTAATTTGACAACAACAAAGGTACCCTCAACAGACCCACATGGGTCTGAGGAGTGTTGAGGTATCCTGTATCCTCTCAGGATACCCAGTGTCGTAGTGAGTGGCAACTGTGAAGTTCTGGTCAACAACCCCACCATGTCGTTTTGGATACGCCAACTAGGTGTGTCGGACCCGAACGGCCAGATGCCGCCATCTTTCATAGGAGCTCACCGACAAGGGCGGAATATTGAGCTCGGGCCAATCACGCCTTTTGGTGTCCCTTTTGCAAAAGCACCTGTTTTTTTTGGGGGGTGATAATCCTGTAGTTTCCCGTGAAACCATCTTCAGACCAGGGGGACTCCTTACTTCCAACGGGTGAATACATGTGTTTGTACAATGGCTGGTGAATCCCCTTGTTGGTCTTTGGTCCTGAAAACATCCTTTCCCCCCTTAGTAGCAGGAAGTGTACCTTGTTATCGTGGTCAAGTGGCTGCGGGTCAAAACCAATGGGATCCCATTCTGGGGTAGGCGGGGATTGGGATGTTCACTGGGGGTACGATTTGGATTTTGACCTATGGCCAAAGACCAACTCAGTTGCCAGAGGTACGCTGGAGTCTCAGAAGAAGCACGGGATCAAGCAGATGGCTCGTGCCTCTTGCCGATGGAAGGAATGCGCAGGCCTTAGTTTGCTTGGGCGCATGTCTGGCACGAGATGCCCTGGGTTGTTTGCTGTTTATGCATGGGAAGTCCCAGTTATTTCAAGTGCCAAAAAGAAAAAATGGTTCTTCGAAAGGCTTTTGGGAGGTTCGGACGTGGGACGTCTCAAATGGCATGAGGTCGACTTGCACTTCAATGTTGGCCAAGCATGAGCATAGCACGATATAGAAAGACTCAAACAAGGCGAACGAAACATGAACCATAATCAACAAAAGGGGCAACAAACAATATATTAGTTGGCCACTAACTACTCGGGGGCAACGTTGAGGTATGATGGTCTCCCCGCTCATCCTGACCATGACACACACATATGCATAGCTTCGACAACATCAATCACTTAGATATTCCCGGATACGGGTCCAACTTGATCAACCAAGCTCATGCCTCCATCAACTTGTGGGTAAGTAAGCACCCTGGTTAGCACGTTAGTTCAGTGGACAAACCTATGCCCTTTCATACGGAACCCTTCTTGTCGCCTCCTGGGAAATACTGTGGATGGACGAAGTCCAGCCATTGTTCGTTGGTATTTGCAGCGGAACCAACATTCCAGTGTTTCTTAGGAGGTGCAGGATTTTGTCCAGGCACAGTAGCAGTCACCAGTTGGCAAGCAACCACATCCAGGCAGAGTTGAGATTGAGACATGATGTGCTGAAGGCTTCTTCGAGGAACCCGAGTGTTTCGCTTGTGACTTCCCAAGTTCCTGGAGTACGCTTTTCGGAGAAAAAAAACATTTAGTGAGCTCAAACTTGTTTGGAGCCATTGGAAATGGCCATTCCCCCCAAAAGGCGATTCCTCTTAGATCGATTGGGTTCCATGTTGCAGAGTAGTGGTAGTCGTCCCTGTTGCCCAGTGACGCCCTTTTTTTCTGATGTTGGGAAAGGGTTCCCCTTTAAATTCAACCAACCAAAAAAGGATGCCCTTTTCTTCCCACGCGCATCTGAGAAAACACTTGTCAGCTTCCGCGTTGCAAGGGTTATAGTTTACCTGTCTGAAACGGCCCAGAGATCAGGCGGGGCGGCAAGGCACCCCTGCGCATAGCCACCAAGCTATCCGAACCTTCGACCAGGAAAGGTTTTATCTTCTGCATTTAGGTAGGGTCCTTGAGTTGTCTCGGCCAGTTTTCACCTCAGGCTTCATCCATCCCAACTGGTGCCGTTCGGAGTGGGCAAAACCCGTGTTTTTTCTCTGTTGGGAGGGGATGTCCCTTCAAAACCAACCACCAAACAAGAGAGTGCCCAATCTCTCCCCTGCCAATCCACAGGTGAGCCAGGATCAGAACCCGTGTAGATGTTCCGGTTAGTAAGGAATACTCCCCTTGCCACAATTAGCTGCGGATCTCCGCCTGAATTCTTGAAGCATGGTTCTGGGAGTACCATTTTAATAGCGGTTTCTGAGCAAGTGACTCAGGTGCATCTCCTTCAACCTCGCTGTGGCCTGTGCAGTGCTGTTGGCCAGTCTGGATGCCTGCCACCTGCTGCGCCCCGACCTGCCGGAGACGGAGGTGGAAGTCTTGGCTAGGATGACCGGCCGTCAGGCGAACTCATCCTCAGTTGTTCAGTGGCACCAATTATTTTCCCTTTTTTTTGGGGTGGCTGCTAAACATGGTCTTCCCCAAAAAGGGTTCCCTTTTTTTTGCCAGAGTCACTGAACAACTGAGCATCGGAATGGGCCTCAAAGCAAATTGGTATCCTTTTGGTTTCCCTTTGACCCAACCCAAACCGGGTCCCCTCAACGCAAATGCAAGCCCATATGTCTGGTGAATGGGGCCCCTGAGTGAGGTATGTGGTCATCCAAGTAGCCCCTGAAAACAAGGAAGTCTTGAAGCGAAACCAAAAGGGAAGCCAGCCATTTTTGGGGAGAGGGTGTTGGTGCAGGAGTTTCTCCACCACAGTAGGTCTTCTTTTAGGTCAGTTTTGTGGGATTTAAGTGGTTTCAGCCTGGTTTCTTCACGTTCACCTAGGATCTTTGAAGATTCAAGTGTACACCATCCCAACCCACATCACAACTCGCAGCATGAGAGCCTTCCGACATGGGGATCACGTTCTTAGCCTAAGAAGAAGGAACAACGACCTGATGTTCTGATTCACTCACAACAAAAACCAAAACTGCGCTGTATCTCTTGGACACTTTTGGACCCCTATAGCCACAGTTGGGAGTTTCCACCTAAGGTGGCCAACCCCGGTGCTGAGAGCTCACTCTGGTTGAGATGGCCAGGTCCGTCGCTTACGTGCTCGCTGGCTCCTGCAGGCACATTGGGGCTGCAAGATGAGGTTCCTTCTGGCTTCGGAAGACCCCTGTTTCATGTCCGTGATGGTTGAAGAGTGGGTACCAAAACATAGGTTCCCTTTTTCCTTTGGCCACTGCGGGTCTGTAGCTGCGCTTCAGGAATTGGCAAATGTGCGGGGGATGGCGAGTCAACGAGCACAAGCAATGGCCAGGGAAGCACGGCGAGTTTTCTTGTCGAAGGTCAGTTCTGCGCAGCTGCAACGTTGCTGAGCATAGCTGATGGCCATGTTTTGCGGACATCGGGGAAGAGTTTCAACAAGTTTTGCGATCGCAGAAGTTTCCTCAATTCACACTGCGCACCTTCTTGGACGATCGTACCTGCGGCTGGCTCTTCAGGGAATTGTCAGGGCCAGGTCCCGTTTCTCGGTCTGGTAGAGTCTGTCGGGAAGGCTCGAAATTCCTTCGACTCGATGGGACGACGAATTGGCGTGACGACCCTTCTGCTATTTGCTATGTCAGTCGACCCCCCCCTTTTCCCTAGTGACCCAGGCCTCCTGTGCGGCACAGATGTCCGATTTTTTTGCGGCAGGGTGGGATGCCTTTTTTCCGCTCCGCCAAAAAGCGGTGCCTGGACCCAGAACCTAGCCATAAAAATGGTTCCTGGACCAAAATGAGTAGTGGTTTCTGCGGTGTGTTATAGGTCGTTTGAGGGTGCAGGGGCCCTTTTTGTCCATGGGAATCTGAAAATCTGTGCAAAACACCGCTTGCATCCCGAGGCGTGCGAGCCGGAAGCAGCCAAAGCATTGCTCGAAAAGGTGCCTCGAGCTCTCAGTTTTCCTTAACAGCCGACAGCTATGAGGTCTTTGCCCAGAAATCGACTCTGGTTGGTGGGGCAGCTTTCAGGGTTCCAGAGGGCTCCTTTTTCGGTCGCATTGCCTCTGTGGCAACATTGGACTTCGGTTTCGTTGGTTCGAAGCCCAGGGATTCCAATCCTGGGATCCTGGCTCGACAGAGTACCCGTTTTGGCTGGCAAAGGTGCACCAGGAAGCCTCACCCATCGGGCATTTCCATATCCTGTTTTGAGACCAACCCATGGGTTTCCCATGGGTTTTGACAGGGAAAGGGAGACCACCCAGAGCAATGGGGGCGGGAACCCCCAATTTGAGACCCTGCCATGGTCTCAAAAGGGAAAAGACTAATTCGCTCGGGCCTGGTATGGTCGACCGCACCCCTTGGGTTACCGTTTCGGCTGAGCCCGAACAATGGGTGGGGTTCCCTTATGGGCTCTGGTTCCCTTTATGGGGTTCCCTTTCGGCTATGATGGTTCCCTTTGGGGTTCCCTTTGTGGTGCTTTCTGGCTATTTGGACTTGGATCTTGGGACTTTGACTGTTTAGTTGAAACAGAGGAGACTTTCCATTGGACCCACAAGATAAATAGACTCTTTGCAGGAGAGTCACCAGCAACCAAGTTCCCTTTGGCTTGCTGCCCAAGACTTCGCACGGGCCTCGGAAGGAGGCTTCACCCAAATGGATCTCGCAAGTGCGCCCAGGATCTACGCAACGATGCCATACAAGAGACACTCCAAGGAAAACAACTCGATAGGAGTCTTGGGGTAGTCATAAATTGCCTCAGCCGGTTGCATTCAGTGCAAGAGTAGAAGTTTCGGGGTCCTCGAGTGCGTTTGAACCCCTGGGCAAATGGGGTTGGTCGTCCAAAAATAGTTGGTAACCCCAAAATGGTTGCTCTGGCAAATAGAAACAAGGACCACAACCTGCGGTCCATATCCTGGTGGTTTGATGTTGACTCATACCCAGGCGAAGTTGGTGTTTTGTTCTCTCGCTTTTCCTGCTGACATGATTCAAGCTTCCGCTAACCCTTCCGCCAGGCTTCCTCGTCATGAACCGTTGCTTCCGCGGGCATGCTTTGGTGACTTTTTGCTTCCACGTTTCCACGCCCAGAATGTCGTTCAGTTTGGGCTTCTGTTGCAATCCATGCTTTGGTTACTTTTGCTATGGCCAGAGCTGTGGCAACCTTCCGCGAGTGCAGTCCACGTATTGCATGAATCGCTGCTCGGTGCATTCGCCTTGGGTCCTTCCCCGAGCGTTGTAAAATCGGCTCCAGCCTGAAAACCATCCAACAAAAACATGGTCTTTTGCAATATGTATTCCTGTTTTGGATAAACAAACCCAAGTGCTTTCCTTTGTTCAACCCATCTGAAAGGGAACTCATGTGTTCTTTTGGGACCCAGCGCAGCCGAGCGGGGCGTTCAAAGCTTTCCGAGCCATGCACTGCTTCGATGCGACAGCCCTGTCGAGGGCTCGGCTGGCTTGTGGATTGGCCGCTCCGTGGTGTTTGGGACTCAAGTTCTCACTCCAGAAATACTGGACTTTAGTCACTTTTGGGGGTTGGACAGGTTTTAAATGCAAACAACAAGTTCAGACTTTGTGTGGCCAAACCGCTCAAGAAGTGAGAGTTTGGAGCATAGTGTTGAGGATGGCGCGGCTTTCTTGACCCAGCTCAAGGCAAAGCCAAAGTATACCAACCATGTTCGGGTTGGTCTAAAACCGGGTCGCTTCCAAATGTCGATTGATAAAGGTGCCGCTTGGCCTTTGCTTTTATAGAAGCAAGGCGTGTTTGTAGGGGACAGTCTCAACCCAACAAATAAGCACGGACGCCCTTTTGATCATGCACATGCTTTGGAGTGCAACCTTTCATACAATAGTTGCTGTAAGTCTGATTGCGACATAAAGTACCGGGGGAGCCCAAAGAGATCCAACGAGCCAGCCTGGTTTGTTCCAAAGCTACTATCATTGCAAGGTTGACTAAATTTGACAGGAATCATCAAATATGTGTTTGGGCCAAGAAAGGGGTAACACTAGAGTCTCTGAGCAAATCAACACAGGGTAAGCTCAAAGACAACACGCTTCAAACGGAGGTTTGCCTTTGAACCTGTGAAGACAAAGGATGCCTCCCAAAAACAAGAGGACAGTTCTCTTTAAAGGTGTCCCCATGTTGTTTTGTCAGCCAAAAACGGGCCAATGGTCCAAAGGCCAACATGGGAGAGTAGGAGACACTCACAGGCCTGGGGTTTTCCCAGTGCAACATATGTGATACGTAGATTCGGTCTGGCGTGCGAGTTGGGATATGGAACACAACATGAGCAGCTGGTCAACAGAAATGATCTCTCATTGATTTGCCTTTGGTGCCTTATTTGAACTGTCGCGGGCATCTTTAGATATCTTTGTTTAACGGGCTGTTGATGTATGAAGTGGTCAGTTGCGGTTGCAGGCGGCTCCCGCAAGAGCTGTTCTCGTCACATTCCAGAGTTGTTCCACATGTTTCCTGCCCTAAGGTTGCTTGGCACATGTTGGCCATCCAGAAAGCTCTTTGAGGCACCTCCTCCTCCCCTTCCCCCTGGTACCTAGGTCCCCCTGTGGTGCCCCTTTACCCCCTGCTAAAAGAGACTACTCACAAAAAGGGTACCCTTATTCTAACCTCAAACCACTGGAGGACCTCGCCTCAATTGGTGGTTCGGACAGCTGGTTTGGGAATTGAGCCCCTTCTTGTAGAGGGTAGATGGGGTTTCCCCCTCCGGAACACCAAGCCACCGATTCAGCTTGACCTTCCCCCTCCTTCGACGCGAAACCTCGCCACGACGAAGCGCGGTCGAAGGTATGCCGACGCCCGGGCGCAAAGCGGCTTTGAGCTGCCAGTGCCACGCAGGCGAAGTGGGCAAAATGGCGAGACTGGAGGCGTCCATATTTGCTTAAGGTGTTTTTTTGCTTTAATTATTTCCCCTGTTGGTTTTAGGGGAATCTGTCACTACTGGATTATTTTTATTTTTTCCAAGGGTCTTAACCAAATGGAAGAATGGACGAAAGTCGAATGGCACCGGTTGGCTTCTCCCGGTCATAGGTGTCCTTTTGAGGTTGGTTTGGTTAGAGGTAGATGGCACTGGTTCAGATTGGTCTGATTCCATTTGCCAGGGCCATCGATTTTTCCAAAAGGCCACTTATGCTCCCGGTATTTTTTGGGGGGTTCATTTCAACCACCGAGGGAACGGATTGATCTTTTCAGAACCCGGGATCTAGCTGGATGTCCCATGTTGGGTTTAGGGGGGATATTTGCAATCAGAAACCTAGAAACCTCGTAGACAGAACACCCTTCTAAGGTTGCTGAAGTGCGATCAATAGCACAAAATTGATAATGCCCTCTCCAGAAAGCCCTAAGAGGACGGGTAATTCAAGAATTGTGCAGGCCCTCCATTTTGCACCCTACCCGTCAGTGGTCGTTATCTCCCAGATGGATGACCTTCGGCCAGCCTATGTCTTCCGTCTTTGTCCCTTTGTCACAAGGAAAAAAGCCGCGCCGAAGCCGAACCCTGCAAGCCATGACCGTGATCTCCGCCGAAGCCATGGACACCATGGAAGCCGTTGCCGTAGAAAACCGACAAGAAAAGCCCATGGAAACCACACAAGCCACGAAAACCCTGGAGACCCACCGCAGAAAACATGGACAGAGCGGGTCTGTGGGAAGGCCCGCGGCGATGGGTGCCTTCAACAATGGCCAGATTCCCACGTTGCAAAACGACCAAAAGTTAAGAATCCAAGCTACTGGCCGCCAACTACCGTGGTTTCTTCTTGAAGTGTTTCATTGTCTGGAATGTGCTTCAGGAAACCAGGACGCACCTTAGTCCTTTCAACTAGAAGGGGCAGGAATCATGTTGGCTGGATTCATTCATTGAAGCCTGGTCGCATGGTCAAAGCAGACTGCCAAGGAACTGGGTTGATGAAGACAGCATGCCATGTTTACCTGAAGTGGTAATGGCTCTCGCTATCAATGTGCAAAGCTGTGGCCTTTGTGGTGTCAGCCTTCGAGGGCGAACTTGTATGCACCGGCCTTGTGTCGCATGGCTCGAAAGCACGCCGAATAATGCGAATGAGGAAGCCGCTAGCACGGATGGCACAGGAGTCCTTTGCTTATGCAACAATCGCAGTCCGGGCTTCCAGGGGCGGGTGTTGTTGTTCATTGCCGTGTTTGAAAACGATCGCCAGTTGCGAGCCCAAGTCTTGCAAGCTGATCGCCAGCTCGGTCTGTGTGTTATAAAATGATTGTGATTTCGGCCTAAGTGTTGGACAGCTATCGCCAATTAATGAGCTGGGGGGTTGGCTCCGCCCAAATCAGCACTCATTAATCCCTGAACAAGGCCTTACTTGACCTCCCTCCCTCCACAAGACGCATGAGTGTTGCAAAGTGACGGCCCATGGCCGCGTTTACCCAGCAAACAGCTCGCCAGGATCGAGAGAGCCTCAATGCCGGTGCGCCGGGTGCTCAGGTCCGAATATTTTCCCAGGTCCATATGGCTGTGGTTGTCAAAACTGTTTTGGGATCCCATTTTGGGGTAGGTGAATTCACCACCCATTTTTAGTCTATTGTTGTGGTTGGATTGGCATGTTCACTGGGGGTACGATTTGGATTTTGACCCATGGCCATATCTCTGCGATCAATAGCACATGGCTGGCCGCCGTTATTTGACTTGAAGCATGTAGCACCCAGCTCGCTTTCCGAGTTTCGAGACTTTACCTGGTAGTTCTTTTGCTTCTGCTGGGACCTTGGCCAAACCACGGCCGGGAGGTGGTTGCGATTGGCCCAGGCCTATGAGCCATATCTGCCATGAAGCCAAGCCGATGCCTGACAGTCAAACGGCCACCAAAATCACCGCAACGGAAGATCCAGTTGATCGCCGTTGGGCCTGGACTACATTAATTTGTCTCAAGCTTCCTGGTTTCCCTAGCCCCCAGACATCCCGTCAAAACACAAACACAAAAACACACTCGTGTTTAGTCTGGGCACCCTTGGATTGTGGCCAGTCCTTCTCGGTTTGTGATCAAGCCTCGAGATAGCTGGGTGCTAAGGAGCCCAGAATCACGAAAAAGTAAGCCAAAGATGATGGGTGTTTTGTCCAGACGTCCAACATTGCACTCTAACCACATCCCCACCCCCTTGAAAATGGAATTGGGGGAGGGAAAGTGTCCCTTTTATGGGGAAGACTGGATACATGGAATTCCCCCCCCGAATGGTAAAAGGATCAAACTACCTTTGAGCCAGCTGCGCTGGATCACTTATTTGGGCCCTCCCCCTCCCTGCCCCCCAGCCCCCATGAACGTATGCATACTCTCATCCTCCCATGACCTGGTGCCGATCGGCGTGGATTTTGTCCATCCACCATGGGCCTTTCGCATGTTTTCACTTGAGCAACAAAAACCCGGGTAGATGTTCCGGTTAAGGGACAATCCCCTGGCCATAGGCTGCGGATCTCCGCCTTAATTCTTGAAGCATGGTTCTGGGAGTACGACCATTTTGACAGGGTTTTGAGCCCACTTCGGTCCCTAGGCCCCTGTCCACGCACCGAGCTCACAACGCTACGACAAGAAGTGAGGAGGTCTGCCCCGTCGGAGAAAAAGACAAAAAACACCTCGGAGCGAGGCGGAAAAGGCCAGCGCTCGGTGCCCTTTAAGGGGGAACGAAAAGATGGTTGACGTGGCTTGAACATGGTTCAAGCGCGGGATTTAAAGGGAATAGCCTTAGTTAAACATGATTGGACATGAATCCCCATGGAAACTTGTAAGTCATGCCCACTTACGTGTTCCTCCAACAATCACCTACCCAAGAGACGGAAGCGTTTAGGGCAAAGAACTCAAGGGCGTTGATGAAATGGGTTGAGACCCTCTTTCGATCCCAACCACTAAAGAAGCAGAACATGTCACGACGCCTCCCAAACAAAGGCCATCTGACACAATCAATTGTCCAAGTTCCTCGCACGCCGTTCCGCTGGTTGTGACCAGCGTTGCCGACCACTCGCCAACATTGGATGAGGGAAAGTACATCTTGGGACTTCCCATCCAAGGCCCTCCGCTTCAAGGCTTGCATGGTTCCGGTGGTTTCTTACCCGAGGGAAGGGGGAGGTTACAGCTCTCCAGCCCTCAAAGTGTTTGGCTTCCTTCCTTTCCCTTTCGCTTTTGACTTTTCTTCGGCGCATTCTGCCAAGGGATGTCACGACTTTAACTGTTTGCCAACTCATGGGTTTCCCGTATTAAACCGCAGGTTGAAAAAGCTTTTAGCCGGGGAGCAGAAAGCGACCGAGTTTTGACCTACATCCTGAAAAGCGAAGCGGCGCCACGCCACGCCCAACAGGATGCACCAGGAAGCGGAGCACGTGGCCAAGCTGAAAGCGCGAGTGGAGGTCCTGAAGGCCGCGGTCGCTGAGCGAAGGTTCCTTGCGGATGTTGCTTATTATCATTATTATTATCATTATCATTATGATTACTATTGTTAGTATTATTATTATGTCTTTATTACTATTACTCTTGCTATTACTATTATTATTAGTATTATTATTATGTGTGTTTTCCCCCCGCAGGGCCTGGACCGCTGAAAGAGCAAGCTGGACCTCCCCAAGACATCGTCCATGTCATCGGAGAAGTCTTCTGTGAGTCCCGAGCCCGCCACCCTTGTTGAGGTTCCTTCTGTAATTTTGTGCAAGGAAGCACCTGCATGCCCACTCGGTTTGGAGGTTCGCATGCCCAGTTAGTGCCTATACTAAGATATACTAAGTGGGAAGTATCCTACGTATTCATTGGGGCGACATGTTAGCTGGGATGACCTTCAGCGGGCATATCCTTGGTCCTTTGCTTTGGAGGGGAAGACGCGTTAAAATGGCCATGGGGCAGAGCCTATGCCTCCATTTTGTGGTAACATCCATTTGCCACCTATGTTGATGTCCACCAGGGGTCAGGGTTTTGACCCACTGCCAAATCAAGTACCAGGAGAAAGGCCACGTTTTCAAAACCCGCACATCCACCGGAGGCTTGGGGGACAGCCGCGCAATTGAAACGGCCCGTGCAACGAGACCCTGCATCGCTTTCTGGTGTCCAGCGCGGAAGGGTGCAACAAGCTGCCTATTGCAAAATAGTGTCTGTCTTGTTCCATTTCTGCCTGCAAATTTCGGGAATGGATCGTGCCCCCTACTGCTGATCAAGTCCCAACGGGGGCAGTGGCACAGGCCCTTATGTGTCCTTGAGAAGAGAATTTCTCTTGAACTAAGTACCGCAGGGAAAGTACCTGAGATACTCCCTGTCAAATCCACATGGCATCCAGCAAAAGGTGGCTCAAAAGACAATTCCGATCCTCACAACGTTGGTGTTTGAGGTTCCACAGGGCAACTTTGAGGTTTTTCCATTCACACCCAAATACAGGGATTTGCCAAAGTCGTGCCTCCGTTTGAGGCATTGCTTAAATTCCATGGGGGAGAGGGCTTCGAAGAAGTCGTGCCTCTTTCCAAAACGCATAGGAACTCTGCATGTTTGAAGGGGATAGGCTTTCGGGAGGCATTGCAGTTGAAAATGGTTATTCCGTGGGGTTTAGGATGGTTTAGGCATGTTTTATCTTATCCGCCTAGGAGCGTTTACAGTGTGTTTCGCAATCTTGAGACTTGACGTCTCTTTTGCTACAGCTGGTTCGAGTCGGCACCTTGCTTTTCCTCTCACCTGGACTAACCTGGCGTGTTTGCAGGGCTGAGCGATGCGCTTGAGGGGGTGCTTATTATTTGGCTGGCGTCTGTGCAGCGCGCTTGAGCTGGGGTGCTTGCCATTTGGCTGGTGTGTGTGTGTGCGCAGGGCTGAGCAGGCGCGCTTGAGCGGCTGGCGTTCGCAGGTGCGAAATTGTGTCGAAAAGTGGGTGCGGAACTTGTGGGCGCGGGTTCGGCATATGTGGGCCCAAAATCTTCAACGGACGATCGGTGATCTCGTTTTGATCTCGTTTTTTGCCAGGGTGCATTGCGAATGTGCCTGCCTGCCTTCCAGAGAAAGAACTCCAGGACGTGGACACACGGCGCAAGAGCCCGCAAAGCCCACCCATTGTGTCATGTCTTCCTAAACTCTGCTACAACAACCTATCGTATGCTTGGCGTTCCATTGGTTTTCATGTTCCTGCAGACGCCTCGCGGGGCTGGAAAACATGCTTTGCCATCAGTAGCGTTCCATTGTGTTTCAGTGTTGACACCTGTCTTTTTGTAGCATGATCAGCTCGGTGATGTCAAGCGTTCCATGGGGATTGTTGCCGAGGCGTGACATCGGAGTGACTTCTTGGAACCGGCGTTTACATGGGAAAACACATGGCCACACAGATAAAGGAGTGACTTAGGCATGACTTTGTCGTTTGCCTGTAATTGGCATGTGGCTATCATGGAGTACCTTAAGGCCAACTTAAGATAGATGAAGTTCTAACAATTGGGAGAATCATCTGTGTACTTCTTGAGCCGTGGACAAAATCCTACACCTGGTATGTTGTTTCCATATGGCTGTGGGTCAAAACCAATGGGGGTACTGGCCTTTGACCCATCGCCATATGAATTGGCGTGTTTTAAAAAACGCGCATCGCCAGACCGAGCTGCGGAGCGTCCTGGACCAGAATCGCCGGATGTCGGCCCGGCGCTCAGGCGACTCCGGTCAAAATCCCGCTGCCGGGTCGGCGTTTTGGTCGCCGGGTAAACCGTGAGGTCGGCGTTTTGGAGTGGTGGTTTCGATTTGGATTTCAGCCCGCCGCAGTTGTAGAGAGTTAAGGGGGAACCCTTAACCACACCACCCATCCAAGCCAGCAAGTAGAGGGAAGCTGAAGCTGTGGTGAGTTGATTTTCGCATTTCAAGGTCCACGAAATAAGGATGCAAATTCAATCATGTATTTCTTGGTTGTGCACAAGTTGAGGTAGATATCGTGTGCGCTGGCAACATCTATCGGGTATTGGTTGTGCCCGGAAAGTTTCAAGGCACAAAGTAGGACAAAGGGATGTGAGACAACTGAAGGTTTGGAGCGTCATACCCTTTTTCTTGGGTACAGAGACACCAGAGACCAGATACTTTTGTCCATGGCACACATCCGTTTGAGAGTTTTAGAAGGGAAACATGAAGTAGCCATTTGTCTGCCTTTGCAGGGTTCTCCAATCTTGTTTCGCTGTTTGAATCGTCTTCTTGGGCCAAGGTTGAAAGCTGGTTTCCTTTGGGGTTGGAAATATGAGGAGCCCTGCTTGGGCCATATCTTTAGGTTTCCCCCTGCCGCTCCTTTAGATCAGGGACCACTCCCAGCCTCAAAGCGGTGCAGCCGCTCTTTGGATGGCTTGTCCCGTGTTGTGTCTTCTGCGTGTGTGGTTGTTTTGTCTCAGCATGCAGACAATGTACGCAGATCCTGCTTAGCAGACAGGCGGCGCACTTGGAGTGTCCGCTCTTGACTCAGCCCCAGACGAGGTTCTAATAAACGGGTTCCAGCTTGCACCGGCCACAATCATGCGCGCAACATCCTAGAACCCATTAGAACCCGTTCAGGGTCCCAAGACAACATTTGTTTCACCTCTACCCTGATTTTTCGTTCAATGCCACCTTATTGTCAAGTGCTTGGGATGCTACCTGCATTCCTGGCTTTGATTGGCAATCCACCTGCTGGGTTAGGCCGCCAGGCTTCAACCAGACCCGAGTCGACCTCGACAGAAGCGGAGTTGTTTGTACGAGCCCGGTGTTTTTTGCGTCCAACCTGTTGCTCGGGCCCAAAAAAACTCAATGATAAAAGGCGGCTAAAGAACAGGTCCGCCGGAGTCCCTTTGAACAGTAATGAGAAAACGCACATGCGCACACGCGGCGCACAACTGTCAGGTTTCCCTTAGTTGGTCGCTTGGTTTGGTGGTTTGATGATTTGAACCCCTGGTTCCTGAGGAAAAAAGGTTGCAGCCACCCCTTCACGTCGACTCCGAGATCTGATTTTGCGGTCCGACGTCCGCTCTGTAGGACCTCATCGAGGCGCAAGGCCAAGAGCGACAGGCGGGGTCGCGATCCGAGGGGTAGGGACGCCCAACCTGGTCCCCCAGCAATTGGTGCCAGTTTTTCACCCAACTTTTTTGGTTGGGAGGGTTCCCCTACCAAAAAATCGACTACAGAAAGAAAAAAAAAAGGTACCAACTGATTCTAACCTCTTGGATCTGGAGGACCGGACGCGCCAGTCGGTCCACTTTCCCCCACAGCCAGACTCGCCAAGGTTGCGTCCGACCTCGGGTGCAGAGTTTCCATCCACGGTATCCACCTAGAAAAAACCGCAAAAGAAAACGCCGCGGGTTGTGAAAGCGATGTTTGGACGTTGGAACAAAGCGACACCATCCCCAAGGGTTCCCCATTGTGGATGGACAGTTCTGAATTCAGATTGCAAAGCTAAGCCTTTCTCTATATTATCAGCTGAAGATTGAAGTGGACGTAGTCTCTGTCATGACCCAAGACAAAACCCTGCTCTGGAGCAAAATACAAAATAACGAACTGGGCCAGCAGATGGCAGAAGGCCAACGAAAGCCGACGCAAGGCCAACCAAACCAAGGGCCCGCGAAAACGGGGACCTGTCTTGCTTCCAACATCCCCCAAAGGAAACTATCATGGGATGGATACTTGTTGAACTTTTCCGGACCTCCGATTTCACCCCCGGGAATATCTATATATTTTACTCACTTCCAGAGTGCCCGGACTTGAGTCACTTTTTGGGAAGGCCAGTGGACATCCAGCTCGGTCCGGGACCCTTGGTATCCGGAACCCGGGAAGAAATCCTGCAGGGATGGGATTTGGGTTGGAGAAAAGATCAGCAAGGGCTGCGAGCATGTCCTTCTGGGAGAGCCATTCGAGGCGGAAGACCAACGTGAGAAGGCGGGGCCAGGGCTCTGGCTTCCTCCGAATGACTGGTCCTTTTGGAGGTACCCAAAAATGGGCTGCTTTGGGGGCCAGAAAAACCAAAGGAACTGTCCCACGTGCCACGTCCGTTTTGAACCCACGGTTTTGCAGTCGATCCATTTCTAAAGGCACTTTGGACATCGAGCCATGGCCTCACCCGGGTAATTGGAGGGTAAGGGACAACCCCCATTGACAGAAGTGGGTCCGGTTCCGAACCCGCCTATTCTCAATTCTTGAAGCATGGTTCTGGGTCCTTTCCAATTCTGCACCGATCGGGTTTGATTCGGACTCGCCCTACCATGGTGTGACTGCCACGCCCATACTCATACTTCTATTTTGGTATGGTTTGAAGCCAGGTTTTGATGTTGACTCGTTTTTTGCCCACGTTTTCATGCCAGGCTTTTGCACCGATCGGTTTTGAGTCCGCCTCATTCGGGGATTCATGGCCTTGAAGCTTCCCGGAGGCTGCGCGGAAGGCCCGGCACTCGCAGTTGGATTGCGCCAGGCGCGCTTTCGTCGCTTGCGTTGGGATCGGGTGTGGGTTTCGGGTTGGGGGCTGGGGGCAAGGGGGTCGGTTAGGGTGTTGGGGGGCTGGGGGTTGGGGTTTGCAGCCAGCAGAAGCTTGGGATTTATGGTTTTCGTGTGGTGGTTGCGGCTGTAAATATCGCTTCTCAGGTGGAATGATTGTATTGGCTCTAGGAGAGGACCGATTGGGTGAAAGTAGGCAGGATGGGCTGGGAATCCACCACTCCAACCTGCGTTGCTTTGCTTATGTAAAGGGTTACTGGAGTTCCCCTAAAGATGCAGTTTGCTGGGTAGGTTCCAACTAGAAACTGCCACTCTTAGGTCCATAGGGACCCCTCTCATGCGTTTGCACTTTGAAGCTTGAGGCTGACCTGTAGGTGCCAAACGTCCTAAGTATTGCAAGAAAGAAACAAGGAGGTCCCCGGTTTTCTTTTGGTTTACGGAAGTTTAGCGGATCGACCGCATCTTGGCGCATTCCATTTCTGGGGTGCTAGGGAAGCAGTACCATGTGGTCCTGTTTTTTGGTGGCGTATGTGTTGTCTAAACTTAGGCCGCGTCCAGGTTTGCTCCAATCCTCTTGAAGACCAGCCGGCAACAATTTGGGTTTGTCCCGAAACACTGGACACCCGCCAAAATAGCTGGTTTCCTTTGGTGTCCGTCACTGTTGTTGGCGAGCTTGTAGGTGTTTGGGTTTTGTTGTTCTTTTCATTTTCACTGGGTGCTGCAACTGCAAAAAATCCTTTTACCAACCATAAAGGGAGCCCTCAGAGGCACAAGCAGCAATCAGGTCGATGCCATCCGCCCGGTCAGGTCATGGCGTTGCCTGGTTTCCGTTTGGTTTCTCGTGTTCGGAAGATGTCCCACAAAAAAGCTCGGGCCCCTAAGTGGCTTGCGGGTAGGGTGAACCTTATTTGGCTGTGGCTCAAAAAGAAGTGCCCAAAATGGTACTTATGGAAACAAGGAGTAAAAATCTGCGCCACCCCACATGTGTAAATTTTGAGCCACGCCCAGTTTGTGTCCTCATCCGCGGAGGCAGCTCTTCCGGGCCATGCTGGACGCGCAGCACCCAGGGTCGGGCGATGGCATCTTTGGGATTGGGTTTTGTTAACTTCCATTTGCTTAAGATGTTGTTTCTATTTATTTTTCCCCTGTTGGTTTTAAAGGGAATCTATCACTACTGGAAATATGTTTATTTCTTGCAGGGGTCTTAAGCAAATGGAAGTTAAGGTGAGTACAACGAAGGGTGTGTCTTAACTTGGTGGCTCCCGGCCATCCGGTTCCTTAGCCTTTTAGCCTTTTAGTCTTTAGTGGTGGTTTCCATTTCACCCCCTAGAAGTTCTCAACTTCTAGCGGGGGATCCGAAATCAGGCAGCCCAGTCAAGACAGGAGAGCCCGATGGCGGTGTCCCTGTAGGTTTTCGCTTGGAACCCCAAAAAGGGTACACCAAAAGAGACGCACATGCAGGGAACCTGGGAGAGCCACTTGTGTCGCCCCGGGTTTCGCGACATCCTTCAAAAAAACTAGCGAATGATTCCTCTTGATGGAGACAAACACGCAACTCGGTTTCTGGCTGGTGGCTTGTCTTTGAAGAGCAAAAGGCCTCGGCCCTGTGGTTTCTATCAAGCCTACTGCCTTGCGGGCCAACAAGTGGAAACGATTGAGTTGTCCATGATTGAACTGACAAAGGCTTTTGTTTTTCTGTGTTTCTTTGTTTGGGAGCACCTCAAGGTGCCATACCTTCAACTCACATTCGCCGATGCCAACCACTGGTGAGGGGCCTGGGGTAGAACCTCAGGACAGCAAGACAGCAGAGAGCAGGTGATCAGCAGAGGTTCACTTTTGCATACTGTATGGGGGGGTGTCTTTTTTGAGGGTACCCTTTCTGGTTGGTTCTTAAAGCCAATCCACTCAAAAAGTGAGATATGCATGGGCAATTCAATCGCGACCCCCCCACACTTACCTGGGCTTTGCGATAGACTCTCGCATGATCCGGCGCCTCACTTTGAGGTCTCGGTTGCTCCTTGATTCGGCGTGCTTTGCATCAAAGACTTCCAATTGCTTAAGAATAGTCTTTTGGTTTTAAAGGGATCTATCACTACTGGAAATATATTTTCCAGGGTCTTAACCAAATGGAAGAAGACCAACGTCATTTCTTCGAACGTCCCCAATGACGATCCACTAAAAGTGGCTTCCTCCATTCCAGTGTGCCGTCGTCTTGGGCTGTCACAGCTCCATCCGATTGCCCCCCAAAAGGCCGAAGCCGCAAAAAAGAGCAACCGATCGAAAACAACGTGCTTCGATCTTTTCGCGAAAAAAATGCATGGGTCAAACATTCAACCAATGGACCGCAGGTTTGAACTTGCCCTGGTAAATGGCTGTGGGTCAAAACCAATGGGATCCCATTTTACCCATTTTAGTCGATTTTAGAGGGGATTGGGATGTTCACTGGGGGTACGGGCTTTGGACCCATGGCCAAATAGAAGCAAGGACATTCCTTTTCTGTTGGTTACCAACTCTTTTTGACCGCCATGTTGATGGCCCATGCCAGAAGCTCCATGGGGCTTCGGACATGTGAGCCCAAAATACCTCCATGTTTGACCCACCTGTTGCCAACCTTTGTGAAGCTGAAGGTTCAAAGGCGAACTCGGATTTCTCGTTTCCGGGTCCTGAGGCTCAAGGTGAAACGGGGCATCTTTCATGTCCAGATCGGAACTTGTTTCTTGTTTTTTTTGTTTTTCCCCCCAGCAGCTGAAAGCTTTGGGGTCTCAGCCCAGATAGGCTCCGGGGTGGTTCGGGGCGACCCTGAGCTAAGGTTCCACCAGGGTTCCACCAGTGTTCCACCAGGGTTCCACCAGGGTTCCACCATTTGCGAGGTTTCCACCAGGGTTCCACCAGGTTCTGCAAGGGCTGCGGGGTGGTCTGGGGTGGTTTGAGGTAAGGTTCCACGAGGGTTCCACCAGGTTTCCACCAGGCACCAGCCCGTCGTGCTCCGGACGAGGGTTCCACCACGGTGCCACCAATGTTTTCAATGGCTGCGGGGTGCTGGTTTGAGGAAGGTTCCACAAGGGTTCCACCAGGGTTCCACCAGGGTTCCACCAGGCTTCCACCAGGCTTCCACCAGGGTTCCAACAGGCTAAGTGGTCCGGGGTGGTTTGAGGTTCCACGAGCATTCCACCAGATTTCACCAGAGTTCTGCCAGGGTTTCACCAGGTTCTGCAAGGGCTGCAGGGTGGTCCGGGGTGGTTTGAGGTAAGGTTTCACGAGGGTCCACCAGGGTTCCACCAGGGTTTAATCAGCGTTTTGCACGAGGGTTTTTAGCAGCATTCCACCAATTTCTTGGAGGGTTGAAAAGGTTCCACGAGGTTTCCACCAGGGTTCCACCAGGGTTCTACCAGCGGTCCAGGCTGGTTTGAGGTAAGGTTCCATGAGGGTTGCGCCAGAATTCCACCAGGTTTTGCAAGGTAAGGTTCCATGAGTTCCAGCACGGTTCTAGCAGGGTTCCACGATTTTCTGCGAGGGCTGCGGGTGGTCCGGGGTGGTTTGAGGTAAGGTTCCACGAGGGTTTCACGGTTCCACGAGACTCTGCAAGGGCAGGTTTCGCAGGGTTCCACAAAGCTCTGGAAGGATTCCACACGGGTTCCACAAGGCTCCACAATGTTCCACCAAGCGTTCCAGAAATGCTCTGCAAGGTTCCGTGGTTTGCCCTGGAGGGAAGCAAATGTTGGCTTTGTGGCAAATCAGATCACGTCGCTGCGGGACTCACGGTGCAGCAGAGTAAATGCTTGGCATTGCTTTGGGTTCCAAGAAGTCCACGAGGCTGCGAGGGCTATGAGGTCACAAGGTTTCCACCAGGTTCTGCAAAAGCTATGGGGCAGCCCTGAGGAATCACCGAAGTTGCATGAGAACGGTTTGCAAGGTTCACCGGGCCTAGGTCGTGCACTGTTGGGGCCCGATTGCACCGTTTGGGCCTCGATCGGCCCCGATTGCGCCATCGCGCCCCGATCGGGGAGTCGGGCCCTGTCAACTGTACCAAGCTGGCATCGCCTAGTTTTGCTATAGATACAGTTGCAATCCGCATGCTAAGGAAAACCGGCGTTGAGCTATAATATGGGTGATCGGGCCCCGATTGCACCGTCGGGCCCCGATCGGGCCCCGATTGCGCTGTCGGGCCCCGATCGGGCCCCGTCGAGCCCCGATCATGCAGGGCGAGACTGCGCTGTCACTCGTAGCTTCGCTTTAGAAAGTTACAAGGCGGCATCCTCAGCAACACCGGCGGTAAGGATGGTCCCGGGGCGTTCCGCGAGGATTCTGGGAGGGTGTGGTGCTGTTGGGGATTTCGCCCGAGCTTATTTTTTTTTCCGGGGCGGTGCGTCCTCAGCGCTTTCCATTCCGAGGCCAATGACTTCTGCGTGAAGCGTTGAATTCGCGGGAATTTGAGAGATGCAGCGGCCTGGATTGAGAGAGACATGACCATCCCCATATGGCTGCGGTTGTCAAAACCAATGGTACCATGGGGTAGGTGCACCACCCTTCTTAGTCTAGTTTAGTGGTACGGGCTTTTGACCCATGGCCATATCGCTAGGAAAGCGCGCCAAGACCTGGTTGATTCTGGGGCGCAAGTGTTGCCCTATCAAGGCAGGACTTCGATCAGAACCGAGCCATTCCTCAATTCCATGTCTTAGCTCTTGCTTTCTCAAAGACTTCGCCCGAAGCTTGCGGACCTTGACTCACCCCTTTTGTCGGATGGTTTGAAGGTGAGCCTAAAGGACAACTTCTGGAATAAGGGCCTTGACCCTTGGATAGTGAGGGAAGCCCGGACATCTAGAGCTGAGTCGCTTGAGTCAGCGCAGTACTGGAATCGATGTGGTTGTGTTGAGGTTTTGGGCTTACTCAGTATGGGCTATACCATGGTTGTTGTTTCCAGACAAAATCCGAATCAGCTTGGGTTGGTAGGTGCGTTCACCATTTGGGACATCCAAGAACCGGGGCCTCGGCGACCTGCTCCATGGCCTGCTGTTGGGTTGGTACCCGTTCATCAGAGCCTTGACGGATGGACTCAGCACATGAAGTCTACCAGTTTTTAGTTGGTTTGCTGGTCGGCCTGGATTTTGGGTGTGCCAGTAGCTTTGCCGGTTGGTTTCCCCATTGTTACCTTTGGCAGCAAGGTCAAAGCCCATCACATCCTCAAGATGTTACTATGCTTGGTGGCTCCCAGCCATCCGGTTCCTTAGCTTTTTAGCCTTTTAGTGTGTAGTGGTGGTTTCCATTTAACCCACTAAAAGTTAAACGTTTAGCGGGGGATCTGAGGGCAGCCCAGTCGATGATAGGTTTCGCCGCCTGCAAGCGGTGGGTTAAAGGGAATCAGCCCCAGCTGTGCTTTATCAACCCTTCCCCTGACATAGGCAGAAGACCCCGCTCGGACAGGGAGCTAATTCACAACATCGCAAAGGGCAGGGCCGCACGCTGCAGAGCGACTTCTGAGAAATCGACGTCTTGTTCAGAGTGACTTGCTGTAGCTTTCACAATGTCGTTATCTCATCCTGTCACATTTTGCTAAGCTCACTCAGCTTCTGGGCTTTCAAGCTGAGAAAGGTCATGTTCTTTCGAAGTCCAGAGATCCGCTTGTGCCGCATCTGAGCCACCAAGAGTCGCTCTTTGCGGCACCCGCTTTGCATTTGTACAGCGCATCGGAGCCTCAAATGACATGCAGAGAAAAACGGCCCTTAAAGGGGGGCCTTGCTTGCCTTTTTGTTCTGGCGGAGTGCAGGGAAACGAAGAAGCTTGCATTTGTGGGAGGAACTTCAACTCAAATTCTCTAGGTCGGAGATCCCATGCTAGCTCGTTTTGAAGGAAACCACCTTGACCTCACTCATCGGGTCATCGGGGGAGGTCCCCCCCTTCCTTCCGCCAAACGGTAAGCCCGCCAAATTCAGGTGACCTGCGGACCCGATTTTTGCTCGAGGGAGTGAGGGGAGGAAATCCTTCGGCAAGCGCAGCTCCTTTGACATGGGGTCAGAAAACCCCGGCCGGGTTTGTCTTTGTATTGTTTTTTAGTTCTGGGGCGGGGGGCATGGGGGCAGCAAGTCCAAGTTGCATTGCAACATCCCTTTCAAAGCTGACAATTGTAAAGTTACTTTATTTTAGGTCTCTGTGAAAAAATGTAATCGTACATACAACGGCACCGGCAAAGGGAGAAGAACAAGCTACACTTTCAGTCATCCCCCCTTACTGGGGTGCTGATCACACTTGGCGTTCCAAATGTTCAATGCCTCGGCGCCTCTCAGTTGGCCAGCCACACAGACACGCGAGTTTCTGCGCGAGTGAAATCCTGAAGATTCTGGCGAGTTTCTGCGCTTCCTTGTCTTCTTATCTGTTTCCCTTTAAGGTCAAGCCTGGATGAATCGACCTAGCGACTTAATGTGGGTGTGACGTGTTTCTTCAAAGTGAAGGTCACCCTCTAAACTGGACAGGAATCCGGAAATCAAGCAGTTGATTTATCCAGAAAGAGACATTTTTCTCCAGTGAAAAGGCAGGGATGCGTGCCCAGCCGCCCGTGGAGTCGAATTTAGGCTGATGAATGGGCTCAAGTGGGGAGGCAGCTTGGAAACGCTCGCCAAAACGTGCGAGCAAGACGCGGAACTCAAGGAACCCGCGATCAAGTGGCTGCATCTTGGGGTAGCAACACTTACATGAGAGGATGGAATGATCTATCGTCAAAGACAGGCATGCCATCAAGTCAGAGGTTTGCCAGAGGTGATGTGGCGCCAATCACGCCAATCATGATGCACGGAAGTGAGGGACTCATGTGGTGTTTGTTGCCTCAGATGTCCTTTGCAATGGACATTGTCAATGCGTTATATCTACAGTTTGAGTTAGCCTCTGAAATATGTGGCGATGCGCCTCTTGGCGCTTCCCAGCCCCAAAGGCTTGAATACGGATTTAGGACATATCCCTGAAGTCCACTTGACGGGATCAACGCCCCGAAAACCAGAACCGGAAAGGCGCCAAACCGGGCGCCAAAGCGGTTGCGCAAAACGTACGCCTTGGATGCCTGGAGGTGAAGGCCGGGGAGTGGCTAGAGCTGTCGGGAAGGCAGCTTGAAGAGAAATGGAGCCTAGGTAAACAGTATTGGTTGAAGAGACAAAGGGTTGGTCCTATCCAACTTGGTGAGAGAGACTCGTGTTTTGGCTTTTCAATTATGGTGTTCAAAGGGGAAAGCGACGACCATGGTGAGTTTCCGCGGGCATGACCTGTTGATTTGGTGGCAGGGCCGCGGGCATCAAGTGGAGAAGGGCATCGACTTGGGTTTCTTTGGTTGAGCTGGATGTTTCTCGCCTGGTTTCACTCGGTAACCCTTGGGGATGTTTCTTTGTCTCCAAACCCATGGGATGTTTAACTCCAAACCCATTTGGAAAAAACACACAGAAACCAACCTGGGACTTGGGGCCACCACATCCCCCCAGTGGGTCCTCTCTAGGCCCGTGAGTCAGCGAGCCGATCTGGGCTTCCCAAAGCCTAGGAAAGCCTCGGCTTCCCCTTCGAGCGAAACGGCATGGGTGTTGGTCAGAATTAGACCACCATATGGACCACAGGTTTTAGTCATTCTTTCCATTTACCAGGGGGCCATTGGGTACCTATGTTTGACCCGAAACAAAACAAATAAAGAAATTGTCCTGGTTCCATGAGAGCCTTTTTTTGTGGAGCGGGCTGGGCCAAAGAGGGATCGCCACATGCAAAAGGCAACCAAGGATCCGACCAGAATCGCAGACAGGGATCTCGGTGAGGGGAATTCCAAGCGGCGGCCAGATAGGAAGTGCATGTTGATGGGCGGTTTATTTGGAATTCAAAAGGCACCGAACTACTTATCTTGGTGGTGTCCGTATTTATTTAACCCACAAGTTAGTCACTTTTGGCCGGAGATCGGAAAACAAACAGCCCAGGAAACCAAAGGCCGCCAGGGCTGGGTTTGGGCCCGACTGCTGATGGACAAATCCACTTCACAAACGGTGGTGATGAGAATCAACCAGTATTCACAGGCTGTTCGGAGACTGTTGTTGTTTTGTCATTTATTTGTGACGGTTGATTATTTTCCGATTCGAATCTGTTGGGTCCGCTTTGCCTGATGTTCAGATGTCCATGGTTGGATCCCTGTATCGGAGCCTTCTTGAATCCAGCTGAGGTTCCCTGTCGGCTACCCATTTCGATGGCGATGAATCGCCATGTGTCCACGTCAACAAAAGGTTTATAACAGGTTTGGTGAAAATAGCCAGTAGCTTATGGTTGGGGGGGCATGTCGGACCCAATAGATTCACCACAAAAGCCAATGGGACATTGCCAATGCTACCCTAAAAGGAATATGTTCATCTTCTTACATGTCATAGCTATATGAGCATTGACCAAGTGGTAGAACACCTCGTCTGGTGGAGCGAGGCCCAAGTAAGCCTCTAAACCCCATCTTGCGAAAGCCAACCGGTTTTTGGGTTGTGAACACTCGCGGTGCGCCGGTGCCGCGAGTTGCGAAGCCATGTCGCTCTTCAGTGGCGACAATGAGCGCTTTGGCTAAGCGGCAAGTTGGAGTCCCAAAAAGGGGAGTCCCCCCAAAAACTATGTGTTGTTCCTCTTCAAGTTTGAGGGTTGCTTGGGGGTTCCATCTGGTCTGGAGTGTGCAGTGAAAGAGTTGTTTGTTGTTTCCTCTTCAAGTTTGAGGGTTGCTTGTAGGTTCCATGCTGTTCTGGAGTGTGCAGAAAGAGTTGTTTGTTTTTTCCTCTTCAAGTTTGAGGGTTGCTTGGGGGTTCCATGCTGGTCTGCAGTGTGCAGAAGGAGTTGTTTGTTGTTCCTCTTCAAATTTGAGGGTTGTTTGGAGGTTCCACGCTAGTCTGGAGTGTGCAGAAAGGTTTGTTTGTTGGTTTCCTCTTCAAACTTGAGGGTTGCTTGGAGGTTCCATGCTAGTCTAGAGTGTGCAGGAAGGTTTGTTTGTTGGTTTTCTCTTCAAGTTTGAGCGTTGCGTCCATGCTAGTCTGGAATGTGCAGAAAGGATTGTGTTTTGGTTTCCTCTTCAAGTTTGAGGGCTGCCTGGAGGTTTCATGCTACTCTGGAGTGTGCAGAAAGGTTTGTTTGTTGGTTTCCTCTTAATACTCGAGGGTTGTTTGGGGGTTCCATGCTACTCTGGAGTGTGCAGAAAGGTTTGTTTGTTGGCTTCCTCTTAAAATTCGAGGGTTGCTTGGAGGTTCCATGCTACTCTGGAGTGTGCAGAAAGGATTGTTTGTTGGCTTCCTCTTAAAATTCGAGGGTTGTTTGGGGGTTCCATGCTAGTCTGGAGTGTGCAGAAAGGATTGTTTGTTGGTTTCCTCTTCAAGTTTGGGGGTTGCTTGGATTGTCCATGCTAGTCTGGAGGTGCAGAAAGGATTGTTTGAACATTGGCTTCCTCTTCAAGTTTGAGGGTTGCTTGGAGGTGCCATGCTAGTCTGGAGTGTGCAGAAAGGATTGTTTGTTGTTTACCTCTTAAAATTCGAGGGTTGCTTAGAGGTTCCATGCTAGTCTGGAGTGTGCAGAAAGGTGTGTTTGTTGGTTTCCTCTTCAGTTTTGAGGGTTGCTTGGAGGTTCCATGCTACTCTGGAGTGTGCAGAAAGGATTGTTTGTTGGCTTCCTCTTAAAATTCGTGGGTTCTTTGGGGGTTGCTTGGAGGTTCCATGCTACGCTGGAGTGTGCAGAAAGGTTTGCTTGTTGGCTTCCTCTTAGAATTGGAGGGTTGTTTGGGGGTTCCATGCTAGTCTGGAGTGTGCAGAAAGGTTTGTTTGTTGGCGTCCTCTTAAAATTCGAGGGTTGTTTGGGGGTTCCATGCTAGTCTGGAGTGTGCAGAAAGGTTTGTTTGTTGGTTTCCTCTTCAGTCTTGAGGGTTGCTTGGAGGTTCCATGCTACTCTGGAGTGTGCAGAAAGGATTGTTTGTTGTTTACCTCTTAAACTTCGAGGGTTGCTTGGAGGTTCCATGCTAGTCTGGAGTGTGCAGAAAGGTTTGTTTGTTGGTTTCCTCTTCAGTTTTCAGGGTTGCTTGGAGGTTCCATGCTACTCTGGAGTGTGCAGAAAGGTTTGTTTGTTGGTGTCCTCTTCAGTTTTGAGGGGTGTTTGGGGGTTCCATGCTAGTCTGGAGTGTGCAGAAAGGATTGTTTGTTGGCTTCCTCTTAAAATTCGAGGGTTGTTTGGGGGTTCCATGCTAGTCTGGAGTGTGCAGAAAGGTTTGTTTGTTGGCTTCCTCTTAAAATTCGAGGGTTGTTTGGGGGTCCATGCTAGTCTGGAGTGTGCAGAAAGGTTTGTTTGTTGGTTTCCTCTTCAGTTTCGAGGGTTGCTTGGAGGTTCCATGCTACTCTGGAGTGTGCAGAAAGGTTTGTTTGTTGGCGTCCTCTTAAAATTCGAGGGTTGCTTGGAGGTTCCATGCTACTCTGGAGTGTGCAGAAAGGTTTGTTTGTTGTCTTCCTCTTAACATTCGAGGGTTGTTTGGGGGTTCCATGCTAGTCTGGAGTGTGCAGAAAGGTTTGTTTGTTGGCTTCCTCTTAAAATTCGAGGGTTGTTTGGGGGTTCCATGCTAGTCTGGAGTGTGCAGAAAGGTTTGTTTGTTGGCTTCCTCTTAAAATTCGAGGGTTGTTTGGGGGTTCCATGCTAGTCTGGAGTGTGCAGAAAGGTTTGTTTGTTGGCTTCCTCTTAAAATTCGAGGGTTGTTTGGGGGTTCCATGCTAGTCTGGAGTGTGCAGAAAGGTTTGTTTGTTGGCTTCCTCTTAAAATTCGAGGGTTGTTTGGGGGTTCCATGCTAGTCTGGAGTGTGCAGAAAGGTTTGTTTGTTGGCTTCCTCTTAAAATTCGAGGGTTGTTTGGGGGTTCCATGCTAGTCTGGAGAGTGCAGAAAATCTTTCAGAACCCTTTGCTCGCAACCCCCTTGTAAGACCCCAGGAGCCCTTGTTGCTCTGTAAAGCCAAGGGACTTCTCTCGGAATGGGGAAGCAATCCATACTATTGGATGGTTGCGGGGAAAAAAAATGGGAAAAAAAAACTCGCAAGCTAAGAAACCTTGGTTGAAACCACGTTTGCTTCTTACCGGGAGAGCCCAATCATTCCAACTTGGGTTTCTGAACGGTGCAGGACTTCATCCAGCCACAGGCACCAAAGGTTCGCCTGTGGGACTAGTCATCGCATTGGAAATGACTGGTAATGGCCGTGAGTGCTGTAGCAAGTTTTACCTCGGAGCATTCGAGCAACACAACAGGCTTACCCTCTCGACATGGGAGGTGTGCGAACCTCGTTTTGCTTGGAATGCGCCTGTTTCGGTAGAAGAGAGTCGCCTTGAAACGGCCTTGTCTCAGCTCAATCCGGCTCAGGATTGGAAACATCCTCCAGCAAGCTGCCGGGGTGCCCAAGATTTGATGGTGGGAGTGCCGCCATTGGAGCCACCCTTCAAGCCTGGTTGGTTTGAAACTGGCCGAAAAGCGCCCGTTAGAAGCTGCCCAGCTAATGCGACACTTCCCGTCCTCAAATGTTGTTTTGGTTTCCTTTGAAACCATGCAACAAGCCCATCCGCGTCTGGTATCCATGAGTCTAACAGATGTTCAAGCCAAGCAAGACAAACCCAACGATTCAGAGGTGCAGGGGTGGTTTTATGCCCTCGTGGTGGGTAGACTTGCTTACTACCGTTGATTATGACACTCTGGTTTTACGTTGCCAGCTGTATTTCTCAACGGGGCGTCCGTTTGATCCCGCGCGGATGTACAAGGGTCCTTCACGTAACCTCAGATTCAACGCTTCAGCTTACTGGTGAGCTTTGCACCGTTCTCCGCCCTGAGGGAGGGTACACTAACCTGTTGCAAATGGCAACTTGACGAGCCAAGGGCAAGGGCTGGCTTCCATGGTCGATTTTCCCAGGTCAAGCTCAAGTCTGCGCAGATGAATGACAAGCGCAAGACCTACGAGACTGGAGCTCAGATCAGCCGCTGAGCATCCCGGAAAATGACGTAGCCTTTGGGCTGGTTTCGAGTTCAGGCCAACATGGAGGGTTCACCACATGAGAGGGATCTCCTTGGGTTCAGAGCTGCTTTGGGTTTCGAGTTCAGTAGATACAGCGCGAGAACGAGAGTGTCATTCCCACGGATCCTCATGGAAATCCAATGAGGTGTGGGATTGCGGGTAATTCATGCGTCAAGTGTTGATCCATATCCCAATTTCGGAGAAAACCCACGGGTCCCGCGCGCGCCTCAGAGACGCGTTTGCAGAGGTGTGTTAGGGTTCGGAGAAGCTCTTTGGAGAGGGGTGCAGGACCCTAAAGCTGTGGATGGACGTAAAATCCAGCTCGCACCAGTTGGTAGGTGGTTTATGCCAGTATTATCCTTCTAGTTTTACAAGTTGGGTCTCCTTGCTTACTATGCAGAGACTTCACTATTCTTGGCATGCGTGTTTTATTTGTTGTTGAATTTTTGGTGGCCGAACTGTTTGACATCTCAAGGCCTGGCAAGAGAGACCTGCGGGTTTTCTCGGAATCTTCACCCAAAAGGACAAGCCATCTGCTGACTCAGTCCCCCAAAAAAAAGGCGGGCGGCGTGGTTTTGGAATGGGCAGGCCTCATTTGGCGACCTTCGGAGGGCCTTCTTGGGGCTTGAAAAGGTCATGTTGAATTGTTGGCGTTGCCGCCAGAACAAAGTTGAGGGGTGGTTGAGTTGTTTTGTTGTTTGTATGAATTTCAAGAACCACCCCCAAAGTGATTTGCGATATTTTGTGGGCACAAAATTCGCCGCTTGAAGGATGTCCAAATCCATGTGCATCCGCCTCCGGCATTGGTTGGAAATCTGCTGAGGACTTGGCCCTTCTTCGTGCAGCACACCTTGTTCCACGGCGAGAAGGAGGACTTCAAGGCGAGCTGGGCGGTTTTTTGTCGCGGATCTTTGGACGTGGGTTGAGAAGCGCAGAAACTTTCCTGTGGACCCGCAAAGAAACGAACTTTCAGAACCTGTTGGTTGCAGCAGCTCTGATCTTCTCCGCATTGGACCCACAAAAGTGGAGAGCTGTCTGCAGTGGGGCGTTGCAGCAACCAAGGCTAGTTTCAGTCGCTAAGGGGGGCTCAATCAAGGACAGGCTCATGAACCCTCAAACTACCATGAGGTGCCCTAATTTGTTTGCAGGGCGGTTTTTTCAGGGCCGCATTTGGGCCCTTTAAAGGGAAGGAAGCCCTTGAAGGGAAAGCTGCCCATGTGCGCAGAGCTCAACGATCATGAAGGATGTGGTCTCTGACGAGATCGGACCTGGAAGTAATTTGAACAGCCCTGCCTTAGATAAGGTCCGCTGCATTGGTCGCTTTGGTTTCGTTCCATCCAAACAGCGTCCCCCCATTTCAGGACACTCCACAAGTTCTGCTTCGATCAAAGATTACCGTTAATCTAAGTAACAAAGAACAAACAAGTAAGTGCAGAGAAAGGGAAACTCACGTATAAACATGCAAAGCTTGGTTTGAAAGGCCAGCCGGTATGAACATGACAAAAAGAAGCAACATGGAGCAACATGTGAGCGAGAAGGGCTATAATGGACCGCACTTCCACAGTTTCGCCCTTGTGGCAAACCATGCATTCAGGGAAGGGAAGTCCAGTTGGCATATCAAAGTTCCAAGGCTGTCGTCCATTTGGGAGGGATGTGGGGAACTCACTGCATTTCCACAAAACCAGCCCGTGCGGCACCCATCAATTGGAACTTCCCAGCACTTCGACGGCCCTCTGGGTGAGTCAGGCCTGGCGCCAGTTGCCCTTCGATGAGAAGAAGGTGATTTGCGAGAGGCTGGGTTTTGGTGCTTTTGTTGTCCCTTCCCGCTTGAGAGGCGCATTTGCGTGTGTGCTTTTTGGTGAAATGTGTTGATGTTGCTGTTGTTGTTCTTGCTGCTTCTGCGTCTGCTCCTGCGTTTGCTGCTGCTGCTGCTGCGGCTGCGGCTGCTGCTGCGGCTGCGGCTGCTCCTGCTGATTTGGTGATTGTTTCATGTTGTCTCATGTTTGTTGCCTGTTGTGTGTTGTTTGTTGTGTTTCGTTTGTTGTTGGTATTTGTTTGTTTGTGGTTGGTTGGTCGTGCGTTGTTCGTTGATTGTTGTTTGTTTGCCCTTATGCTGTTTGATGTGTGTGTGTGTGTGTGTTGGTTGACCAGTCTTAAACAGTTATAGTTTTGGCTGGGGGGAAGTTGAGTTAGTTTGGGACACGTCTGGCAGCGGCGAGAACAGAAGTTGGAAGAGATAGAGACGAATGATCGGCGTAACAAACCCTCGAATATTTGACCAGGTTGTCCTATTTGATATGCGTGCGGTGCATGAATCCAAGTGTTCTCGTGAGTTGCAACACGCCAACACTTGTCAATGCGATCAGGGAGGCCCCCATAGCCGGCGAAGCAGACGTCGCGAATCGCGGATTCAGGCTGAAAGAGGAAGGGAACGATCTTTTCAAGCCGGCGCCTCGGGAAAGGCGGAAAGCGCAAGGCTCCAGGGAGTTGTCCGGTATGGAGGTCAATATAGTGCTTATACAAGGGGCGTGTACTGCCTCACAACCTTAGTTGCGCATAAACCTCCATACCTCCAAGACCCCTACGAAATGGTGTTGAAAGGCGGGACAGCCAAGGGCAAGTGCAACCCTATCTTGAAGAACCAGGTGGTCCATGATAAGCGCCTCATTTATAGCCTGGGTTGACACTCATTCCCCGTGAACAAGGTGAGTCTTGGGAGTGCGTCCAAGAGACTGCAAATTGTTCGTGACTTAGGTTGTTCCCCACTTCCAGCAGTTAGTCCGCAATTCAGAGAAAGTAAGTCAAATTAGGGGGCCTTCTCGCGGTGGCTAACCTGGCCGAACAGCCAAGGAAGGGTTCCTGGATGGATGCCGTGGAGAAGTATGAGGAGGCAGAACATGTTTGCGGGTTGGCCGCGCGTGATTTTTCCACCCAAAGAAAGTGCTGTATCAAAGATGATATCCATGTTGGACCCATGAAATGTGGAAAGAGGGAATGGGCAACTGAAATGGGTCAATACCAATGGGGGTAGGTGCACGACCCATTTTAGTCTTTTTTAGTGGGGATTGGGATGTTCACTGGCGGTACCGCATGTTGACCCATGGCCAAATGACTGCGCAGGCAACGCAGGCAACGCTTTTTTGCTGGCGACGCGCCGTGCCTTGTGAGGCGGCGACGCTGATCCACTATTGCTACAGCCTGGCTCCCTAGCCCGGCGGGCTTTTGGTCGGAGTTGGATCATTCGGCTGGGACATTAAAGTGTCGATCAAGTTTTTTTTGCCAAAAGATGTGTTTTTCTCCAACTGCTGGTTTGAAGAATGCCCCCAAGTGACGTTGTTTTCCCAAAAGGCGGTTTTCCCTCCAAACTGGTGGGTTTGAAGGGAAATGGTCCCCAGTGATGTTCAAAAAAGCCCACCTGCAGCTTGCTTCACTCAGCTCGGCAGGCACGGACCCTGGCTGGCGGAAGAACAACCGCGGCATCGATGATGACGTGCTGGTCCTAGGCCCGCGAGCGAGCGTCAGACCGCTGGGCTCGGCTAGGCGGCTCGTTTTGACAACACGAGGCTTGAACCAAGGGGTGGTTGAGTTCCAAGAAGAAGTCCCTGGGTTCAGGTCTAGCAAAACGTATTCAAAGCCCACTCAAATGCCCTAGTTGTAGAGTCAATGAGGTGGCAGCTAACCTTGTTGAAGCCCGGCGTGCTTACAGCCTAGTGTTTGGCTTCAAAGGCGGTGGAGCAATGCGAACCATGGCTTCCCTTCAACCAAGAACCCACATAGGCTTGTCTCTTGGCCGGACCCTCAAATTGGGTGACTGTTTTGCGGTTTTCTTTTAAACTGCCAGGCAAAGAACTCCCAAAAACATGTATGTAATGTAATGTAATGTAATGTAATATAATGTAATGTAATGTAATGTAATGTAATGTAATGTAATGTAATGTAATGTAATGTAATGTATGTATGCAATGTATGTAATGTATGTATGTATGTATGTATGTATGTATGTATGTATGTATGTATGTATGTATGTATGTATGTATGTATGTATGTATGTAATGTAATGTATGTATGTATGTATGTATGTATGTATGTATGTATGTATGTATGTATGTATGTATGTATGTATGTATGTATGTATGTATGTATGTATGTATGTATGTATGTATGTATGTATGTATGTATGTATGTATGTATGTATGTATGTATGTATGTATGTATGTATGTATGTATGTATGTATGTATGTATGTATGTATGTATGTATGTATGTATGTATGTATGTATGTATGTATGTATGTATGTATGTATGTATGTATGTATGTATGTATGTATGTATGTATGTATGTATGTATGTATGTATGTATGTATGTATGTATGTATGTATGTATGTGTATGTATGTATGTATGTATGTATGTATGTATGTATGTATGTATGTATGTATGTATGTATGTATGTATGTATGTATGTATGTATGTATGTATGTATGTATGTATGTATGTATGTATGTATGTATGTATGTATGTATGTATGTATGTATGTATGTATGTATGTATGTATGTATGTATGTATGTATGTATGTATGTATGTATGTATGTATGTATGTATGTATGTATGTATGTATGTATGTATGTATGTATGTATGTATGTATGTATGTATGTATGTATGTAATGTAATGTAATGTAATGTAATGTAATGTAATGTATGTATGTATGTATGTATATGTATGTATGTATGTATGTATGTATGTATGTATGTATGTATGTATGTATGTATGTATGTATGTATGTATGTATGTATGTATGTATGTATGTATGTATGTATGTATGTATGTATGTATGTATGTATGTATGTATGTATGTATGTATGTATGTATGTATGTATGTATGTATGTATGTATGTATGTATGTATGTATGTATGTATGTATGTATGTATGTATGTATGTATGTATGTATGTATGTATGTATGTATGTATGTATGTATGTATGTATGTATGTATGTATGTATGTATGTATGTATGTATGTATGTATGTATGTATGTATGTATGTATGTAATGTATGTATGTATGTATGTATGTATGTATGTATGTATGTATGTATGTATGTATGTATGTATGTATGTATGTATGTATGTATGTATGTATGTATGTATGTATGTATGTATGTATGTATGTATGTATGTATGTATGTATGTATGTATGTATGTATGTATGTATGTATGTATGTATGTATGTATGTATGTATGTATGTATGTATGTATGTATGTATGTATGTATGTATGTATGTATGTATGTATGTATGTATGTATGTATGTATGTATGTATGTATGTATGTATGTATGTATGTATGTATGTATGTATGTATGTATGTATGTATGTATGTATGTA